AATCTGTTCAGTGTTTTTAGCCACCTCCAATGGAACAGAGCTACCATCTCCAAAGAACTGAGTTTGTGAACCAGTAGGTTCCTCAAACCAGAACTCATAAACTGTCTTGCAAACAATATCCTGTGGAAGAGGAAAAGAATAAAAACTGCGACCTAGCCAAGGACAAACAAATTTTATGCTTATCCTGCAATATCCTTTCCAGTAAGCACTTGCACATGCGGATCAGCTTCTACAATTATACTGACCTGCTCAACATATTAAGATATTAAGACATTAAATTCTGCCAACAGAGCCATAAAATGAATTCTCAATTTCCATTTCAAGGATTAAAAGTCCAAAAATATATTTTTTCGCTTACCGCTCATAAAGCCTTGGCCCTAATTACAGGTGAATTCTCCATTAAACTTGTCTGCAATAAACTAAATTTGTCAAAATAGAGATTTTATTATATAATAAATCAGGGAGTAAATGAAAGGCTTACTAACCAGAAGCAAATGAAGAATCTTATCAAACCCTCTGGAAAAAGAGTTTTTTTTTTTTTTTTTTTTTTTCCCAATGCTAAAGTAATCTTCTTGACTGAATCCCTTGTCAATAATGAAAAAACAGTCCCAGAATCCAGCACTACTTCTTTTGATTTCAGTCTAGCAAGATAGTACAAGAACTTCTGCTGTGATTTTGGATCATCCTTGTACCACAACAAGAGATGAAACCTGTACCACATGCATAGCTTTATGATGGAAACAATGGAACCACAAAGTGAAGAAGGGATGAGGTTCAGTGAGTACATACCAGCGAACAAAGAGATGCCCAAAATCAGCTCATGCGGCATCTTGAAGGTAATTCAAAAGCATCTGCTGGACAACCTCAAGTTTTGTAATTGAAAAAGCAACTTCAGTGTTTCTTCCTGAACGATTACGATCTTTTGTCCCATCATCTTTGCATTGTGACCTACAGAAAGATTGTAAAACAAGAAGTTGCTTCCTGCAGAGGCATATCTGACAGTGCCAACGTCGATTCGGAACTTCATATTCTCTTACTCCCTAGGCTGCCCTAGGCGGCTCTAGGGGCCCTAGGCGGCTCTAGGCGGGTCTGGGCGGGCGTTTTGCCGTTGAGGCATGGACGAAGGGCGGTTGAAGTGCGCAGGATCCGCTGCTTGTTAGGAAGAAAGACGAGAGAGAGAGAGAGAGAGAGGAAGGAGAAGGCGACGCTGGGAAGAAGAGGATATCTGCCTAATTTTTATATTCGAAAAGTATAGCCGCTCGGCTAAACTATCAATTTGAACGGAAAAACAAGGAGTATAAAGGCCCGGCCATACTATTTTTATATATTATATCTGAACAGTATCGCCGCCCGGCTATACTATTCATTGGAATAATTTTTTTTAAAGGGGGATTATCGCCGCCCGGCTATACTATTAATTTCAGGAAAAGAAAAAAAAGGAGTATAACCGCACGGCTGTACTCTTTTAACATGGATTATCGGAAAGAGGGTGAATGCCATGGATATTGTGAAAAAAAAAGCCATGTGTGTGGTGGTGGTGGTGGTAATTTCAACCCTCCGTAGTCAGTATAGATATGCAAGTATGAAGATCAGCTTGTTGATTTTGATTGGTGTGGCTAGTTTTGGGTCTGTGTATAAAGGAGTCCTTGATTTTGATGGAGCTCAGCTTGTTGCCATCAAGGTGTTTATTAACATGTTACATCATGGAGCATCTAAGAGTTTCTTGGCGAAATGTGAGGCGTCAAGAAATATCAGGCATCGAAATCTCGTCAAGATTATAACTGCATGTTCAACTGTTGATTATCAAGGTAATGATTTCAAGGCTCTCGTGTATGAGTTAATGGACAATGGGAGCTTAGAAAAGTGGTTGCATTCGACTATTGAAACGAAAGAGGAAACAGATGCACCCCAGAATTTAAATCTTCTTCAGAGGCTAGACATCACCATTGACATTGCTTGTGCACTTGATTTTCTTCATAACGATTGCGAAACACCAATAGTCCATTGTGATCTCAAGCCAAGCAATGTTCTCTTGGACGCAGAGTTGACTGGACATGTTTCTGACTTTGGACTTGCAAGATTCCTTGCAAAATTAGCCGATAAGGCTTCAGCAAATCAAGCAAGTTTCCATTGGCATAAAGGGATCGGTTGGCTATGTTGCTCCAGGTAAATATTTTTAAAAAAAAAAAAAAAAAAAAAAAAAAAAAAAAAAAAAAAAAAAAAAAAAAAAAAAAAAAAAAAAAAAAAAAAAAAAAAAAAAAAAAAAAAAAAAAAAAAAAAAAAAAAAAAAAAAAAAAAAAAAAAAAAAAAAAAAAAAAAAAAAAAAAAAAAAAAAAAAAAAAAAAAAAAAAAAAAAAAAAAAAAAAAAAAAAAAAAAAAAAAAAAAAAAAAAAAAAAAAAAAAAAAAAAAAAAAAAAAAAAAAAAAAAAAAAAAAAAAAAAAAAAAAAAAAAAAAAAAAAAAAAAAAAAAAAAAAAAAAAAAAAAAAAAAAAAAAAAAAAAAAAAAAAAAAAAAAAAAAAAAAAAAAAAAAAAAAAAAAAAAAAAAAAAAAAAAAAAAAAAAAAAAACAGTATAGCCGCGCGTCTATACTATTAATTTGAAGGGAAAAAAAGGGAGTATAAAGGCCCTGCCATACTATTTTCATATATTATATTTGAACAGTATAGCCGCCCGGCTATACGACTAATTGGAATAAAAAACAATTTTAAAAGGAATTATCGCCGCCTGGCATTTATACTATTAATTTCAGGAATAAAATAAAATAAAAAATGGAGTATAACCGCTCGGCTATACGCTTGTAATATGGGTTGTACTTTTTAATATGAGTATAACTGCCCAGTTGTACCCAATCCAATTCATTCAGCCAATTAATATTGTAAAACAAAGGATACGTCATCCATATTCAAAAACAAACATTCCAAAATAAGCTTCAAAATGTCAACTTGAAAAGCTGCTTAAAGGAACACATTCGTCATAACTACATTTGACTGCAACGATACCTTTCAACAATTTCAAACCCTAACAAGGAAATTAATCAAAAATGCTCTTCATCTGGTTATGAGCCATTACTGCTAAAGCTGCATGAATGGACTCTAGTGCACAATTTATTGATGAAACCACATCTCAATTTGACTGACATATTGAAGATAAAAGTAATAAATGAAAGTGATCATGAATACCTATTAAAATAAAAACTCCACATATATATATAACAAGTTTATAAATTAAACTAGTGTTATAACCACTGCTAAATGAGTGAAACTATTTCTCTAAATTTCTTCCTCCCTCTCTTTCCTGATTATTCCCACTATACTATATTCTCCAAAAAAAACTTTTAAAATAGAGTATAGCCGATCGGCTATAAGATTTATGAAAAGAAAAAAAAAGCCGCATAGCGCGTAGTTGCACGTGTCAAAAGCGTATAGCCAGCCGGCTATACTATTTATTTTTTGAAAAAAAGGAACCCGTCTAGCGATTGCGCATGTGTCAAATAAGTATAGCCGTCCGGCTATTCTATTTTTCAAAAATAATATAAAAAACACCGCGTATAGCCGCCCGGCTGCCCTTTTTTATAAATAAAAAAAATAAAAAAAGGTAGGGCTCCCTAGTGATTAGGCGCCAACGTGTCAAAACCAGTGTAGCCATGAGGCTGTAGTATTTACTGAAAAAACATTAAAACAAAAAGAAACCAACGTAGAGTGGCTGGGCTATACTATTTTTAAAATGGAGTCTAGCCGCGCGGCTATACTATTGATGAAGAAAAAAAAAGCCGCATAACTCCTAGTTGCCCATGTGTCAAAATAAGTACAGCCGCGCGGCGATGCGCGTTTTTTTTTAAATAAAAAAAAATCGTAGTATGGGCCGTGATTAGGTGCCCACGTGTGAAAGTGCTTGAGTTTGATATTTAAACTTAGGAATTGCAATTTCTGTTGACGACTCCCCTGCGAACCGAAAGTATATCAGTGACGTTGCATCTGAATTACATTCCATCAGGGATATGCTTCTTGGTTAGAAACTTTTCCTACTTTCCTACTCTACACATCAAGGAAAGAATCAGTGGCGCCTGCTGCTTAAGGCTTGGTCATCATCTTTTTTTTTCTTCTGTTTTTTATGCTGTTTGTTCTTACAGTTTCTTGTGAGGGATTTCACTGTGTTTGTTCAGCATATTATTATTATTATATTCTACTTGTGTAGATGAAATTATGAGGAAATCCAGAATCCTTGCAACCATGTGAGAGCTGAGCTGCCCATTTCAATTCATGAAAATAACATTATGATTGGCAGCCAATAGTGGTTTTTTCATGTCGATCCTAATCTTTGTAAATTATTGGGATTTTGTTTTCTTGCAATCAAAGGTTTTTGATGATATCATCTTGGCACAAATTAGGGATTCTTGTTCCCTATATTTTCACCATGATGGAAAATGTGCTCTTTCTAGCAAATAAGACAACCGAGAGTTGGGGACCTTGACCATACACATTCTCAATTTTTTTCTTAAACAACTAAGCAGCATGTCACCATCTCATAAAAGTTTTTTGGTTTCACACCATCTTCTCTCCCTTTCACTCCTTAGTTACCAGTTACCTGTTGGGTTCTATATCTTCCATTATAAGATACCGAGAAACCGTTACGTTATGCGTGACTGACAATAGCATTTTTCGATTCGTGCATACAACATATATATGCAAAGGCTAAAACCACCTAAAATACAAGCAGATGGTTACAAGTTACTTTTTGGGTTTAATTATAAATTTGTATTTAATTTATATATTCGAGCTACCATACATACAACATATACAGAGGCCAACAAACACCATCTAAGTTTGAAAACCAATAGATTCGTAGATCAAGCATTTAAAATGTACAATTACAACAAGACCACCCTCACCACACTATATATATGTAATACAATCTGAGTATCTAAGAACCACACATCAAAATTATAAAACAATTGCAAGCATCTTCCTCGTAATTATCTTAACAGAGCAGAGTAAATCGATTTAACCATGAACAGAGGCGTATCGGTTGATCAAAGCCAAGGCATTGCTAGTCAATTGTGCTATATTTACAATCCGGCCTCTCACAGCAGTCTTCAAATTCCCATTCATCCCATTTCCACCAAACCCCTCAGAACATGTGTTCTCATCTGTCAAAGCAGCACTAACCCAAGTTTGGACATCACTTATCATGAGCTGAAAATCATAGCTTTTGAAGTTACCCATCTCAGCTATAGAACTCTGGAGCTCGTCCACCGCGTCACTTAACTCTTCGAGGCAGTCTCTCATTGCACCAACTTCTTTAGGCTTCAAGCCATGGCTTTGGGAGAGTTTTAGCATCGTGGCAGAGGTGGATTTGGCAGAGGAAAGTGTCACATTAAGGGCTGCACCAGCCATGAGCTTAGGACTTGTTTGGATTGTGCTTGCATGGCTTGAGAGAGAGGTGCGGCAGAGTTTAGGGTAGGTTGTTGCACGGCAAGATGTTTTGATGAATTCAGTGTTGGTTTTTGGTGCAAGGTCTCTGGCTGCTGAGGTTGAGGAGATTATGCAGAAACTAATGGAAAGTGCTGTGAGAAAACATGTGGCAAAATGTGTAGAAGACGAAGAAGATTCCATCTTGATATTTTTGTGTCTCTGAATATTGGAGGCAGCGGAGGGAGTGATGAGAGTAGGGAGGGAAATGTGCCAATTTATAGAACCCAAGTTCGAAAAAAACAACAAAATCCCTAAAATAAAATAAAATAATATTGATGATAATAATAATAAAAAATTCTAGCAGCCTCAAAACGAATATGGAAAAATCTTGTTTGGGGGGCCAAAAGCCGAGATACATCTACTCTTTAACATAAGTTGGTTTCTTTGGTTTCTCAACTTGCTGCAACAAGTTGGTCGATTTGGGTCCAAGTCTAAAAGCAAAAGCAATGTGAAACAAAAGAGCCTTGCTCTCGTACTCATCTAACCTTCATAATCAAATCAATCGCACCCAAAGTCGATGGGTGAGCCAGTCGACTGCTCTGTGTATTTGTATTTTTGCAACTAGAGCGTTTTTGGTCGACATGTCTAACAATAAAAATCTCTCCCCTTAAAAGAAGCACTCCAAAAGGGATTTAATGCATGCAAGAGTCCAAAGGGCCAATCAAGATCAAGAGGAGATTGATTGGAGTGGAGTGGAGTGGAAGGCTCCAAATGGGCAAATACTATTTTTTATTTGAAAATATTTTTGGCCAGTCATTTTTAATACTTGACACGTGTATATAGACACAACAATTATTAACTTTTTACTTTGTATTTACGATGCTCATTGGACTAATTATCAACAACAGCAAACCAAGCCATGTGCAGACTGCAAACTAGAAAAGAAAAGAACTTTAAAAAACAGCAATATTGCACAAGTCAAAAGATGGCATTTTATAATTAAAATAATGAACGAATTAAACTATTGAGTTCCATTTTCTCAATAAACAAACCAATCTCCATACTTTTGGCGTAATACAGTTGGAACTTGTATGTTCCATTCCATATAACCGGAAATTCAAGCACAGCTGCACATGCATTTCTGGTAACTTAGTTGAATGTCATCTACTGATTCACGACAAATCATGGTCATGTGAAGTGGGAATATTAAGAGGACGGTAAGGTTTTTTTGGGGGGGTTACATAACTTGTTATTGTTCCTGGAAAAAAAAAATTGCAAAGCACAATTTGTTTCATCAATAGTTTATCGTTCGGTATCTAATTATGTCTAGTTTTTTTACGTAAATTTTCTGAATACAAGAGATAATCTAAACTAAAATTGAGAGGATGGTTTCTCACATGACACTACCACTAAGCTAGACTCCGTTGATTGCAATGGTTAAGTTCGCTATAGTTAGTTGAATTGGGCTAAATGTTTTGTTTTGCCAACAAAAATGATTGGGAATTTGGATTAACCGTTACATTATTTTACTACACATTTTCAAGAAATTAATGGAACAACGTAATCTCTGCTTTCTTCCGTAAATTATTGGATTTGGAAGTTGGGTATATAGTGTAGCCGTCTTGATCACTCGCACGTTGAAGTGTAAGATTCTTATTCAATTATTTTCCTTTAATTAGCAAATAATGCAACATACACGTGGCAAATGACACGTGGCCAGACGCCTGTGATTGTAGCAATCTTGAAGTTGGCAGAGTCGTAGAGGATCAAGACCGTAGGCAAGTCCACATCTCTCTTAACCGCAGAAACACCGCCTGTCGTCCAGCAGCGTTTCACGCTATACTTACAATGCATGCGGACATGTGCTATGCCCGCACGTTCTTGTTCGGTTTTGACTTTTGAAACGTGAATGATTCGTGTCCATATATGATAGGGTAGCCACCTGGCACACCGTGCCCATGCTGCCGTATATCATCACTTCCAGTAAACAAGCAAACGACTATATCCGTAATATTCAATACACTTTCTTTTCCGTATTTCATCTTCTTTTTTCCTTCCAATTACATTAACCTCAAATGCTTCTGTGATAGTTTTTCTTTAATATAAGCGATATTCTATTTTAATTTTAAAAAAAAAGGGATTCGAACTCGAATACAGAGAAAGAATACATCCGTTCTAGTCAATTTGGCTAAATTCATGTCTACGCTTATTTGATAGTTAAATCAATTTTAAACATTAACAATATTAAAATTGAAGCAAAGTCTCATCAAATGTATACCAATTAAGTATTCTAAGCCGGCAGAGTGAGAATGAATTTTTTCTTTTTTTTGTCAATGATTTAATCTTGATTTCAAAAGTGCAAAGGTGGCTATTGTTGTGAGCCTTTGAATTAAGTATGTTTTGACAAGAATTACCAAATTAGCACCCGTTTATGCATATAGGTTATTTGGTCCTTTGGGATCATTCTCCAAGATATTCTCCCTTGTTTTTGTTCATATGTTTTTATCTACATTATTAGCTCTTATAATTTAATTATTTTTTATCTGTTGGGTCTAGTGCAAGATCCAAAACGTACACTCAAGCTAGCAAATGAACATGCGCATATCATCTATTTTTATACTTTTTATTTATTTTTTTTTTTTTTTTTTTTTTTTTGTTAAAAAAAAAGGGGGCCATTATGATTATAATTTGGATTTATAAAATGGCTAGCTTGGACTTTATTTATCTTTTATTTTTAATACGCTTTGAGTTTCAAAGTCACCTGAGAGTTGCCTATAAATTGGCAATTGGCATCCCATCCACAATCACACCCATCAATTCGAGAAAATACAAAATGGGAGCTCAAACTTTCACAACCCCAACCTCAAATTCACACAATGCTCTCACATTTCTCCTCCCAATTCTCCTATTGATCTTCATGCCAAACATGCACACAGCCTTGGCAACTTCTTCTTCTTCTCAGACCTACAAAACCTACGTCAAAACTGCCTGCAACACAACCACATACCCACTGATTTGCTACAAATCTCTCTCCTCATACGCCTCCAAAGTCAAATCCGATCCTCATAAGCTTTGTACCTATGCCCTCTCCGTTACCCTAAAAGCAGCAAAAAACGCCTCTTCCGTAGTTTCAAAGCTTTATAAAAATACAGGATTAACCCCATCCGAGAAAGGGGTGGTCAAGGATTGTATAGACAATATTAAGGACTCCATCGACGAGCTCAAACAGTCAGTGAGTTCCATGAGCAATTTGGGGGTTTCGGGTTCCGACGTGCAATTACAATTGGATGATATAAAGACTTGGGTGAGCGCCGTCATCACGGATGACGCTACTTGCACGGATGGATTTGATGGGGTGAAGGTAAGCACCGCGGTTGAGACCGCCATCAAGAACAGCATTGTGAATGCTGCTAGGTTGGCTAGCAATGCTCTTTCTCTCATAGACAGCCTCATTTACTAGTTCAACCTATACCCTTTGTATTTCCTCGACTTTTTATTTTATATTTTATTTTACTTTGGTTGATAGAAAGTTTACAGATTTTATAATTTATGTGTGTGGTTGATGTAATTAAAAGTTGTGTGAAATGGTTTTGAGACAGTTGAAAGAGTGGTTTGTATACTACTACTATATGTAATGTTGTACAACAGAGGGAGTTTTGAGTAATTTCCCTTAGCTCCCCCATGTTGATCAAAGATCCCATCTATAGTAATTGGCGATCGACAGAACTTTTATTCTATAGTTGTCTTTTAACATTTTTGTTTCCGGTGTATAAGAGCTTCCTATGCGTGTATTCTCAAAACAAAGAAAAAGAAAATGAAGATCTTCTCATTCCCATGTGAGTTCACATTGATGCATATATGAATGATTCCAAAACCCTGTTTATAATAATCCAACCCCGCATCTTTCAGTGTAAAATGCAAATGCTAAACTATTATTGCCCAATTTAATTATTTGCCAAACGTTCAGTGAAATTTAATCGCTTGTTGGGGAGGATTAGGCTAGACTAGACTAGTAAAGTGGCTATATTTCATGTTCAGTCAATACATAATATGGATATTGTTGTCTAACTTGGAGAATGAAATTGAATGATGACTATTCATAAGAGGTTAATGACTAAAACTTATCCCTTATAATCTCATCATTTTCATGGGGATTAGGGGGATAAGTTTTAGTCATCAACCTCTTAGAGATAGTCTCTATTCTTCCTCCAAGTTTAGCAATATATTCATATTATGCCTTGAATGCACATGAAATGTAGGCGCATTTTGCCAGTTTAGTCCTCCCTATCACACAAGTGAACAATTTATTGGCAGTGGCACACGGTTTTAATTTTTTTTTGTTTAATTAGATTATAATTATTTTAAATTAATGAGAGTTACACTTGAAGCATGTGTTGTCAGAGAAGTAATAGTGAACTAAAGCAATGTTTAATCTTGCATAATTAGTGTTTTTTCTTTTCGAAAAAAGCGGCTATGCAAACGTAAGAAATGAAATGAACATGTTGCAACTGTAAATACAGTAAGTTTATGCACAGTCGTTAGTTTTTCTTGTTGGTAAACAGTTTGTAATTGATAAAATTCCCACACGGCACTCGGGTTTGTGATGTGTGTTTTCTCCAAGCGCAAGTGTTTACAAGTCAAATTTTAAATTGTTATATTCTTGCATTAATTGAGGCATGGGAATGGGGATGATCACATGGAGAATACATGATCTGATGATTCGATATCTTTTTTAGTCCTTTCGAACTTGTTCTCTTATTATTAATTGAAATTAGAATCTCTATAAATTTTAATTAAAATATGCTTGCATTAGGTCAGTGGCACTACCCAACCATCCATCACAATTACACAAACGTCTTTGGAAACCATGTGTTAAGGTTCAACTCACTACTACCAATATCGATACTATCTTTAATTTAACCACCACATTCTGGTATGTATATGTGTAAGATTTTATACAAAATATATCGATACTATTTGTAGTGAAACTTTATATTCTTCAACACCGTAAAGAGCCAAATATCATGAATATCTTATATATGTTGAAATATTCAAATAATATATTGTGAAAGGAAAGGTAAGTCATCATAAGTGATGGATGGGTGCCCATGCCATTGCGATTTGCCTACCTACATACATCATGAATTGAAAACTTTATTGTTCTTTTAGGTATAAACTAAATTCCAGAGCTGCGGCTGTGGATAAGCCACGATTCTTAACTTATTATTGAAATATATCTAAACTTTGCACCACCCATTATTTACCAATTTCTGTGTTTTTAACATGAAGGGCATGAAAGGAACAAGATGATATGTCGTCTTGCTTTTTCTTTTTTCTTTCTTTTTGGTTAAGATATATATATATATATATATCCTCTTGCTTTTTTATTCACATGCTAAAAGGAAAAGCTCAAGGACTGGATAAAGACGGAAACTTCGTTGCGGTGTCCCAAACCCAATTCCCAATCTTCAATCCCATCCAGTTGATATTTGTTGGGCAAACCAAATGCATGTGAAGTCACCTTGTAGTACCTAGATTGTTGAGTTTTGTTTTCACGTGGTCTTCTTCATCTTCATCTTCAAAGCCTCACTCTCACGTGGTCATCGTCACCACGCAACTTCCCACAAACGTCTCTCTTTGTCCGCTCCCAACAGTTTCACCTTTCACGCTCTCCAATTTTCTTTTCACACTAGTTTAGTTATTGCTTTTCATCACTAGTATTAATTGTCTACACGCACAAACTGTTCTAAATTATTGATGTGAAAAAATATGTAATTTTGAATCGTTGATGCATTAGAATTCCGTACAATTAAGAGTTATGATTGCAAATACAATGCATTAACAATTCACAATCGTACACGTACAACTAAGACTAACAATTGCACACACGATGCTTCAACGTCTCACAATTATGCACAAGTCCTCTCGTGCGTTCTAGCATAATTTGGAAATAATTATAGCCAAAGTTCAACTGTTATTTTACCAAAAGAACAAGAAAGTAGTTTTACGGACATATGGTTCCTTATCACTTGAAATAGTCTTAAATTGATATTTTGCGCCTTCAATCAAGGATCTCATCATGAATAATTTAAGCTCTAAAACAGTTCAAAAGTTCCAAAATCCAGATACCAAAACAAGCAGCCTTCATAGCTTCACACATACAGACAGAGGATTCAGAACATTTAAGCATATTTTACATCCCTTCTATATCACATACTGACTGAACTATACATATCAAAACCAAACCACATCAAAATAGTTCTTACATAAGAAAAAACAAAACAAAAACAAAAACTCAGATTCAGGATCTGCAGCTGTCATCAGTGCTTGGAGGCAAACCTGTTGCACAAGGCCAGAGCATTGCTAGTGCACTGTGCAACATTAAGCACCTGAGCTCTGATTGAGGCCTTGATTTTGCCATCCAAGGCCTTGCCAGAGAACCCATCAAGGCAAGTATTGTCATCAGTCAAAGCAGCACTAACCCAAGTCTCCACATTGCTCATGTGCCACACGAAATCCTGGCCCTTGGATTTGCCCATGTTCTTTAGCTCCTTGACTGATTTGCTGAGCCTGTCCACGGTATCACCCATCTCCTCCAAGCAGTCCTTGAGAGCTCCATACTCCCTAGCCTTCAGCCCCTTAAATTTGGCCAACTTGGTCACAAATGTCTTGGCCTTTTGAGCCCTGGTTAGGCTCACGGACAGGGCAGCCTGGGCCAGCTGCCGAGGGCTTTGCTGGATTGAAGTGGCGTAGGAAGAGAGGGATTGGATGCAGACTTGTGGGTAGGTGGTGGCGCTGCATGAGGTCTTTATGAAATTTGCATCACTTGTTGTGGCTGTAGAGTTGGCTGTGCCAACAAAGTAGAAAATGGGAAGAAGTAGCAAAAAAACAGAGGCTCTAGCCATTGAAGAAAAGCTTCAAACTTTGGACTGGGATTTGAGAGTGGGATTGGATTTGGGAAGGTTAAGATTTGAGAGTGAGAGAAGAGAGAGTGAGGAGATTGTATATTTATAGAGGGTTTTATGCTGAAATTATGTACACCGTGTACCAATCGGTGTAATGGGTTTAATTTTTCTTTCACTTTGTTTTAAAATTAAAAATCAAAATCAAAATCAAAATCAAAATCAAAATCAAAATCTTCCTTTGCGTCTTCGAAAGCGGAAAGGGGGTACGATAGATAAAGGCTTTGGTAGAAATAAATAAAGAGCCACTAAAATCCTTGTCAACTAAATGAAAACTTTGGCACATGCCACTCTGTATTTTTCAACGTTAAGTTAGTAAATCAATTACCTAACTCTCTGCCACCGACGTGACTTTATTTACATTTTATGGGCAGAAAATTGAAATCAATGAGCTTTGCTAGTAATGTGGGATCCACATATTGGGAGGCTATTGATTGGGGACAAAAAACTTGGCCTGGAAATTTATGTCCCCTCATGTGATGTGATGATGAAACAAATCTGAAAACGAATCACGGATTATGGAAAAGATTATGTTGGAATTCCTTTAATTATGCAACAAGATTTAGGGAGGGAGTCGTATAAAACATAAGCTGCCAAAGTGACAGTGTCTGCCTGTAGCGTCACTGGTGGACTGATATATGACTTCTCCATGATTACTGCGCTTCGTCTCCTCAACCAGTGCCTGTTAACTTGCAAACAATTTGGGTTCAATTCGACCTAATTCAAAGTCCTCCATGGGAAAGCAACGTGAAGGGAGGGGTCAAAACAACTAGTTTTTTATACAAGAGATATTGAGAAATGGGGAATCAAGTCGACCAAAATGAGAAATGGGGAATCGAGTCGACCAAAACGACAAAGTTTAGCTGAGGAGAAATGATAAAAGGTAGCAAAACCCTTTAAAACACTAAAAAGGAGATGTGAAATCCATAATTTAAAAACTGTCCAAAGTAATGTGAAAGGAACGTAAACAGCAAGGAATGCTTTCTGTTTTTGTTTCACCTTCGAATTAAATTTCATCAACCACCAAAGAGAAATAAAAGGTTACCGGCCAGTTCATACTCAACAAGGTCAGTTGAAGGAAGACAAAGTCCAATGCAGCTCTGCCCCACCCCTTCTCTCTATTATTTTTGGCCTCTACTTCTGCTCTCAAATCCCTTGCCGACATGATATTTTTCAGTCACTGGATTATCAGAAGGCCAGAAACTAGGATTTACTTCATCTATTATGAACCCTATTTGTTAACATTAATATTACTATATAAAACTAGTGGTTTTGTTTCTACATGTCCATTCTGAAGCACTGCGGAGATTAAAATAAAAAAGAGAAGAGAACGCTACTAAATAAGCGAACTCTGCTTTTGGTTGCTTCTGTCACTCCATAAGGACCCACCAAACTGCATTATTGGCATAATTAATTACTCATGCGACCAACATGAGATATGAACGTAAACATTTCAAGCCTCTTCACAGCACGAGATATGACAATTTGCAGCCGACATGTGCCTATCAAACTTCTGGCCGGCTGAAAAACCTGGCATAGGTTTTAATTGTACGTACATATAAACGAATGATTTTTTTATTTTTTTCATAAGATATTTAAACTTATTATTTAGATTTTTTTTTGCTTGTCCTATTTCAAGGGTTAAAAAGAAACACAAATTTTGCAGCTGAATAGAAGATGTAATAAGCATATGTGTATTAATGCGGACTTAAATCTGTAATAATAATCATTTGAGCTGAAACCTATGATGTCCCTATCAATAAAGCAAACTATTGCCTTGCAAAGAAACCAATAGTGTAATGGTTTGGAGCAATTGTTGTTTCTCCATGTAAGGTCATGAATTCGAGTCCTAAAATTCGTGTAATGTATTTGAGTTTATTATGTTATCACATCTCTCAATAGGAAAAGTCCTCAAAAAGCAAGCTATTGGATTATGAACAATTTATTGGATTAACATTGTAATTCCAGCTTTAATGAGCATGGTTATGACAAAGAGAAGAGAATGTCTTTGATTGATCATGAACAACGAGGACCAATTGTTTGTTGGGATGTACGATTTGTTGTGAATCATTGGGCTCAATAATGCAAGGTAAGGTGGGGTTTTGCAGCCACGAGCGACCACATTCACTTGTCTGCAGGAAGGACCCAAGGCCATTTAGGATCCATGTTGAGCCAAGAAGGAAGGACCCAGGGCCAGCTAGAACTAGGGGCAAGCCAACCAGGATATTTTAATTTTGTGGAATTAAACCTCAACACTACAGAGATGGGACTATTAGTCCAATCCTCTCTCTGCCATCATCAATCTCACTCTCTCCACATCTTCCAATCTACCCACATTGCCATAAATCTTCATTAAAAGCTCAAAATTGTATTCATTATCAGGCTCCAGCTCAAAAAGCCTTTCAGCTGCAACCTCTCCAATATCTACATTGCCATGAAGGTAGCAAGCATACAGTAATGCACCCCACACAGTTGGCCCAGCCTCGAACTCCATTCCATCCACTATGATACCATAAGCTTCTCTGATTTGACCTGCCCTTCCGTAAAGATTCACCATACAAGCATAATGTTCCATAATTGGGCTAATTCTATATCTATTTTTCATGACAGAATATAATCTCTCACCATCCTTCACCAAACCTAAATGGGCACAAGCCGATAATATTGAAACGAATGTGATACTGTCTGGCAAGGCACCAGAACTCTCCATCTGCTCAAAAAACAGCAAGGCTTCCGGGCTTTTAGAATGAGCTGAAATCATAGTATTCCATGTTATGACATCCCTCTCAGGCATATGACAAAACAACCACCTTGCTCGATTCAACTTGCGATGATTTGAATATGCTGCAATCAAGGCATTGGCAATAGACAAGTTCCACTCAACTCCTTGCCGAATTACCCACCCATGGATTTGAATTACAAGCTCCAATGATGACTCTGCAGCTGCGAGGATAGTGGATATGGCAACAGAGTCTGCCTGGTGCCCTTCATGAAGCATTTCATGAAAGATGTCCAAAGCCTGCAACACAAGCCCATGACGCATATAACTCGTGAGCATGGTGTTCCAAGAGACGTGGTCTCGACTAGTAATCTTATCAAACACTTTCCGAGCCTTCACAATGTCACCACATTTGGCATACATGTCCACCAATGCATTCAGCACAAACCTATCATTCAATAAACCCAATCGCACTATATGGCGATGCACAGCCTCACCTATTTGAATGAACCCTATTCCCCCACAAGCTTTCAAAACACGAGGGAACGTGAACCGGTCCGGTTCAACTCCCTCTTCCTCCATTTGGAAGTATAGCGCCATAGCATCCTCATACAAACCCAGTTCTGCATACCCCGAGATAAGTGAATTCCAGGCGAAAGCAGACACGTCCCTCTTAGGCATTTCATCAAACACCTGGTGAGCCTCCTCGATATACCCATGCGAAGCATAGAGCCGAAGAAGTTTCGACGAGATGCCTACATTTCTACGTAAAACGCTTCTTGGGATAAGACGGTGAACTCGGAAACCGTAGTCCATGGCTTGAAATTGATAGCATGTTTCTAACAGGGAAGCAAAAGTTTCGGTATCGACGTTTATGCCTTTACCAATGGCTGCTTCAAGGTCATTGACGACGGCGTCGAGGGCTTGGAGCTTGGTCTGGGAATGGGGTTTATGGTAGATAATGAGGGGGGTTGGGATTGTTTTCGCGAAAGAGAGGGAATTGTTGCTTTGATTTTGGTTAACTTGTTTTTGCTTCTTGTTTTTCTTGCCCTTGGAAGAGCAGATGCTCAGTTTTGCTGTGTGGAAACTTAGCGGTTGTAAAGTGGTCACCATTTGTGAAAGGATTGTTGGACCAACCAGATGATGGTCATGGAAAAGAAACTAAAAACAAATTTTTATGAGTTGCTTGCTTGCTGGTAGTATGGGCCTTATGAAAACTAGCCCAATTGCATATATTGAACTTTGATTCTAACAAAATGATGATCTTTTATCTTTCTTTCTTTTTTCTGTGGATGCCACAAAATCTTTTTTTTTCTGTGCATAATTCAAGATCTATCCTACATTGAAATGAGCCCATTTAGGATTTAGCTTTCTCGATACAACAAAGTGACAATATTTTTCTATACGTGGTATATTTTACGTAATGAGATCTCAGTTTAAGATTAGTTTTGGAATTCTTCAACGAGAGATCCGTTCATCCTTTAAATATAAGATTAGCTTTAGAATCAACAGTAAGGGGATGGGCCTAAGTTAGCTTTAGAATTAACAATAAAGCCCAAAGTTATGTATCTTACATCATCATTACAATGTACAAACCAGTCTCTGCATTCATCTCGGCTTATCATCTAATTAATCATATTCATACCCAAATCAGAACTCACGTAGCAATTGACCTATGCATTACACCATCAACCAAACCCAAACTCTACTCTGCATCAAAGAAAACGGTCAAAAAAAAGAAGAAGAAAAAAGAACTCAAAATTAAAGATGGTATATTGATCTCCTTTAAAATTGGATTGCATTTCGTGGTCAAAAGTGATGTTGCTTTGCTTTGCTGCCCCAACACTCAAAGTTTATTATGACTAATACAAAACAGTTGATTGGTTATTAGCAGCAAACAACTCTACCAGACCAACCAACACCTTTGAAAATTTACAACACACATTGAATTAACGGAGAAAAGTTGCAACTCCAATTTTGTTTTTGTTTTTTTTGTTTTTTTTGTTTTTTCTTTTTGGCAGTTTAATTGATTATGATTGGTAATAGCTTAATGACGGCAGATAAACTCACGCATTACATCACTAATTTAGAAAATGATTTCGTAAGGTTTAGAATACAAAAACAAGTTATAGTTCCCTTTTCTAGGTTTTATTATTATTTTCTGTTTGGTGGGTCTTCACACTCAAGGTTTCAGATTTTCTAAAGCTGCAAAAAACAAGTGCGGATCGTTTGGTTGTAAGTAGTTAGCAACACTGTACCCATATTTCACTATCAACATTGCATTTGTATACTAGCATGTGATTTACAAGGGAAAAATAAAATTAAAAAAATGCTTTCTCACCTCTATCTATTCACAAGGCCTCGTACAGTGATTTGGCTCGAACAACATCGAAATTAAGTTCAAGTCAATTCTTATGAACTAATACTTAAAATTCACTAAATAACGACATGAATGTTAGTTAATTCAATTTAAATAAAATAATTCAGTAAGACGGAGCCACTAGCCGTGAAAATTAACAAAAATCCAACTTGTAAAATGAAAAAAAGCACAAAAATAAGACGGGCAAAACCAGAAACACACACGAAATTTTCAATGGTGTGTGGTGACGATATGGGTGATGAAATGCTTGAGTAAGAGTGAGACGAAGATAGAAGGAAAGGTGGAGAAATTGCAGTGCAATTTGAAAAAGGAAACAGATGGAAAGGCAATTGGCCGATGCTTAGGTGTAGCTTTATGATTGGCTGCAGAATTTGCCAACTGAAATCCCCCACATGGATGAGGACAAGTTTGGAATATAATCAATCGATATCGTGCGCTCCTATAGTAATATTTGGCCTCACTCTTATATCAAGCAACTGCATCCACGCGTCTGTAAAATTAATTAACCCTAAATTATTTATTTCCTTTTATAATTTTATATTGGAATCCTTGGATAGGACTGAGGCAGGCATGTAATTGTTCGAAGTCATTTTCTTGTCATGAATTTATTATCACCACATCCACAATGCAACTGGAATGATACCCTTGGAAAGGACCTTTGGCTTGGGCTATGCATGCGCCATTGGGACCAAAATTGCACAAATCAAATAATTTTTTCACTAATTTCTTATGAGAATTTATTCATATAAGAGAAAGCACCAAAGGGTTTTCTTTTCTTTTGATACTCTCAAAATTCTTATGTGGCGGTGCATGCTTATGAAAAGTTTGATAAAGGCACTCCCTTTTTGTGTAAACATTGCAAATTCCAAAAGGGTTTCTTTAGTTTCAACCAAAAAAAAAGAGAAGGGGGGGTTGGGGTTATCTTTACTTCTTTTTTGGTTAAGGATGGCAAAAGGTAAAAAAGTAGGTTTGGTAAATGCAATATTTTCTCAACCAAAAGCAAGGGAAGGAAGAGGAGGAACATGAAGTTATGGGCATGCCCAATGCCCCATGTGTGAGACGAAAAGTTTTGGTTGGTGGTGTAGAAGAATTAAAGCTTTGCCAAGTTGGTACCCAGGTCATAAAAAAAGAAGTGCCATGTAAAGTGTCAATTTATATTTGGTCCAAAATTTAGTTGTGACTTCCACGCATATAAGTCAAGAGCGTGAGACTTAGTGTACATTTTTTATTTTTTATTTTCTTCTTCTTATTTCCCCTGAAAGCAAGGCAGCCACTACTCACAGTTAGTATATAAAGGAAGGTGAGTGGGGCTTTGGCGTAGCAAGTACTACACACTACACTTAGCAGCACAAACAAAGTGATGGGAAGGCAACCTTGTTGTGACAAGCTTGGTGTGAAGAAAGGGCCATGGACTGCTGAGGAGGACAAGAAATTGGTGAATTTTCTCCTCGCACATGGCCAATGCTGTTGGCGAGCAGTCCCCAAGCTCGCCGGCCTCAGGCGCTGCGGCAAGAGCTGCCGCCTCCGGTGGACTAACTACCTCCGGCCTGACTTGAAAAGAGGCCTCCTTAATGAAGCTGAGGAGCAACTTGTCATTGACCTCCACTCCCGTCTTGGCAATAGGTTCGCTTTTGTTCTGTCTTTGCTATACTTTTCTACTGCTTTTGTCACCAACCATTCTCTAGTTTCTTCGGCTTTTAGGACCCATAAATCATATATAACATTATAATCAAACTTTTTTTGACATCACACTGATTAAAGAGCTTAAAGCTATAACAATTTCAGCTGTGCAAAACAGCACTTGCTATGCTTATTCTAGTATAAATATCACTTCTTTTAGGTAAGCTTTTTTGTTTTGTTTTACTTGACATGTAATTAGCATAATTTGAGCTGTGATTTTGCCTCCAGGTGGTCAAAAATTGCGGCAGGATTGCCTGGAAGAACTGACAATGAGATCAAGAACCACTGGAACACACACATAAAGAAGAAGCTTATCAAGATGGGCATTGATCCAATCACCCATGAACCTCTCCGCAAGCAAGTCACTCCACCAGAAATGCCTTGTAAACCAAACAATCCACCTGCAGATTTAGACATGAATCAGCAGAACGTGAATATCCCAGAACATGGAATCTCTTCTGCAGCTGAAAGTTCCTCAAGCAATGAATCCCAGCCATTGGAGCCTAACCTAAAGAGTGAAGATGACCCGTTGATGAGCTACATATTATCCGACACATTCCTGGAAGATTTGACATGGGATTTTTCAGCCTCATCAGAAGATAGCTCACCAGCTGATAATCCGGCGGAGGATAATAGCTTAGCATGGTTCTTGGAGTGTAAGGATTTTGGAGTTGAAGATTTCGAGCTCGGGTATATCAATTAGTGACTGACACACGGTCATATATTTTCAGTACCAGAAACCACAAAAAAGTTACCAACCAAAGCGCTCTCTCCCTCTCTCTCTGTCTATAAGAAGTACATAGCCAAACAAAGTAACCAATAAAATATAAAATAAAAAAAATAAAAAAAAAGAAGACGACTTTGTATGTTGGAGACTTAATCATTCTATCTGAAAAATGATGAGGCAAAGGAACGAAAGGACCAACAACTTGTTTAAGAGATCTGTTTATTCTCTTTAGCATTTTGATTGATTCCCACTAAACACTATTCAGTGGAATATCTGTAATTTAAAAATGTAGACAAGTTTATTAAACTAGTAGCCAGCCAGTGGCCAATGACATCAAAATATGGGTTGGTAGGTAGGGTGTCCTTTTGCAACAAAAACTACCACACACCAATTTGAAAAACAAAAAACAAAAAAAGAATTAGATGTCATATAACTTTTAAATAGCTAAAAATAAGTACAACTCTGTCTCAAATTCACGTAATTGCATATGAAGTTCTCTCTTTTGATGTCCTTAATATCCAATGACTTTTCTGGAGAGTGATATTTCGTTCTCATTTTCCTGTCTTTTTGGCTATAAATAAATAAGCATAGATCGTCAAACATTCTTTAGTTTTAACTATTCTGCGGATTGAATAGTGGGGTATTTTATTTTATTTGGCATTATATGATAAGTAAAGAAATGAAATGTGAAATGAGACACGTCATCATCACGCACCAGAAGCTAGAGCACCATTTTTATTATGACACTTTCTTGCCTTCCAAACACGTACTTTTGGCTATTATAAACACCAAATTATTGTATATCTTCCAAAGGGAGAAGGTGTTGTAAGTGTGGACTCAAAAAGATGAAACCCTAATTTAAAATCCACATTCTTTTACATAAGATAAAACCCAGCATCATTCCAATATCCACTATTAGATTTAGATGTGGCACTGCCGTTATATTGTCTGACATATGCATATCCACTATTAGGTTTGTAGATTAAACTAGTTTGGCTACAATTTATAAGCAAACGGTTTCAGGCTTTCATCCCAGTCTTGTTTCTAGAAGAAAATTTCTTCAAAGCAAACACCGGATTCGCAGCTTATAACATAAATGGAGCTCACCATCTTTTAATTGCTGCCAAATCTCCTATATTTTGTAGAAATTTTTTACTTGTGCCTTCCTAATCCAAAGTGAAAAGAACAACATGATTATGTTTAATCTAACTTTCCAACTAGCCAGTTGCTCTTGAAGACAATAAGGTTACATTACATCCAACTATATCCAAGAGACCATGAATATATTACCTAAGTCTAATTTTTACCCCGCAGATTTTAGACAGCTCACTAAAATTAAAAAGGGACCAAAATTTTCTACTGAAAATATATATACAAGAAACTCATCGCGTAATCAAGACCAAAAGATCTCAACAAGGCCTTTTGCAGTGATAATAATCCATTTTTAGAATGGAAAATTAGTGAAACAGTCGAGTGAGATTAACTAGACCAGCTTCAGTAGCAGCCTACCTTTGCCCTTCAGGAAGAGCAACTGCTGCTATCACTGAATTGATGAGGCACTTCCTGAACTATTCATGTTGATGACTTTTCTCCAACGAACTGCATTTAAAGGGATAGTAAGCTGGGAGCACTAGGTCTAGGTCAGAGCATAGATTTGTTAGAGGCTTAAAGCAGCAATCTCTACTGTCATGGAACGGATGACTTTAGGCATCTGGGGACTCCTTGGTGGCGCTCTTCACGAGAAGATCATAATTGATAGAAGCTAGCTGCGACAAGTTCTGAGAACAGAAATAACACATGAATGATGCTAAATCCCTAGAGCAAGAACCACCACCATTCATTTTTCATCTAGCATCTAAAGTCCCTTCCAATGGAGAAAATATGTTCAGGTTCACAGGACTTACCTTAAATGAAAAATTACTAAATGAGTACTGCACATCAAGGGTTGGAGCACTAAATTCCGCCAAACTGCCAAATTCATCCCCCTGAATCACAGACATATAATGGTCAGGTGGCTCAAATAATAGTCCCACTAGAATGCACCAGGGTCAACAAATTTATGAATTCAAAGTATAATTGTTAACGGATTTCAAGCACACTTCGAAATCAGATCTTCAGTACATCCTTGTAGTCCATATACTTCCATATCAACTTGGATGCAGTAAGAGCTATGGTCTGGCCTTTAACAGCTCTATGTGCATAGAGACTGGAAAAAAAGAAAAAAGAAAAAAAGAGATCATATGTAGGAGGATGCATACATCTTCGTCTTGTATATTGCTACATGAACCGCTGCTGCATGTTTCAGTCATTTCATCAAAATCGCTGGCACCATTAACATGCTCATCTTCTGGATTCCATATGTACCGGCTCATGAAATAACTTGTATCATGTACATCTGTTGATGGTATGAACATTGCCTGCAGCCAATATGGATACTCTTGACTATCACAGATATGCCAACAATCATTGTAAAACTTGAATAAATATAACTTGAAATGACCTTCTGCCTCGCAAGTGTATCCCAGTTAATATCCTTGAAGAAAATATGTTGCTTCACCTGCCAGAAAAGACACAAAACTTAATTCTATCTTCATTCCGACTTACAAATGAATTTTCATCGGTAGTCAATAAATTACCTCCCTGGAACCTGTTGCTCCAAGTCTTTGAACTGGGTTTTCGGTCATCAATCTGACAGAAGGGCAAAGGAAATGTAAGTAAGATGAAGGCATGCTGTCTTCAAATGAGAGGACTTTAGATATCTTAGTCTGACAGACCTCTCTTGAAAAATAGAGGCACATTAGAAATCTACATAAGCAGTCACAACAAAATTGTAATTAATACATCCAGAAACATATCTCTTGTAATCTTTCTTACTTGTCAATCAAATCATATGCTTCATAGCTCATCTCCTCAGGTACCTTAGGCCAGGGAATATCTCTGTTTATTATATTGTTGAAAATTTGCTGCAATAAGTAGGATCTATAAGTAACAATGTCAAATTTTTCACCCAAGACTCTCAAATGATCTGACATTAAAAGATGTTACAATTCCCGGTTATAAGGATCAGAAAAAATCATTCAGATGTTAAGGATGCTATAAAAGACTTGGAGCAATGTTAAGTAGAAATAAGAGCAATAGAGAAATACCGTAGTGCAGAAAATATAAAACGAAATGTAAAACCAGCAAATGATAAATTCAATAAAATTTTGGTGAAGAGTTGAACGAACAGGCTGTAAGAACCACCAGAAAAAGAACTTAATCCTTCATGAACAGTCCAAAAGAACCACCAGAAAATTTTTAGGAACAAAATATTAGAAGAACAAACTGTTGTGCCAATGAAAATGAGGAGAAAGATTAATGCTCATAAGATATTCACGAGTATACTGGAGTGTATATAGAATTTATGCATATATATACACAAAATCCTCTCTTAAGTTCCTTAAGTAAGGACCTGTTTTTTATAACAGAAGATTATTACATTCAATAAAGAGGGAAAAGAAGAAAACGAAAAGAAAAAACAAATTACGCCCAGCAGTCCAAAAACAATTTAAATTAATGCCCACCATAGTTAGACTGCATACCTGTGGATGTTCTGCATTGAATGGTGGAAGACCAACAAGCAGCTCAAAAAGAATAACGCCCACAGACCACCAATCAGCAGTTGCACTATGCCCCATGCCAAGAAGTATTTCAGGTGCCAAATAATCAGGGGTGCCAACAACTGAATGTTTCTGGCGCTGTGTCCTTTCTGATGAAGGCTGAGTTTTTGGTTCATCATCTCGAAGAAAACCAGTATCACTAACTGATGGACCTGATAAGTCATCAGTGCTGCTGATTAGACCAACCTTGGAGAGCCCAAAATCTGTCAACTGTAACATAAGGGATTAGACATTTGTGAGAAGTGACAAGTAAACACTTTATGGCAGAACCTATGCAGATGATACCCCAAAAAAACAGATGCATGATATAATACCAGAATGCTTTTACTATGGCCAAACTTATCTCCAACTATATAAAAGAGGGGGGAATTATGTAAAAGAACTAAGACTGCAAAATATTGACCTTGAGGTGACCATCTTGACCAATCAACAGGTTGTCTGGCTTCAAGTCTCTATGGACAACATTTAATGAATGCAAATACTCCAAAGCAAGAACCTTTAAAAGGAAAAGAGAAAACAAAAGATTACTTGTACTGTTATACCATCTATGAGAAAAAATTTAGAGAGAGAGAAATGAAAAGGTGAATCTGGAGAGGAAAATGGAACAAAAGATACTAGTATTCCCTTACAACTTCTGCAATATATACTTTGGCCATATCTTCATCTAAGCAGCCTAGATTTCGTAGTAAAGAGTACAGATCTCCACCATTTAAGTATTCCATGACCAGATACAGGTTTTCCCTGCATGTGAATGAATAGAAAAATCGGACCTGCTCATCATCAGAAGTACATATTAGAAATTATTTCCAAATGCAATGCATTCTTAAAGTGAACTGTACATTTTGGGGGCCCACTCACCACAAAAGGATTGCGAACCAATATAAGGATGTTACGCTCCTCCAAAATACTTTCAACGGCATTTTTACGAATCATATCAGCCTTCTTTAATACCTTCAGAAATGTACCACCAGAATCAGTTCTGAAAACAGACTTATCTTGAAACATTTACTTGCAATTAAAAGATGGAGGCATTTTCCATGGCTGAAAACACATAGAAACAAACAGACCTTTATAGCAAATAAGTCACCAGTCGCTCTTTTTCTGGCAAGAAAAACTCGCCCAAATGCACCCCTGCTTATTGGTTTTATTATTTCAAAATCTTCAATAGATGTTCGATCCTTTGAACACGGATTGATGGGGCTGGCACGCAGACTACGAACTGCTTCATCTTCAACTGAACTTTCTTCGTCAGCCATACCATTTGATGAATCCACTTTCTCATCTTCTATCTGCCCACAAAGATGTACATATTTTTCCCTGTAAATTTCAGAATTATCATTATAATCAGAGATGCTTTTACTGGACTTTAAATAATTAACCAATCATTTGAAGAAATATGAAAAATATAATGACGACAGAAGATAAAAATGAGACAATTTTGTTAATGCTTGAATCAAGAAAATCTTTTGAGGGGATTCACAATTGTACAAACCACAAGAGACATGCAGTAATAGATTATGGCTTCCACTCACTGCAATAATTTTTCTATACGCCTTCCAAAAGTCTCCACAACAAGGGCATCGACCTTCCTATCCTGGATGGCATATTTTAGGTCTTCCAGTCGTTCAAGCATGTACTCCAATGCACTGTATTCACAATTGCTAACATTTGCGATGGAACGGGCGATATCCAGTAGCTTATGAATCTGTCAATCCATGCTCTAATCAAAATATGAACATGAAGGGAGCAGAGTGTCTATAGCAACCAAGATGAACCAAAAATGCATTCAACAAGACTTTCAGTTGCAGAGCAATAATACAAACTTAAAACAAAGTATACTGACTTCATCTTTGAGAGAAAAAGAAGTAACGGCAGAATTCTGGTCAGAAGGAAAATAGAAGTGGGTCACCTGCTGATAACTCTCAAGTTCTGGTATTGCTCTCCATCCACTCAACAGCATTTCAATCTGACTGGTTCTTGGTGTTAATAGTGGTGATCTTGGTGTCGAGCTTCCTGCCGACGAGGTTCTGGTGCCTTGTTCAGGTGTCAAAGAAGAACGCATGTCACATGGCATGTCAGGCAAAACATTCAGATCTTCCATGACAAAAGAATTGTCAGCATCAGGAACGCAATCAAGAATGCCTTCAGAGAAACGAGGAGACAAGTCATTTCGTTTTGGTGGTGACAACTCATCTAAATCTTCATGCATCCTTGTTGTATATACTCCTGAAACATCAAAACCTCCTCGAATATCAGTGCCTTTTAGTGTCCAAGATTCCATTATCCTTCCCAGAGCTTCAGCAACTCTTTCAAGTCGATCATTCACAGTTAAACCCTTCAAGTCACACCTGTCAGCAATCGTACATATTCGGGAGTGCTCCTCTACATGTACAGTTGGTATTTCAACCTCACATATGCGACAGATCATCAAATTCTCGTATGAAACATTCTGCTGGTCCATCCATAATCCCCAAGAGATTCTTTGTGCACTTGCAGACACCTCTGGGGGTTCAGGTTGGCATGATGGAGTATCAACATTGTCACTACTATAGTCCCCACAAGTTTTTGTGTCATCTTTGGCATGCAAACGGTCTGATTTGTCGTTTGGCAGTGTATCAGCAGCATCATGGCCTTTCTGATTCTTCTCAGCAGCAGATGGAAGTTTTTTCCAAGATGACATCCTATAGCTGCCTGTAGATTCAACGCTTTTGGCAGTGTCAACCTCCACATCATCAGCAGCACTAACTTTTTCCTGCTCATGGGACTTATTCATGTGGTTCTCATTTGCATCCTTACCACCCAGTTGGCCACTAAAGCTCTGCTGTTCAGCCTCCAAAATTTGTTCAGGGTAAACACCAAGATCACTGAGCTGGTGAAGACTGAGAATGTGCTCTTCCTCATAACCACTCTCTTTTTGGAACTGCACAAGCCGTGTGCACCGAGTGAGAATAAAAAGAAGACGGGTGTGGGCTTGTTTGAGGGCCCCCATTGGTAGCTCTTGACGCCGGTCATCCAATTTCTGAACAATGGCTTCGCACTTCACCCAAAATTCACCAGGCGACATCTTTGCACACCGCCGGGCAACAACCAACAAATCCTCAAAATTCTCTTTCCATTCAGGGTGAGACTCCGAAGACTTTTCAAGTATTCCCACCAAATCACCAGCAAATGCACCTAAATCAAAGTCAACATCTTCCTTTAACGTCTCAAATCTTGCCCTGACCGCCACCATAATCTCCTAAACAATTTTACAACAGCGACACAGTTTAATGAGATCGGGCAAAGAATAAAATAAAATACTGTAAGGCATAAAAATTCATATGATATAAATATAAATTTACCTCCATATGGCCAAATGCGCGAGACTTCCACACGGGAAATGGTCGAACTCCTTTAGAGTTGAGCTCATGAGAGAAACTTTTAATGTCAGGTGTTCTCTTCTTTCGCCCACTCGTAACACGCAGTATTGCCTGAAAACGCGGCGACTGCATTTCCTTTGAAAAGGCTGCATGGTTACCCTACCAATATATACAATTACACACAAACCACATCATTGTCAAGCTCGTGAGCTACCTACATTTCTCCAGCCAACTATATATATATATATACACACACAAGGCAATTCATTGGCAATTTCTTTACCTCCGAGACTGGATTGAGTAGTGAAGGATTTCTGAGCGATTTTGATTGATTCCAGTGCACAGGTTTCACTATAAAGAAATTGAAAATTATAAATTAACAAAAAATAAATTACACTCACAAATACCTGATGATCGAATTCATTACTAGACGGAAAAGAACGAATTAAAATCCAATAAAATAAGAATATTAAAACGTTACCACATTAAAGTTACGTAAATACCTGGTTGTATGGGCGTAAATTTGGGTTTTGGCTTGACCGTGTACTTGACCTTATTCGATTCGTCACCGAAATTCGAAGGCGCGCAGACCGACGAAGAGAATCGAAGCGGCGACGGAGCCGATCGAGTCCGAATGTGATTGAGGCCGAGCGACGATGCCAACACGATAGGCGCATCATCTGTTTTACGTTCCGTACGAACCTGGTCCTCATACTCTTCGTCGTCGTCATCGTCGTCGTCGTCGTCGTCGTCGAATTCTTCAAATTCTTCGTCTTCGTGGATCGTGTGTCTGGGGCTTCGTCGAATCGGGATGGGGGGGATTTTGAGGAGCTTAGCTCTGGAGGGAGAGGGTTGAGTTGGAGAGGACACGGACAACGTCGTTGCGGAGTCTAATTTGCCGTCGGGGTCGGAAATCGGGGGTGGCTTTGAAGAAGGTGGAGGAGAGCTCGACATGGGGGAGAAAACAGTTCGGGTTTAGATTCGGATTCGGATTCGTCATGGGATTGAGAGAGAGAGAGAGAGGGGGGGTTGCTGGGGGAGATTATCTCGCGGGAAGAGAGAGCGTTAGAGAGTGACACGAATTTATGTGTTTTTTCGGTTGTGGGTTTGAAACGGGCTTCCCGCTAAGCATGTAATTGGCGCCGTTCCCCTGCAGACGGGACTACCGTAAGTTCAAACTTGAAGGAACAGAAACAGATGTACAATTGACAAACGAAAAGTCAATTGTACTTATTTAGCCTTATTCATCAACTGACCCAAATCACTTTTGTTTTGTGGGCCGTCGTTTTGTTTGACTATTTTCTTTTGGGCCTTGAACGTAAAAGATAAAACTCTTGCAATTCCTCCTATTCTTATTAGGAATTAGGAGGACTTGTATATAAATAAGGGGTTCTTTTCTTTCTGTAGTCTATTGCTTTACATTCAAAGCCAGCAAAAAGATCTCGTCTGTGTTTTGAATCAATGGAATCAGGTATGTTTTCTTAAACAAAACTTACTTTGTAAATTTGTTTGTTTGCAAGTTGTTATCATGCTATCCTATAAATTTGATGAATATTTGGTAAAATAAAACAAAAAATTATATCCGAATTAACGAAAATAAAGAAAAAGAGAAAAGCATGACTCTAATCTAATACTCAATTGAGTTGAATTTTTGGCTAGACATGTTATATAATCCTATCATACAATATTCGTGGGGAATCCTTTCGTGTTTGTCAACTAATGAATGACACGCTCTTTTTTTTTAGGACATTTCATATTGAGAAGGCTAATAATATATTAAACTCGTAACCTTGCTTGAGGGAGCAATTACTTTAAACCACTACACTAATGGGTCATTTGCATGACATCCCTTAAAAACCCTAAGCGGCCATCTTAATTAGTTTTTAGGATGTTGTTTATTTATATATATTGTTTTATATCATTGTGTGTGTAAGGTTACATCCTTCTAGATTTGTCTTTAGATTTTTTGTTCTCCTTTTGCTTATGTAATTTGATTGTTTTTTAGTTATAACATTCCTATCTTCTAATAAAAGAAAAACAGGAATTAATGCACCTTTTAGTTTAAAATTCTTTTTTACTGGTTTTCTTTTTTTAATTTATATCTTTGTATCGTTCCATCAATTTTTACTTTCTATGTTTCAAATCATACGGCTATTTTTATAAAGCTATGGCCAAGATTAATTACACATCTACTTCTTCTTCATTGCATCTCTAATTGATTTTTTTTTTCCTTTTTCTTTTCAGATTGGGAAAGTTTGCCTGAGGAGCTTTTAGATTTAGGGGGGTGTATTCAATTAGGATTTTAAAAGACTATTTTGGGATAACTAAGTCTTGTGGTATTCAATTAAGACTTTTAAACAATCTAAACAAGTCTTGTGGTATTCAATAAGGACTTTTAGGATTTTTTAAAGAGGGTGTCCAAATCTAGTGGTATTCAATCAAGACTTTAAACAAGTAACAAAAAGTCTTTTGGTATTCAAAAACTTGCTAATTTCGAAGGATTTTTTTTAAAGAAGGAATTTGTGTGACTTTTTAGTGGGAGGTATAAATACCAAACCCTAAAAAAAATCTCACCATAACCCGTCAGACTTTTCACGTGAGATTTTTTTCTTTTTGCGAGATAAGATGAACAGTTCTTCGTGAAATCGCAAGAGAAGTTAAACGGTGAAATCGATTCTCATACCGGCTCGAGGTAGATGTATCCATGAACGTTGTCCAGAACATGCTTCATCGATCTCCGATCCCGATAGCTCCCATTGTTCGCAGTAGCTCTCATTGTTGGCTCACAACTGAACTTGGAACGCTGACAGATTGATAGAGATAAAGGGGTTTAGCAAATATTAATCGATTTCACAGATTGACAGATTGATGGAAAGGATTGAAATCGCTTACAAGCAAGAAAGCCTTCACATGAGTTCTGGAAATCTTGACCTCGGCTTTATCATCTTGATAGGCCTTCAATAGTATATCCATCAAATCTTTATCTTCTCTATCCCAACCCTCTCTCTCTGCTCTCTCTTCATGCTGCTTCACCCTCACCCTCCAGAAGTTTATAATACCCATGGTCACATCCATGAGCTGCTTCCCATCAACCCAGAAACCCAACCTCTTCAGTGGGCCCAACACATCCCCAAAACAAACCTTTGCAGCCAACTCAAATGATTCTTTTACCAACTCCCTGATTTTTTCAGCTCCCTCACCATTCTCTGAACAACTAGTGCTCATAGCCATCCTGCTATTAAACAGGCACTTGTTAAAAATAGAAATATGGGAGAAAATTTCAAGGATCATATCAAATTAATTGTAGAGCATGCCTGCATATACTGTTGTTTGTAAGACTCATCAGCTCAGCACCCACATCAACCATCTCTTTCCTCGTAGCACTCTCCAACATTTTCCTCAAAAACTCTGCAACCTCTGCATGTCGAATGGCACGTGACCTTTCTATTTTGCAAGAGGAACATCACTCACATGTATGTAACCCCTGGATAGTTACATATTAAATTAATAAGAAAGCTGAATTTTCAGCTTAAATCCAATTTGGATGCAGAACCATTTTAGTCAAGCCTTCCAATGTTGGCAGAGATTGGTGTCAATTTTATAACCCATTTTATAAGCCTTCATGTTTTCATTGACTCTTGTAACTTTGAATGTTTGCTTTTATTTATTGTTCCATTCCATTTGATCTCGTTTATCTTATTGTTGATGCAAGTGCCCACAACTAAGTTGGTTGGTTATCGTACAAATAAAAAATCCATGTGGTCCTTTCAAATCTTATAAATTCTTATGATATAAATCTTTAAAATCCAAACATAAAAAATCCTGAATATAAAAAATATTTCAAAAAAATCTTATAAGTCATTATATTCTTAAATAGTCTTTTAAAATCCACTAGACTTATTTATCCATAAATAGTCTTTTAAAATCTCAATTGAATACACCCCCTTAGTTTTCAAGAGACTAGTGTTACATTTAGATTCTTTACGATTCGCTGCTGTTTGCAAGTCATGGTATTGGGTATCAAAGAATAAGCAAATCAACAGTGTTCCAATGCTCTTGATTCCTGATAGACAAAAAGATACATGGAATTTTTGTGATGTGACAAATGATAAGGTCCTCAAAATGCAGTTAAGATGGATGAAGAAGCGATTTTGTGGGTCTTCAAAAGGATGGTTAATAGTTTGCGATGAAAATTTTGTGGTAACCTAACCTTAATAAATCCATCATTTAGACTTAAGGGGGGAAAAGCGAAAGAAAATTCAATTATTCGCCTGCCTCCACTAAATCCTCTAGGTCAATACCGCAAAAGTGCTCATGCTAAACATTGTGAATATTTTGTTTACAAGGCGACGATTTCAGCAAATCCAATCTCAAATGCAAATGATTGCATTGTTGCGATAATATATGAGCCAAGGTGTGAACTGGCTTTTATTAGACTTGGAGACAATAAATGGACATACTTTGATCAAACTGGTTATGAAATATGGTCCCTTTATGAAGATATTGCTCAAATTGGAGATACAAGTTATGTTGTTTCATCTTCTAAGAGCCAACTTCTTACTTTTGAATATACTACTCAACGCATCTTAAATATTAATCAGGTGGCACCTCGTTCTGAAACAGAAAGATATATGAAAGCATACCTTGTGGGTTCAAATGAAGAAGAGTTATTGTTGGTTCACCGCTATAGTACTTATACATATCATTGTCGTGTGACAAATGGATTTAGAATTTTCAAACTGAATTATGATAAGCATGAGTGGATTGAGAAAAACAACTTAGGTGCTTTTGCTTTGTTTGTGGGTGATAACTCTTCAATATATGTAGTAGCTTCAAAAATTCAAGGATGTGAGTCGAATTGCATATACTTCTACGTTGATTGTGATCGTGTGGTTAGATATTGTCCGTTTACAAATTTGGGGGTGTATAATGTCAAAAGTCAAAAGATTTTAAAGTCTGCACATGTTAAGACCCTGATGAAGAAGTTGAAGCAACCTCCAATTTGGTTTTTGCCATCAGTTTATCTATAAAAAATTGTCACATTTCTTCTTATTCTCAAACATTTTAAGATATTTTTTTAGGTTTTGTTTTAAAGATGTAGCTTCAGTATTAAATCTTTGATATTTGATACATTTTTAATTTATCGCAACTTGATCATGGATTTTTAGTAGTGCACTAATTGAAAAACGTAGAGAAAGATACAAGGTCAATTACATTATTGAAATATGTTACCCAAGCAGATAATTTTTATTTTATTTTTTCCCGAAAGGAAATTATAACGGAATTACTAATCACCAACTTGATGGCTTTAAAATAAGGACTCAACGTTATAATTTGATGTGTAAGTTTGTTGGTTGTTTTGATTGATGATATGATGGATAAGTAAGTGTTACATGACTATTGAGTTGGGTATGATTTAATTAGATGATAATGTTGATTAATCAATATGCGGACCGGTCTGGCAGCTGCATGTGCCAATTAGTTTTTTTATTTTTTATTTTATTTTTAGCATTAAAAAAAGATAAAATAGGTAGTTATATTTTATAAAAGTAAGACTTATTATTTGATTTTGTTTTTTTTTAATTTTTTAATTTTATTTTTAGTATTAAGATTAGATAAAATGAGTAGTTATGTTTCAAAAAAGTATGATTTATTATCTAATTTTGTTTTTAATTTTAATTTTTTAATATAAAAAAAATGTGAATTTATCATATTATACTTATTTAATTAATAATTTCAATTCTTAATGTTTGAATTAATCATAGCATTTTCTGGTATTTTATATATATAAATTTGACATCCACGGCCCAACCAGTTGGATTTCTGGTCCGTCGTACACATACTGAACATAAAAAACCTCCGCAGACCTACCTCACTACGGTGCCACCGGAAAAACAATGCTCAGCCTACTCCGCCGGTCTTTCCCAAAGCTCCGGTTCAAACCCGGTTATATATTCGGCTATCCAGGCCCTATTACGACCCGTCGCCAGTACGCCTTCTCCACCGCCACCGGTCTCTATGGCTTCGACCACTTAAAAACCCCCAAAGGCTTTCGACGTTTCGTCGACGATGCTATCGAAAGGTCCAAACTTTGAAAATCCCAATATTCATGGCATTTTGATTTCCATCAGTCTCCCCATTTTCATTCGTTTTGTTTTTGTTTTGGTTTTTAGGTCCGGAGAGCTGGTTGCATACATCTCAGGGATGCCTTCCTCAGCGGAAATAATAAGAGCCATGGATGAGATTTCTAACACAGTAAGGTCTCACAGTTTGTCTAATTCTCTTTTTTTAAGAGTTGTTGGACTAATTCTTTGTTATACTCTCTAATTGCATAGGTCTGTTCTGTCATTGACTCCACGGAGCTTTGTAGACAAACCCATCCTGACAGGTTATTATTCTCTGAATTTTTTGACCTGTAGTTTTTGATGTTTCGGTATTTCATTGTCGATTTTCACTTGATTGTTTATTAGGGAATTTGTTGAGGAGGCGATCAAAGCTTCAATAAGAGTTAATGAATATCTACATGTGAGGTGACGGTGAATCGTCTTTGCAAGTGTTATTAACTTTTTGCTCACGGTTTTGTTATGTATATAAATTGTATTGTAGTCATGAGCCATTGCCAGTATCTGATTTGAAAATTTTCATCATTGTCTTACAGTACCTAAATACAAATCATACTTTAAATAATGCCGTGATTAAAGCCGAGCAAGAGGGCAACTTGCTCACTGACGAAGCTCATAGGGTCGCGCATTACCTCCGCCTTGACTTTTGAGAGGAGTGGGATTCATCTTTCTGCTGGTACTTGCTCTCTTCTTGTCATTTTATGCTGCTGTTACAGCAGGGATTTTGTAACAGCAGCGATTTTGTTGCAGCTAAATATCTCCTCACTTTTGCTTTGCAGAGAATGTAGATAGAGTGAACCGGCTGAGTATAGAAATTTCCCAATTGTGCAGACAGTAAGTACTAATTTATTTAAATTGTTTTCATTTTTTTTTAAGTGACACTCATTCTACTAATCTTATTGTTTTTTTTTCTTTTCATTTTTGGGCGTTCCTCTGTGCCAATTGTTAACTGCAAGTTAGAACTTTTAGGCCTGCTACCTGGTTTAGGAAAATAAGTTATTTTCTACTGGTTTGTTTGACTAATGCTGCCACACAATTATTGTGCTTGTAAGATTTGAACCAAAGACACAGCTTAGGCCCACACTGCCCATTTTCCATTAGAGCCTAGGGCCAAAAGTATCTTATTCAAGTTTTGCAATGTTGTGGAGATATAATTTTAACTGCTTGCTGATGCTGTACCATGCTTTTTATTTTTGCTTTTAAATCAAGGGCTTGACTAATTGACTTTACTTTTGCTTCAAATGCATTTGTTTTTGGTTTAGGTTCAATCAAAATATCGTCAATGACCCGGGAACTGTGGATATTTTCCCAGTGTCACATATGCCCCAAAATTTGCACCATCTTCTTAAGCCCATCTGTCGTTCAACATCTGTAGTTTCAAAGGACTTGTGGAGGCCCAGGGGTACCATGAATGAGAAGGGGTTTCATATAACAACAGACCCGCACACTCTATCTTGTGTTCTGCAAGGGGCACCAAATGATGAGGTAACTTGATTGTTGTTTGGTGAAACTTGACTTTCTTGTTTTCTGAATCTTTTCTGGGGTAGGGAGTTAGGGCAGTAAGTTCTAGATGCCAGAATATGGAAACTAAGTTTACATTATGGATGCACTTTCTTTGTTTTTTCTCATTTGCTTTACTTTGCGAATGAAATTGGGCTTTGTTATATTGCATGTCACTTAAATTTCTTTCTCATTTGCATTTATTGTGTTTTATGCTTGTCTTTTTGTTAATTAACTAAAATTTAGTTTCAGGTCCGGAAAATGACATATATCAAAGGAAATTCTGTTCCTCATGCAAACCTTGGTGTTCTTGATCAACTTATAGCTTCCCGCCATGAGTTTGCTTAGGTCTCTCTATCTCTCTCTCTCTCTCTCTCTCTCAGCAGTATTATAAGATGTTGAGAAGGCTTTCCAAACCTGTGTGGAATCAGGTTAAAGTTACTGCTCACAAGAACATTTTCCCATCTAGACTTGTATGTCATTTGAGGAGTTACTTTAATGCAGATCTCTTGTGATCTTTTTGTAGACATCTATAGTTTGTAGGAATTGTCTGATTTGAAACGTAGTGGATATGGATTGATGTAGGGTTTTTTTAAGCGCAACTTACTATGGTGAATGGCGCAGAAGAATATCTTGGAATAACATTCCCACCACTGTTGATAAGAACAACATATTTGGCCAAAGGCGAGCGACAATTGCAATAATATAACTTGGATGTAGAAAATAGTACTTATAAGATTGAAAATAGATACGTTCTTGTTTTTCAAAGATTGCCTCTGGAGAGTAACAGCATATTCTAATCTTTATACCTAAACTCTCCGCATATTCTAATCTCTTACTCCTCCTAGTTCTCCTTCCACCCTCACATTCCCATACATGAATTGCACGATACTATTCTATACCTAAACTCCCAGCTTATTCTAATATCTTACTCCTCCTGGTTCTTCTTCTTCTTCTTTTTCTTCTTGATCTCATTCTTGTTGATCCTTGAAACTCCAGATGGGATACAAATATGTATCTCATGCTTGGGGTAGATGGGCTCCTTGCAAAGTAATTTCTCACCACATAGCTTGTGAGTCTTGTCATGAATCGTATCAAAGTGCTCAGACAAGCTTTTCCTGTTGTCAAATGAGTTGTTACCTTTGCAATGAACCTTTTGATCAGAAATATCCATAGTAAACACTCAAAAATCCACAGGAGATAAGCCTACTTTTTCCTATATCTGCATATATCAGTGTAAAAGCATCTCTTAATTGTTGCAAATTGCTCCAGTGCTTTGCTAATTTATATATGCCCCGTATTATTGAAAGTTGAAGCCCCATATCAACTCTTCTCATAAACAATTTGAGCTTTTCTAGTAAGGCTTACCTCTTGTGGATTTTTGAGTGTTTACTATGGATATTTCTGATCAAAAGGTTCATTGCAAAGGTAACAGCTCATTTGACAACAGGAAAAGCTTGTCTGAGCACTTTGATACGATTCATGACAAGACTCACAAGCTATGTGGTGAGAAATTACTTTGCAAGGAGCCCGTCTACCCTAAGCATGAGATACATATTTGTATCCCATTTGGGGTTTCAAGGATCAACAAGAATGAGCTCAAGAAGAAAGAGAAGAAGAACCAGGAGGAGTAAGAGATTAGAATATGTTGGGAGTTTAGGTATAAAATAGTATCGTGCAATTTATATAAGGGAATGGGAGGGTGGAAGGAGAACTAGGAGTAAGAGATTAGAATATGCTGGGAGTTTAGGTATAGAGATTAGAATATGCTGTTACTCTCCAGAGGCAATCTTTGAAAAACAAGAATGTATCTATTTTCAATCTTATAAGTACTATTTTATATATCCAAGTTATATTATTGCAATTGTTGCTCGTCTTTGGCCAAATATGTTGTTCTTATCAACAGTGGTGGGAATGTTATTCCAAGATATTCTTCTGCGCCATTCACCATAGTAAGTTTGATTAAAACTGTGCAAGACCCCTTTCTTTCATATGTAAGACAGCCTCATATTATAGTTTTCTGTTTCAGGAGAGATTCTGGTGCTAAATTACTCAAGGACATAGTGAAGAATTGTTTTACTTGAGGTTTATTCGAATCAAATGGCTTCATTAATTATTAAGCGTATGCTACAAAATTCACATGGATGGGTAAGAATAACAGTTCAAGGAAACTTATTAATATCCATCAGAAAATGAATAAAAATTGCTACTCCGCATTTGCCTCGCCAACTCCAGAATGAAATCTCTGCAGCTGTTAGCCCACGCTTGACATTTGCGTCCTACAAGAGCCGTGCCATAGTTTTGCCTCTTCGCTCACCTTCTTCTTTTATTCAAACCCCTCCATTTCATTCCTTCCTTTGCTATTTAGTTGACTAGTTATTGTTAACTCAAATGGAACACAAGAAGGTCTGTTCTCTATACCTTTTCCAACTTCATTTCATTACAAAGACAGGAAATATCAGGAACCATTCCTCCATTAAAATTCCTTAGGATCCCATCTCCTACAAGACCACTTAACAAATGGGAAGGTTCTTTAGCTCCCCCATGCTGTAAGAATTTTGTTCTTAGTGCAGTTCCCGTAGTTAATGATAGTGGATCCTCCTGGCACAGTTTCTGCCATATTGTTGCGGCAAAACATTTGGCATACAAGTAGCTATAATAACCTGCAAGACAAGTACATTTTATCAGCCATGAAAACGAAATTGTACACAAAAAGGATATTATTAATAATAATGTTTCTAAATTTCACATTTGAGATATTTTGAAGCTCAAGGAGGTTCAAGTTTGTGGATGAGGCTGATAATTTGAAGTTACCTGCACCATAATTTAGGAGGTGATTGAATCGGGCCTCCCAGTGTGTGCCATCCACGTGCTTCCAACTAGTATATTGTCTTTTCAGATCTGCCACAATAGAACTTCTTGGTGGAGTTGGCTGTTCCCCGAAGAATGTTTGGTCAATAACAGCATAAAAAATCTGAGAACAGGAAACAAGCAAGCAAACATTGGTCAGTATTCCTTCTTTGTGGTTTTCTCGTCTTCTCTTCTGAACGCTTAAAAGTGATCATTATTGTTTTATCCACGAAGGTCTTTGGACAATAACCTGACGTTGCAATTCAGTTGCAGCAAACATCTTTCTGGCACCCTGCATTGACTCTACCAGTTTCTCAGGGATGCTTTCACCAGTTGAATAGTGTTTGGCAAATGTCTTCAAAACTCGGTAATCCCATGAATAGTACCTTGACATATCAACAGAAAATATTTTCTCATCAATATCCCAAAAATAGACTCTGATAATTCTGACAGTTGCGACAATTAAGAAGTATCATGCCAAACATATTCATTCAACTACATTGTCTTTCATATATTTCTACAAAGATTTTCATCAGATGAAAGAATGATGGAATAATAATCATAGCATTCAACTCACTCAAAAAGGTTTGAAGGTGCTTCCGCTAAATCAAGAGCCACCCTGGTACCTGAAAAGTGTTGGTAAACCTACAAGAAAATTTAAAAAATGTATTATGAATTTGTGGCAAGGAAGAGGAGTTGATATAGCTTGTCTTCCGAGTCATAAGGTATTTCTAGAATACCGTTCTTGAAAGCAAAGAATGAAGAGCATGTCCAAACTCATGAAACAGAGTTTCCAATTCCCAATGATTCAGCCTTGCAGTTGATGAATTATGTGAAGCAGAAAAATTGCAGACAAGAGCAACAACCTGCGCACCAAACCAGAAAGTCATTGAATGAGTATCTAACCTTTTGGTAATATAGTCTGCAACCCTAGTCAGACATTTTCTCACAAAGAAGATTCCAAAATACTATGTTCTGATATTTAATTAGAGAGTTTCTCCAACAAAAATGCAAACCCATCGGAGTGTCAAAGGTTTTTAGTGTCCAAATGAAGTATTTGCAAGCCCTAATTCGCTTTTCATTCCATTTTGAAGAATCCAACTAGCTAAGAATTATAAAGTATACTCTTTAAAAATGCGTAAATGTGCAACATAAAATTTGACAGGAGAAAAAATGTCTATTTACATACAGGAAGTTGATATTCTGTTTCAGAAACCATGCGGCCACCTTTAATTGCAAAATGAGCACAACCAGGATACTTGCCCTTCCTTGAGTACAAATCAAGGTAGAGATACCCCAAATCACCCTGTAACAAGTGCATAGATTCTAATCAATATAAGTGAAAATCACAGAAGACAAAATCAGTACAATCATGCACGAATTTAATTACACATGTAATTGAAGCATTCCCAGTGCTGCAAGGAATTCTCTTAGACTGTATAACACAGACCAAAGACATTCACACGTATTATCATCGATGTAAATACCTCTTTGGGATGATGAAGTGACATTTTAAGCACATCTGGGTGCCATGATTCACCTGGTGCTAGGGGGATGCTATGAAACGTGGCACCAAACAATGATTCCACCAGCACTTTCAAACCCTTAATGCATTGAGGCAGAGGAAAATACGACGCTACAACCTGCATGAGAGAGACAGAGAGTCAAGAAAACTTCCCTTGCCATCAATATGATGAGTTAACAAGTAAATCAAAGAGATGGTATTCCACAAGCATCGTAGTAAGTAAACATTGCAGTTATCAGTTCTTTACTTCAAAAGCAAACATGGGAGCATAGCATACCGAAGAGTCCAAGTCATAGGCAGAAGACTTCATCATTGCGGTGTAATATGCCTCATCCCATGGCTCTAAATCTCCATATTGCTGACCACATTTTTCTCTTTTAAAATCCCTAATTTTTTTAAACTCCTGAAGTAAAAGTAACATCATTAACAGATAAAACCTGCAGTGTGATCTATAGTAAAAAAGAAAGAGTAGCAATACTTTTAAACACTACAAATAACATATTACCTCATCAGCGCTGGGTTTGACCATCTTGCTCATCTCTAGCAAAAAAGACATCACAACTTCTGGTGACGAAGCCATATTAGGCTTAACAGTGAATTCAGCATAAGATCTATAACCCATTATCTGCATTCAACAATAAGAACAAAGCATACTCATAAGTACAAATACAACAGAAAAAGACCCTACATCAATCCATATCCACTACGTTTCAAATCAGACAATTCCTACAAACTATAGATGTCTACAAAAGATCACAAGAGATCTGCATTAAAGTAACTCCTCAAATGACATACAAGTCTAGAAGGGAAAATGTTCTTGTGAGCAGTAACTTTAACCTGATTCCACACAGGTTTGGAAAGCCTTCTCAACATCTTATAATACTACAGAGAGAGAGAGAGAGAGAGAGAGAGAGAGATAAACCTGAGCAAGCTCATGGCGGGAAGCTATAAGTTGATCAAGAACACCAAGGTTTGCATGAGGAACAGAATTTCCTTTGATATATGCCATTTTCCGGACCTGAAACTAAATTTTAGTTAATTAACAAAAAGACAAGCATAAAACACAATAAATGCAAATGGGAAAGAAATTTAAGTGACATGTAATATAACAAAGCCCAATTTCATTTGCAAAGTAAAGCAAATGAGAAAAAACAAAGAAAGTGCATCCATAGTGTAAACTTAGTTTCCATATTCTGGCATCTAGAACTTACTGCCCTAACTCCCTACCCCAGAAAAGATTCAGAAAACAAGAAAGTCGAGTTTCACCAAACAACAATCAAGTTACCTCATCATTTGGTGCCCCTTGCAGAACACAAGATAGAGTGTGCGGGTCTGTTGTTATACGAAACCCCTTCTCGTTCATGGTACCCCTGGGCCTCCACGAGTCCTTTGAAACTACAGATGTTGAACGATAGATGGGCTTAAGAAGATGGTGCAAATTTCGGGGCATATGTGACGCTGGGAAAATATCCACCGTACCCGGGTCATTAACAATATTTTGATTGAACCTAAACCAAAAACAAATGCATTTGAAGCAAAAGTAAAGTCAATTAGTCAAGCTCTTGATTTAAAATCAAAAATGAAAAGCATGGTACAGCATCAGCAAGCAGTTAAAATTATATCTCCACAACATTGCAAAACTTGAATAAGATACTTTTGGCCCTAGGCTCTAATGGAAAATGGGCAGTGTGGGCCTAAGCTGTGTCTTTGGTTCAAATCTTACAAGCACAATAATTGTGTGGCAGCATTAGTCAAACAAACCAGTAGAAAATAACTTATTTTCCTAAACCTGGTAGCAGGCCTAAAAGTTCTAACTTGCAGTTAACAATTGGCACAGAGGAACGCCCAAAAGAGAAAAGAAAAAAAAAAAATAAGATTAGTAGAATGAGTGTCACTTAAAAAAAATTGAAAACAATTTAAATAAATTAGTACTTACTGTCTGCACAATTGGGAAATTTCTATACTCAGCCGGTTCACTCTATCTACTTTCTCTGCAAAGCAAAAGTGACGAGTTATTTAGCTGCAACAAAATCCCTGCTGTAACAGCAGCATAAAATGACAAGAAGAGAGCAAGTACCAGCAGAAAGATGAATCCCACTCCTCTCAAAGTCAAGGCGGAGGTAATGCGCGACCCTATGAGCTTCGTCGGTGAGCAAGTTGCCCTCTTGCTCGGCTTTAATCACGGCATTATATAAAGTATGATTTGTATTTAGATACTGTAAGACAATGATGAAAATTTTCAAATCAGATACTGGCAATGGCTCATGACTACAATACAATTTATATACATAACAAAACCGTGAGCAAAAAGTTAATAACACTTGCAAAGACGATTCACCGTCACCTCACATGTAGATATTCATTAGCTCTTATTGAAGCTTTTATCGCCTCCTCAACAAATTCCCTAATACACAATCAAGTGAAAATCGACAATGAAATACCGAAACATCGAAAACTACAACAACAACAAAAGTCAAAAAATTCAGAGAATAATAACCTGTCAGGATGGGTTTGTCTACAAAGCTCCGCGGAGTCAATGACAGAACAGACCTATGCAATTAGAGAGTATAACAAAGAATTAGTCCAACAACTCTTAAAAAAAGAGAATTAGACAAGCTGTGAGACCTTACTGTGTTAGAAATCTCATCCATGGCTCTTATTATTTCCGCTGAGGAAGGCATACCTGAAATGTATGCAACCAGCTCTCCGGACCTAAAAACAAAAACAAAACGAATGAAAATGGGGAGACTGATGGAAATCAAAATACCATGAATATTGGGATTTTCAAAGTTTGGACCTTTCGATAGCATCGTCGACGAAACGTCGAAAGCCTTTGGGGGTCTTTAAGTGGTCGAAGCCATAGAGACCGGTGGCGGTGGAGAAGGCGTACTGGCGACCGGTCGTAATAGGGCCCGGATAGCCGAATATATAACCGGGTTTGAACCGGAGCTTTGGGCAAGACCGGCGGAGGAGGCTGAGCATTGTTTTTTCGGTGGCGCCGTAGTGAGGTAGGTCTGCGGAGGTTTTTGATGTTCAGTATGGGTACGACGGACCAGAAATCCAACTGGTTGAGCCGTGGATGTCAAATTTAGAATAACGGTAAAAGAGACTTATATTTTTGACAGTTTTCACTGTAGTAAAAGAACTGTTACTACATTGATTAATCAACATTATCATCTAATTAAATCATGCCAACTCAAAAGTCACATAACACTTGCTTATCCATCATATCATCAATCAAAATAACCAACAAACTTACACACCAAATCATAACGTTGAGTCCTTATTGTAATTGTCCTTGTATCTTTCTCTACGGTTTTCAATTAGGGCACTAACAAAAATCCATGACCAAGATGCCATAAATAAATAAAAGTATCAAATATCAAAGATTTAATACTGAATCTACATCTTTAAAACATAACCTAAAAGAATATCTTAAAATGTTTGGGGATAAGATGAAATGTGACAAATTTTTATAGATAAATTGATGGCAAAAACCAAATTGGAGGTTGCTTCAACTTCTTCATCAAGGTCTTAGCATGTGCAAACTTTAAAATTCTTTGACTTTTGACATTTTACACCCCCAAAATCTGTAAACGAACAATATTTTACTCTCCAATTACAATCAGCATAGAAGTATATGCAATTCGACTCACGTCCTTGAATTTTTGAAGCCATGACAGATATTGAAGAGTTATCACCCATAAACAAAGCAAAATAACCTAAGTCGTTTTTCTCAATCCACTCATGCTCATCATAATTCAGTTTGAAAATTCTAAATTCATTTGTCACAGGACAATGATATGCATAATGTCAAAAGTCAAAGGATTTTAAAGCCTGCACATGCTAAGACCCTAATGAAGAAGTTGAAGCAACCTCCAATTTAGTTTTTGCCATAGGTATATCTGTTAAAAATTGTCACATTTCTTCCCATCCCCAAACATTTTAAGCTTTGAGGTTCTGTTTTAAAGATGTAGCTTCAGTATTAAATATTTGATATTTGATACATTTTTTATTTATCGCAACTTGGTCATGGATTTTTGTTAGTGCACTAATTGAAAACCGTAGAGAAAGATACAAGGACAATAACACCATTGAAATATGTTACCCGAGCAGACAATTTTTTTTTTATTTTTTCGAAATGAAATTATAACGGAATTACTAATCACCAATTTGATGACTTAAAAATAAGGACTCAACGTTATGATTTGGTGTGTAAGTTTGTTGGTTATTTTGATTGATGATATGATGGATAAGCCAAGTGTTACGTGACTATTGAGTTTGGTATGATTTAATTAGATGATAATGTTGATTAATCAATATGTGGACCGGTTCGACATATAACATTTCTTTTACTACAGAAAAAACCGTCAAAATATAAGTCTCTTTTACCGTTATTCTAAATTTGACATCCACGGCCCAAATGTCAAGCGCGGGCTAACAGCTGCAGAGATTTCACTCTGGACTTGGCGAGGCAAACGTGGAGTAGCAATTTTTTTTCATTTTCTGACGGATATTAATAAGTTTCCTTGAACTGTTATAAAATCCTCCCCTTGTACTACTTAAAGCTGCCAACCGGAAGTTTGCTGCTCAGAGACACTATCCATTCAAGAATAATAGAATTCACTTCAACAGGCAGTTCGTCGTGGGGGCAATGACCTGGATTTTAAAAAAACATTGAAAATAAGTAAACTTCCATGAAAATTTTGAGTCTAAATGGAGCAGGATTATGCAAGTATTTTACCCACCGGCATCCAATTCCTTGATTATGAACCCAGCGCAATGTTCTTTAAGCATAGCCACTTTTGACTTGGAATCAGATATTGGATCTCTCATTCCCTACATGACAGAACTTGATTAAGGGACCAAAAAAGAAGAAGAAGATGATCAAATGATGGAAGAGAGAGAGAGAGATTATATCTGCTTGTTAAGATGTTACCTGTATAATCAAAACCCTGTCCTCGAATCCATCCAAGAGATAATTTAGAGGGACTGAGAGATTGAAGCTAAAAACGCTTTCTAGGACCACTGCTACCCCAGGATCATATGACTTTCAAGTTATGTTAAGGAGATAATTTCTGACAAATTACACATGTTCTGGTGGCTCCAAAGAAAAATCAGGAGTGACTACTAGTTCCTAGAGAAACAATAAATATACTTGACATGAAAGAGGATACTGCTCTTAGCATTTCATCAATAAGCCAATTGTCGACTCGCTCTGTTTTCTGCAGAGCAAAGGTAGTAAAAACACAAATCAATACTATAAACGTGAACCATATTCAAAATATAGAGCAATAGAGATACTTACAGCTGGATAACAATTCTTCACTATGTCCTTGAGAGTCAACCTTAAGTAAAACAAAAGGAATTTAGCACCTAGCCATGAAGCACCAGAAGTTCTTCTCTCCTGAAACAGAAAACTATAATATGAGGCTGTCTTACATATGAAAGATAGGGGTCTTGCACAGTTTTAATCAAACTTACTTTGGTGAATAGCGCAGAGGAATATCCTGGAATAACATTCCCACCACTGTTGATAAGAACAACAGATTTGGCCAAAGCAGGACAAAGACGAGCGACAATTGCAATAATATAACCTGGATATAGAAAATAGTACTGATAAGATTGAAAATACATACGTTTTTGTTTTTCAGAGATTGCCTCTGGAGAGTAATAGTTGAAAAATGAAGTAGATAAGCCACCTAGAGAAAAGAATGTAAGAGGTTGTTTAGGTAAGTTGCTTATCTCGTTTCTAGTTTAAAACATACCACCAATTGAGTTCCCAACAAGATGCACTGGTTCACCCACAACTTCAATAATGAAATCTCTAAGCATTTCAGCCCACATGAGTTCAGTGTATACAACATTTGGCTTTTCTGATTTGCCAAATCCTAAAATTGTTATGGCCCAAACTCTGTTTCCACCTTCAGCAATGCTACATATGTTGTCACGGTAATGATCCAAGAAGGCTCCAAAACCATGAACAAGAAGAGTAGCAGGACCTTCATGACCAACAACTGTATACTGACAAAAGGATAATATCATAGTGAAAGAGTATTTACGCAAATTTAAAACCTAACCCATCTAAGTATTTCTTTCAGATTAGAAGCCATGGAAAGTCTTTGAACGAGCAGAAGATCAGTTTTGAACAGAATACCTGAATTAGATAGCCTTTCCATCTCCAAATACGAATATGATATCTTCTGTCATCATTTATCTGACTTTTTAGAGCCACAAGCGAATACCACTGCCACAAAAAACAACTCAGTTGCTTACAAATATACCATGCAAAAATAATGATTTTAAAAAAGCTAGCAACCTCACAAGGTGAGTCTCCAAAGAACCACTTCAATCAGAACATAAATATAATTAGTGCATAACTGGTATAGAACCTCCATTGAGCACACTGAATCAACAGTTGTAGCAACCGTAGCGGATGAATATCCAAAAGAAGACAGAAATCCAGAATCTCGTTCTTTCTCATACTTGAGAGCTTCAAAATGTACTCTCCTTCTGGATAGGATGCCAAGAGAAAGGGCAGGACCAAAGAGTGTAGTAAATGAAGCCCCATTCCGACTTTCAGCATAAGGCATCCTTTCATGTACCCTGCAACAAAATAATCCCAAAATACCCTCTCTTTTTTTGTTAATGCAGATACGAAGAGAAAGGAATACATGATTATTTAAGGTTTTTTCTTTCTCTAAAAAACATTATAAAATATGACTACATACTCCTTCCAGTAGTGATCCCGTTCTGTTCCCTCTAAATATCGCAAGTACGCAGCCAAAGCTTTCAATATGTTGCTTGTCCCCCCTCCCACAGAATGTCCTTTCACAAAGACAGAATTCTCGTGTCTCTTTGATTGGACCTGGACATGTCTAAAACTCGAATTGATTGTATTTCTTCCTCCGGGCTTCAAAATTTCCTTCATGAGAATTGTTTCAGTCAACATCTCCTTCGTTGAAGCCCAACTTTCTTCCACTTTGCATGGATTTGCCTTCACAAACTCCATCAAATCATCAAATGTGGGGATAGCACCTAAAATCACAGTACAGTTATCCTTGTCACTAGTACACATATTACAAGATAGAACTTTGCTAAATTTTAGTACCAAAACAAATCAAGTACAAGTATAAGCAGAAACATGAACAATCTTGGAACTTTACCCCAGTCCAATTCCATTTCACCACCAGTTAATGTTGCCGGAGGAAGTGGCAAAGTTATCGGTAATCGAAGCTTGGTAAAATCATTGTACGAATCAGGAATATCTTTCAAACTCTACACATTATACACATTCATACAATAATTAAAATAACTACAACCACTCAATTATAAACTAACTTGATGAACAACCAGAATTCTCAAACATAAATCGAAAAACTAGTCAAGAAAAACAAAACTACCTTCACATCATAAAACGGAGTCCGCCACAGCACAAAGTTGGGCGCAGAAGGCATTGCTTCCAAGGTGCCCTTGACACTACCAGTCATCTGCCTATATCCATACTCCACCTCCTCCTCAGCATAGACAGTGGTGACAAGCTGAACCTGTTCCAATCCTTCTGTGATGATGAGTGGTTCAACTAGTCTCTCATACACAGTAAGCAAAGCTAATATATTTATCTAACAACCTCTTTTACAAGCTCTTGTAGCGCACTCTCAGCACTCCCCAGCCTGATCATCAAGTTCGAACCTTTATCTCTCAACGAGCTTCTCAAATCTTGTAAAGCAAGCACAAGCATTTCTATCATTTTCTCGGAAAAACCTGCATATTTTAATCCCATCAGTTCATCTATGTGTATTATTGTACATCAGTGCATATATACGTCAGACTTACGGGAGATGATGCGATGATCGAAGATGTAGAGAGGAACTACGGCGTTGTGGTTAGAGGCGGCGAGGAGGGCTGGGTGATCGTCGATTCGAAGGTCGTGCTTTAACCAAACGACGGCTACGCCGGCCTTCTCTGCATCGGTGACCGCAATTTGAGCTTTGAAACGGCACCGTTTGGGTGAGACGCGGAGAGTGTTTGGGGAGAAGGAAAGCGAGGGAAAGCGTAGGAAAGTGACGAATGAGGCCATGTGGGAGAGGAAGAGTAGACTGTGGAATGTGGATGTGGATGTTCATGTCCATCTAAGGAAAGTAGAGAGCAAAAGTGTTATTGAGGATAAATCAGAGGACTTTGAGAGTTTGACATTGTTTGAAAATGCAGAAAACTATTTTTGTGGTGCAGAAAATTGAATCAAACACCTGAAAATTGAAATTGGGATTTTGTGGAGGAGAACCCAATGCACCACACTCTCTCTCAGTCGAGTCTCGCAGTGTTTCGTTAGAGGGGAGAACGACATGTCGTTCTCTTACAGGCCAAAAAACACAAAAAAGGAGCCGAAGAAGGAAATTTCTACTAACCAACTAAACTGAAAATGGCGCTACAAATCCACAGTCCCTCATCCTTCACCAGCAAACCCTATCATCATCTTCCTCACACTCCTCTGCTCCACTTTTCAGTCAGAACCCAATTCACAGTCAAGTCACAGACACCATCAGAGCCGTCCAAGCCCGAAGCTGAGACCACCCAGGCCCCACCCAAGAAACCCACCTCAGCTGGGCTCGGCTTTGGGTCATCTCCTTCTTCTCCAACCACGCAGAATGTGACTTCTGTCCCTAATAAGAAGAAAAGGGTAATTCGGAGGTCACCAGTGGAAAAGCCGCTACTTTATTCTGAAGAAGATGAGGCTAAGGCCAAAGAGATGGGCACAAATGAGAGCGCTTTTGTTCTTGCTTGGTTGGGGCTTGGCGGTGTCATTCTAGCTCAAGGACTTCTTCTCGCTGCATCGGGTATTTTTACTCACCCCTCCATTAATTGTGATTGCACTGGTGTGAATCACAATACCCAATAAATGAAATTTTTATTGGGTATTGTCTAAAGAATAGATTTTTGTTCAGCATTTGGTTGAATTATAGGAGTTAATAGGTTTGAATCATTTGAATGTGACTGAGAGTTAAGTTAACCAGTATAGTTGTGGGATTGTTTGCTTTGATGGCTTTCAAATTGTGTTGTTAGTTATCTAATCTTGGCTTGCTAGATCTTATTGATGGAAGGAGAATTGTTTATCGAAAAATGTTTTGTGTTGCAGTAACAAACGCTTTGACAATAAACAAAAGACCAAGCCCGTTGGCCCAAATCTGCCATTGAGACTGTTTTGGTCCAAAGAGAAATGAGGTTTAGTAAAGGGTTTTACTCATAGGTTACATCTTTGCTTATCTCAGTCCGGCATGTTAGCCAGTTAGGACTCAAATTTCATCATTTAGAATCCAATTCAGTATCTTGTACTCATCTGCGGTCATTCTTTTAGTCTAATCCATATAGAAAACCCTTGTTGGTCCCAAACATTCCTGTCCCTTTTTCGTGCCCAGACATATCTACCATGATACTGCACAAAATGGTTCAAGTTCTAGAACATTTGTCCAAACAAGCGGCTCAATTTGAACTGAATAATGTTCCACTCTCACTGACCGTCCTATGACTTAATTCGAAAAATCAACACAGAAACACCATTTTGATCTTCTTCCTGGAAGCGCAACACCAACTATCAAACATTGTTCACATTGAGCTCACAAACCATTCCTTTTAAGAGCCTAACATATTCAGCTGACCCCCCTGATTATTGGAGTATTTCTTCACATATCTGAAAAGGCAGTACATTGTCCATAATGATTGATTACTTTAATGTAAAGCAAAAGTTTTATGCGATAAGTCATGGAAGTTATTTCTATAATCGATTTGATAAATTACACTTTACATTCTCTTCATGTTGCAGATGATTAGTTAACTTTCATTTCAGGCTTCCTGCCAGAAGAATGGGACAAGTTCTTTGTGAAGTATTTATATCCGTCTTTTACACCAACAGTCGGCTTGTTTGTTGCTGGAAGTGTTGTGTACGGAGTTTTGAAGTATCTGCAGAATGAGGAACTTAAAGGTAAGAAATGATATTTATTTGTATAGATAGTACATGTGGAGCCAATTCAGTAGTTTTTCAAGCTGTACTTGTAGTGCTTTCATGCTTGATAGAAAGATGAATCAGCTGAGAAATTGCAAACCACCTCCATTGGATCCGTTAAGCACAATGTGCCATCCCTTGATTAATTTCTACAAGCTATACTTGAAGCCATTTTATTTTTAAAAGTCACATGGCAAAAGTTCAGTAACAGGCAGACCGTTGGATCTCACATGTCTCCCAGGCCCCATTGAGGAGAACCCTCATGTTCTAATGGTCTATCCTGTCACTGGACTATCCAGGTCAAGAGAGAATCCATACACAATTGTATGCTACACTGTTTTTGCCCTGTGCTCTTGGCCTTCATCCTTTTACTTATATTGCTTTATACCATAGTATTGCACCCATCAGTCATTGTTAGAATTAGAAAGGAGTAGATTATCTCGTGCAACATTCATCCTGTCATCCTTAGTTGGTAGCGATGTACTATAACAAGCTTGTCATGATTGGATTACTTGTTTGTGTTCTGCTTTGAATTTTTTCTTTTCTATACTTCCATTTTTTCTTCTCTATTGCAGTCCAGTTGCTCTCACCTATCTCTTGCCCTCTTCTTAGATATTATTAAGTTGGTTCTGGCCTCGTGACTGAAAAGTGCACTTTTCTCACCATTGAACTGTTGTGCTTATTACATCAACTTAATCCACCTCTCTCACCATGAGATCTGTGATCACATCAACTTAATTTTTTTTATTAACCCTTGAACAGACACCCTACATTATTTTCTATTTCTAGGTTTGGAACCTGTGAAGGTGGTCTGCATCTTTTTTTACAAGTTATAACCAGTCAGTCAATCACTCAAGGGAGAAACTTCATTAATTTCTTATTGCATCCCTATCCCGATGTAAGGTTAGATAAAGATAAGAAACCCTTAAAGATTCCACAATGTCCGCTGCTGCATAAACGATTGAAAAGGAGGAGAAAGTCTTGGCTTGGGTGAGGCGGTCAGACCACATCGCCTGTACAGCCACCCTCACAAGCAAGGGGAACCCTTGTGTTGGGACCCTACCCAGCCCCACAATGGTCCTACCCCGAATGCAGGGGGTTCCACTTGCTTGTGAGTGTGATCGTAAGGATGACGTGGTCCAACTGCCTCATCCAAGATCTTCTCGAAAAGGAAAAGGAGAGGCATATTTGTACTGACTGAATTTAATTACAATGGTTGCTGGTATAATCTCTAGAAGGAGGAGGGCTTGCAGTCGTTGTTCTAACATTAAGTCCATCTTTCCTTCATTTATTTAACCATGAGTGCTACAGTTGGTGTATTTGGCCAGAAGATCCTAACAATTGGCACCAGAAACACTTATAACTTCTGATAAATCAATCAGAAGATCCTAACAGATGGCTTCTCTTGCAATTCACAAAACCCGACCCGTCCGGCCCGACTTGTTTAAAGTTGAAACCAGAAACCAAACAAACACTAAAGTTAAATTTTTGCGACATGCAACTTGTTATATGAGCTTTCAAATGAAATACTTGTGCATTGGGACCCAGAAAGCTAGAATATTATTCATCTAGTAACCTCTTACGATACATGTCAAGGAAAACAAAACAAAAGCATACGTGAAAGTGTAACACCTATCCAATTTTATATACACAAAAACACTTGAAACTTTGTCAAAGTCCCGAGCTTCAGGCGCCGCTGCCACTTTTATAATTATGTTTTCAACACTGATTAGATTAAAATAATCAGAGTGCTAAACATTTGAGTGACACTCCTACTACTAGTACTAGCCATATTATTCTTCCTCCATTTTCAGGTCAAAACTGATGTCCTAAATAGTTTGGATTTTCAATTTGCAAGTAGATGGAGTGAGAGCCAGCTGGGTTTTCCGCTTGTATGTGTAATGCATTTTGACCGCTAAAACTTGAAATTGTCTTTTAATACTTTCGATGGGGTAACCCAAATTGGGCCATACCATTGAACTAAACAACAAAATTCTTGAACATGAAGTCTTTCTATGGATCTGCATGATTATGAGTTTGTTATTTAGTCAATGAGCTCTTATTATTGCTACTTTTTACACAAACGATATTGAGAGGAGGGAGTCAAACCCGTGACCTTAAATTTAAGGGAAATAATATTGAAGAGGAGGAATTCAAACACGCGACCTTGAATTCAAGGATAACTGCTCTTATTATTGTTGGTTCGTGTAAAGTAAGTCATTAAAACATACCCAACACAAGAGAAACAAATATATCGGAGCCCCCGGTGAATTTGGAGCCCCCCTGTGCTGGCCAAGTTATTACTGTGGAAACACAAAAAACAGTAGGTTGTGCTTTTCGGCAGGGTTATCAAGCAGCAGGCAACTTGCTTGGTGCCTCTTTTCATAAAAAGTAAAACTGAAAAAGCATTCAAGATTTTATTTTTTTAAAAGATAACACAAAATAAAATAAAAGTTGTAGTATCTCGTAAGCCTCACGGCCCAAATCCCGATAAAGTTAACCTAAGAAATTTGAGAGGAGAAAGGGTAATGAAAAAATGAAAAAACAAAGGAACAAGTGGGGCACAAGGTACTGAAGGAGATTTGATGAAATGCACACACAAGGTCGTCTGAAATTGACACTTGATCCAGCGTGCTAATGGCATATAATAAAACATTATGATACAACCGAATTTTCATTTCATTACCAAAAGAATCAATTGGAGTCTCGCGGTGGATGGCAATGAAATCTTACCAGTCAGTTTTGAAGGGACTCATCTTACAAGTACGTTTTGTTGGTATATGATATTAGGTGGAAACTTTCAATATTGGCCAAACCCACACAACTGTGAGATTATGGTGAAAACTAATTGTTAGAGTTTAGGTGGCCAATCGGTATTATCGAAAACTTAATCATCTTTGTAAACTTTATTGATGAACATGATGTACGCGAGATCATTATATTTCGATTTATAATTTTTAGAGTGATTTGTCACAAAAAAGAGCAGTGCTAAGTATAGACTTGAGATTATCATGGACAAACAAATCAAATGTACCGGTCTAACTCTGTCATTGAGTACAAGGCGTGTCCATGATCGGACAACTAAAGCAAAGGAATAGTAAAGGTTTCTCTTTGTAAATGAATGTCTACATAGGAAAAATCATGAAGGTAGGACCTATAATCCTGTCTTTTTCACGTTGTGAAATCACCAAGGCTATGATGATATGGGAAAACAAGTTTAACCTCTTTAATAATCAAAGTGGAATTAAAAGAGACATATGATTAAAAAAATAATAATTTGGAAGGAAAAAGAAAAAGAAAAAGAATGAGATGAACAATTTCTCCTAGTCTAATCTTCTATTGTGGACTAGTTAAATCACAATGACCTTCACGACAAGAGCCATTGAAATTGGAAGTGAAATCATGGACCACACAGAAAAGCAAACCCTAATAACAACAAGAATCAGATGCTTATCAATCTTTCGCCATTCGCCATATCAAATCAAATTATAATAAGATTGAATTTCGGAAACAATCATAATATATAAGGAACACGAGCACGTTTTGTTCTGCTAGACTAGAGGAATTGATAAGGAACACGAGCACACTTGTTGCCAAGAGCAAAAGGTCGGTACAGTCCAGGTCCACCAAACGTAACAGTCTCGAGTAAATGAGCACTAAATTCTTCAAGCGCGTACAGATAGATAGCCATAGCGCCATTCCTTTATTCATCACTGCTGCACTCTATCATTGCTCACCAAAGATGCATATATCTAATTTAGGGTAATTTCTAATTAGATTAAGATACATTATGAACATATTCTAAACAGGGAAGGGTGTTCGAAGTCGAGTGGAATGAAGCGGATACATGGACTTAACCATTAGCCTGACCCGCATTTACAAATACATTAAATAGCTCCACCTGCTCCTAATCCTTGAGAACTCTCACACTACAAATAAGGCGGGAAAGACAGCTATTTGTATACAGAACCAGTATACAATAAATATATATCATTATTACAATAATTAACAAGCTTAACTACCTTAACTAATCATGCACTTAACAAACGGACAAGCTTCGCAACGGCCCAGACCCGAAGACCCAAAACCACCACACACCAAAAAAAAACCCGAAAACAGAAAAAGAAGAAGCAAAATAACCCAGAAATAGAGACAAAAGATAAAAGTAATAAACATCCGAAAATTTTACTGGTCAAGTGCATTAGGTCCGGTACAGTAATTTAAAATGTGGCTCCAAACCCACTGAACCAAGAACTTCCGTCGGATCCCATTCATATTGTACGTGGCACCATCGTGGTCGTCCAACAGCTGACCCGTGTACGACCCGCCGCCTCCGGTACCGTAGATGCCCTCGCATAGATCGGCAATCTCAACAGGGAAACTCGGGTCCTGACCCGCATACCAGGCGTTTACTAAAGGGTTGCTTGCCAGCTCAGCAATCTCGTGTGCGATAACGCTTATCATCCCCTCCACTCCTACGTCACCGTTCGGTGACTTTAACGGTTTCAACCCGGGCATATAATCGGGTACGGCGAATGGGTATGCGCACACACCCGGGCACAGTTTGGCTGAGTTGCCAATCCAAGCGTACGGCAACGTGTATCCGACAATGGACGGGAAAGTGAAGTAGTGGAACCCACAGACCTGTCTGCAGAAATCCTGAACGTACACGTCATCAGATGTGAGTAGGAGGTAGAGCCCATTCTGGGGGCTGATAGGCAACGGCCGTGTTCTGGCTGTGACGGCGCTTTTGATCACAGACTGTATGGATAACCGGGTCAGGGTTTTGCCGTGGGAGTAAAAGCGGTCGTTTTTCTCTGCGCCGAGGCGCACCGTGCGGGAAATGTTCGCGCCGGTCTGGTCCGTGTACAGCTGTACAGTTTTCCACCATCCGGCGACGGAGGGGCGTTTGGAACCGGCGGCGGAGATTGAGTTGATGAACTCGCGGATGATCTTCTTCTGGGCCGGCTGCCACGTGCCGTACCAGATTGTGTGGACGGTTATATTGGCGGTTAGGACCGGGCCCATATGGTATTTCAAGTGGACGAACTCAGATGAGCCCTCGAATTTTTTGTTGTCTCCGAGTTGGAGATCGGTGGCGTTGGATTTAAGGTGGGGCCAGGGGCGCCATCCAATCACTGGCGCGGTGGAGAGGAGCACGGTAAGTGCGATGAGGAGGAGGAGCACCGGAGCCGGTGGCTGAGAAAACCGACCGGCACAGCCCTGGCGCATTTTAAATTTCTGGAAAGTGGGTGAGTAAGTGTGAAGTGGGAAGAAGTCGCAAGTGTCTGATATTTTTCGCGATGAGGGGTATATATAGAATAAATAATTAATTAGTTAGTTTATTTTTCTTTAATTTGGGAATCGAAAAAAAAGAAAAAAATTGTTGGGAGGGGGAGGCATTGGTTTGCGGGTAATGGAGGACAGATAGATTCTTAAAGCCAAGTGTTGTGAGGGACGGTGGTGGGGCCGCCAAAGTCAGACGTGGCAGCAGCATCATCATGATCATCATGGTCTAATGTCGTCATCTGATCAGATTTGATCTCAGCCCTTTATGTGTGCGTGTGTTCTTTTTTTTATTTTTTATTTGTTTTGCCGAGCGCGGGAAAATAGGCCTAAATGGAAAAGTACAAATAACAAATGTTAGGAGGTCACGCTCATTGTTTATCGCCTTTCTAATTGTACTTAATGAATTTTATTTCTATTATTATTGGGATTTTTTTTTTAATTCGAAAAATAATACATAAAATTTGAATTTTTAAATCATTTTTATATATTTTCCGTACATATTTGAAGATATTTTTGGTGGAAATGAATTATTTTGAATTCGACAAGTGATGTTGAAAATATATAGGAAAATTAGAATGGATAAAAATGTGTACGGTTGTTCCGGATGTGCAAGGCAGACGTCAAGGGTGGTCCTCGTACATATTGTTGTTGGGATATATTCTTTTTCTTTCTAGTGTAAAATAATAATAATACAACATTGGTTGGTCAGAAATAATTCTGAACAAAGTGAAAGTCTTACTTTGATAGTTTTTCCCAAACATCTCAACACGCGGGCTTATATAGTATATGAATGTGATAGTATTATTCAACCAACCCAGACTGCTTTTGGTAGATTTTGGTCCATACCCTTGTAACTTTCTTCCATGTCAAGTCCCTATCGACAGAAGCTACAGCTCTTCATGTTAGAGTTTCACTGTTTGAATTTTATTAATTCCTACTCAATATTCATCTAATAAGCCCATCAAATCCTCACAGGTGGATTAGGCCTGTTGTTCAAGTCGATGTGTCCGTCCCTTTGCATCTTCGAATTGGAGTCCCCCTTCATTTACCATAGAGTAGCATCATTTTGTTAAAAATGGAAGAAAAAAATCATCGAATTCTTCCACAATCTGAAAAATATGAAACTATGAGCTATTAATCTGATATTCATGATCAGTGAGGACCACGGGGCAAGAAGCAGCCATCAAATATGAAACAACGGCCATTATCCTTTACAAAATCTGTACTCAAACCACTCTGGCTTTTACCAAAGGACAATCCTTTCGATTGGCTTTTTCATCTAAATTTACCACAATAACCTTTCTTGGCCTATTAATATACACTACTAAAGTCCGAGTCTCTGGACCCCCCCGCCCTTTCCTTGATTCTCTTCTTTTAGCAGCATGATATTTGTAACCAGGCCATTCTTGAATTCACTGGAGGCAAAGATACATATCACTATCTTTTCATGCTCTGTTGAAATAATGACAAATCAAGCACACGAATAAACTTGTATATACATCTTATGATTACTGCATGGTGTTTGCATAATATATTTAGAATGTGGGACCTTTGGTATATAACATATTTACAGTATCATATAGCATAATTAAATTCTCACAGTTTGAATCTATATATATAAAGCAAAAGGTAGAGAATGGTGAAACATTCAAAATACCAGAAAATGCTCTTAGTTAATGTAAACATTAAGAATTGAAATTATTAATTAAATGAGGATAATACAGTAAATTAACACCTTTTCATATTTTAAAAAATAAAATAAAAATAAAAAAAATAATTGAACCTATTTTTATGGAACACAACTACCTATTATCTTTTTTAATTCTATAATAAATTTAATGTTTTTTTAAAAAAGTCTCTCGCAGGCGCGGAAACGCATGCAGAGAGGCTAGTGTCAATTATGGTAAGTTCATATTTATTTTAGCTTAACCTATGTTTATTCTTATGATAACGATGTTTCTTGTATATTGAGGTATTGTTAGTTGGGTGGGCTAGTTTGATATTCAATACATGTCGAACGCACAATAAATCGACATTCATTTCACATTACGTAAGTTCTTCATATAATAATGCATGGAGAGCGATATATATTTTAAATTACTATAATGTATGGAGAGCGAGGTCGAATTCAAGTGTCAGGAAAAGGACATACTGACCCATATATTTTTTTTCTTTCCTCTTTCTAATAATTAAATAAAACAAAAACAAAATTGACCGATAATTTGAAGGTACTATGGTATATGTCTAGCATAAGTTTAAGAAACAACTCAAAAGTATACAATCATACACTACACAAGTTGGGTGTTGCAATTTGCAAATCACGGAGTAAATTGCGCGGCTTCCTAATGATGAGTCAGACTAAATTGTACCCCACAAAAAAACCCCCCCAACACAACCCCCCCCCCCGGGAAAAAGCCCCACCACACCCAAAAAAACCCCCCCCCCGCCCCCCCAAAAAAGAAAAAAAAACACCCCCACCACCCAAGAAAGAAAACAAAAACCCCCCCCCCCAAAAAAAAAAAAAAAAAAAAAAAAAAGAAAAAAAAAAAAAAAAAAAAAAAAAAAAAAAAAAAAAAAAAAAAAAAAAAAAAAAAAAAACAAAACAAACAAAAAAAAACAAAAAACAAAAAAACACAAAAAAACAAAAAACAAAAAAACAAAACAAAAAAACAAACAACAAAAAAACAAAAAAAAACAAAACAAAAAACAACAAAAAACAAAACACAAAAAAACAAAAACACAAAACAAAAAAAAACAAAAAACAAAAAACAAAAACAAAAAACAACAAAAAAAAACAAAACAAACAACAACAAAAAAAACAAAAAACAAAAACAAACAAACAAAAAACAACAAAACAAAAACAACACAAAACAAAAAACAAAAACAAAAAAACAAACAAAAAAAACACAAAAACAAAAACAAAAACAAAACAAAAAAAACAACAAAAAACAAAAAAAACAACAAAAACAAACAAAAAAAACAACAAAAAAACAAAAACAAAAAAAAACAAACAAAAAAAACCACAAACTGTGAGGAAGGGGGAGACGAGTGGGCCCCACCGTTGAATGTGTGTGACGCTCTGCTCAAGAGCCAAGCCGAGCAAACACCGAACCGAAGCAGCGCATGCACCGAGAGTGTGTGTCTCAGTTTCTCTCTGCGTTCCACCAGGCGCGTACATGTACCGTCAAGACAGAGTTGCGGAAACTTTGGGGTATATGGCGGGAAGACTGGTAACAGTCTCAGTCTGCATTCAGAGTTTTACTTTCGTGTGCCCGCGTTTAGTGAACGCGCGTTTCTACTGGCGGAAAGGTTGGTTTTCGCCTTTCAAGGTGGATGTTGGTCCAATCCCATAGGGCCGATAGTATAGTAAACTGTATAGCACGCATTGATTGGACCTACTAATCCATTCCATCCCTTTCCCTCCATCTTTTTCACCAGCCTCTTTTGTATTTGCCACTTGTGAACGAAACGACAGTTTCTTTGTTACATTCGACTCATCTCATTTTATTTTAACTTCGCTGCATATTTCTTTTTTGTTTTTGGGGGTATTGAAATAAAGTGTATTTCATGATAATGATATAAGCTAATTCTAGCTAATCCCACTTATAAGCTAAATCATATTGTGTTGTGCCGATGATTATGAACCGTTAATTGAATAGACTTAAGTATAATATGAAGCCCGTGTCATTAAATTAAGATTGTGAATATTATTCATATACAAGTCGAAAAAGTATAATCTTTCTTCCTTCAATAGATTACGTAATTGAACTTTAGTTATAATGTTATCCATCCGATGTAGTAAATATATGTATGTATGTATGTATGTATGTATGTATGTATGTATGTATCATGGAGGGGCCATGAAATTGAAGACATTTAACGTACATAGACAATAGTAGTCTGTCACATCGTCGATGTATGATTGAGTACATGCACATCAAGTACGAAGCCAGGCCATAGACCGCAGAGAGCATGCATGCATGGCATTACCATGTTTCAGGTATTAGCATATTCAAATCCAAAGTTTATAGGTGAGAGAAAATTATGAAGGGGAAAGGGAAGCTTTTATGCTGTCACCAAAAACGATGGGATTGGCCTTGGCCTCTGAGAAGGACAGGAGAGATGAGAATTGGTTTATAATTTGCCTAGGGTGGCATTCGCATGCTCTCATCAACTGCTTGATATGAAGAAGAGTTTGGAAGTTTATGTGATTTTGATATAAATTGGTTGGTTTTTGTTGTATAGCTTGTATTTTCTGCACCTCCTTCCCGACAACTTCTGGATAGACATTATACCTCTTTTTGTACCTTTCTTGGTAAAAGTAAGTAACTTATAATTTACAGACTACAGTAGCATATTTTGCTTGCTCAATCCTCAAAAAAATATTTTTGGTTAGGAATTTAGGAGAACCCAAAATACAGAATCATTGAAACAAATCATTAGCTAGTTAATTACTTAACTATATGTGCTTGTTCTTGTTTTAAATCGTGCCTTTTTTTTTGTTTCCCGTAATCAAAGTGCATACGTAGTAGGTGAATAACTTATACTCGCTGACATGAGATCAAGTATGCAGATTTTGAAACATCGAACACAAAATCAATTGAAAATAAATTAAGAGATTCGCGAGTCAGGATACATGTGTACTGTAAATAAAAGGACTGAAGGAAGAGTGCTTCACTATACCTGCATTATTGGAAATTAAGATATGTACACACACATTCCTGGTGCATATATACGTATGCCTATAGCTAGCTAGGCTTTATCTTGGTGGTTGATAGATTGAATGAAATAGGCCAAAGGAAAACTAATGATGTGAAAGAAGAGAGGTGAGTGAAATGTAAATTCAGGAATTTAATATGTACCTTGCTCTGGTGGTTGAAATCTCTTATTTATTTTGTCAAGTACTGAGAGAAGAAGAAGAACATGCAGCATGAGTTTCTCTCTTTTCACCTAACCAGATTGACAGTATATAATATTGCGCTTTCATGATCCATCCATGCATGTGTATGCAAATTAAATTGCTCTATCGCCACATTGCACATGAAAATTATTAAGGCCACCTTCCATGCCTTCCATGGTGGCTGGCTAGCTCATTCAAGAAATGTAAAATTGTAACAACAATGAGTCACGTCATAGTTCCATTACGGGGAACAAGTTATGGAAAAGCTTCAATTGATTTTATGATATGATTTCACAAAAAGCTTGCGCCCCGCAGATATGATGGTGGTGTGTGTGGGTGGGCACAGCAAATGACTAAAGTGGCTAGAGTTTTTATGAATGAATAAAGATTCAAAGAACCGAAAGAAGCCACACAGGTGATGATGAAATGAAAATGGTGCTGGTGTTGTTGCGGGTAATAAAACAAAAGCATGCACAGAAATGAATGATTGCTAAAGATCAGAGTGTTGAAAAAAATGAGCAAAATATATGAAATCTATGTTCATATATGTATGTGATTGCAAATGATTTCAACTAATCAATGAATTTCAATGCATGTTTTTCGATGCTTAATGAGGTAAAGGAGCCGAAAGCTTACCAACAATATTCGTCTTTTTCTTTTTCGTTTTCGTTTTTGTTTTTTCAAAAGAAAAAATAGAAGTGACTGAAGAGACCATGTAAGAAGGAGAGGCCTATTAATATTAATTAACCATGATTTTATGGATTTGACAGAAGCAAGCAGCTTTTGTTGCTTGATTTGTTCAAAAAATTCCTCTAATCAGACGTATCAGTGTTCAATGTTTAATGGGTGAATTTATACTTTGGTTAAAGTCAAGTGATATGACCTCCTCTTTGTCCCCTTTTCCCCATCCCATAATCAGCTCACCAAAAATATCTTCAACAGTTGGGAAATTGAGATTCAAGTCCACTGTGGTGCTCCTCAGTTGATTTATTTTTGGTCTGGTGCTCATTAGTTGATTGGAGAAGAGAGGGAAAAAGTGAATTACCGTATCTTCTGAAAATGAAAACGTTGAAAACGAAAACAATCCACCGAACGGGTATTTGTCGAAAAACAGGAAATAGAGAACAGAAACGGGCTGTAAAAACGATACCGAACAGGCCTTTATTTTTCTTTGATACCGCAAAAGGTGTTTTCAGGCTTTAAGATTCATGTTACTCAGAACTGGGCTGGCTTCTTCTGTTTGGGGAGTAGGAATAGGAAAGAAAAGCCCAATGTTCAGGGTCAGGGCCCATATGTGAAATAATAAGATGTATTTATTTGTGAAAGCAATCCCTTTCCTTTCAAAATTCTATTTGTTTAAACTCCTTTGCAAACTTTCAGACCCAAAAAAAAAAACACTCCTTTGCAAACTTTGCTTCCCTCCCCTATCCAGTTTTCCTTCGTCCTCTCTCTCTCTCTCTCTCTCTCTCTCTCTGACACAAAAAAAAAAAAAAAAAAAAAAAATACACCAACCTACAAGCAAATAGTAACCAAACAACACAGAAATTAAGTTACACTTGGACCATCAAGGGAGATGAGGACAAGTCACAAGCCCAATCCCTCTGTCACCCGAAAACCCAACTTTGATTTTTGACTTCAAAGTCTTCAATTCACATGCAAACTCCTTCACATCACAAACTTCATAAATCCCCATTAACACAAAACTCTTCCCATTTAAAAACCAATGGCAAAAGATTAAAAACCCAGAACCAAAAAAAAGCCGAAGATAAATTTTCCCGGGAAAATTTCTTCAATGGACAAACCCATACACACTCATCGGTTTCGCTACCGTTGCTCCATAACCAAGCTCATCTTCTGCTGGTTCACCATCCTGCTCGCCTTCTTCTTCTTCTTCCTCCTCAAAACCCCATCTTCCAATGCCAACCGCCGAGTCCTCCCAAGCCTATCCACATGGGAAAACGTCGTCGTCCAATCCGCCAAGCCACGTGATAATTCCACCGGCCACTCGGTTCTTGTCACCGGCGCCGCCGGTTTCGTCGGAACCCACGTCTCGCTCGCGCTCAAAGAACGCGGAGACGGCGTCGTCGGAATAGACAACTTCAACAAGTACTACGACCCGTCGCTGAAACGCCGTCGTTCGGATCTGCTACTGCGCAATGGGGTCTTCGTACTGGAAGCAGACATCAACGACTCTGAGAAACTCGCCAAGCTTTTCCGGCTGGTGAAGTTTACCCATGTCGTCCACTTGGCTGCTCAGGCCGGCGTTCGCTACGCTCTGAAAAACCCAGCTTCTTATGTCCACAGCAACATCGCTGGGCTCGTCAATGTCTTCGAGGTCTGTAAATCAGCGAACCCACAACCTTCGATTGTTTGGGCTTCGTCTAGCTCTGTGTATGGTCTCAATTCTAAGGTACCCTTTTCGGAAGAAGACCGTGCGGACCAACCAGCAAGCTTGTACGCTGCAACGAAGAAAGCTGGGGAAGAAATAGCACACGCTTATAACCATATCCATGGGCTGTCCATTACTGGGTTGAGGTTTTTCACTGTGTATGGGCCTTGGGGCAGGCCTGATATGATGTACTTTTTCTTTACTAAGAACATGTTGAGAGGGAAGCCTATTGTGGTTTTTGAAGGCCCAGATCATGGCTCTGTTGCCAGGGACTTTACGTACGTTGATGATGTTGTGAAGGGTTGCTTGGCTGCGTTGGACACGGCTGAGAAGAGCACCGGGAGTGGCGGCAGGGTTGAGGGGCCAGCGCAGTTGAGGGTTTTTAATCTCGGGAACACTTTGCCGGTGCCAGTGAGTGAGGTGGTGAGTATTATGGAGACGTTGCTGAGGGTGAAGGCTAAGAAGGTTGTGATGCCAATGCCGAGGAATGGGGATGTTTTGTTTACTCATGCTAACATAAGCTTGGCGCGGAGGGAGCTTGGTTATATGCCCACAACAGATTTGAAGACAGGGTTGAGGAAGTTTTTAAATTGGTATCTTGATTATTATTCGGAATCAAAGAGGGAGAGTGTGTGATAAATGAAATCATGTTTCTTTATGGTGTTCATGAATTATGTAAGTCAATCTTAATAGTGTTTAATTTCTTGTTTCAATTTGATGCGCATATAGCATCTCAATTTAGCGTTTATTGACAATTTTGTTCAGAACAGTGAATTTTTTTCTTAATCAACAGGACAATGTGTCAAGAAGAGAGCTTATTTTTTAAAGAATTTTGGCAGTGTTGTCAAGTTCATTAGCAGTATGCAATCAGCAGCTGAATTACGCCTAGGATCTAAAACATTCTACTTCAAAGAAAACATCGTAAACATTCATCGTGACCAAGAGGCAAGCACATAAGAAACAAAAATTATGAAACAGGTTTCGGTTTTTTTGGGCTCAACGACAACAATCGGAATCTCAATCCAACCAGAATAAAGTATAACAGGAGAACATTTCTCCGTTCCACAGTGAGCATTAATGGGAAGGAAACGACGCTAAAGTACTTCTATTTAACATCAAAACATGGGAGTGCATAATCATATCAAAACAACAGCTCAAGAAAATTGCAAACGACACTACCAAGTCTTTAAATTCAAGATTAGAACACAACAAACAAGCTCATTTTAAAGTAGGAAGGCTACACTGAAAACGGGTCCAGTTTAAGAGTCTGCGATTGTAACCTCCACTTCCACACCAGGTTCAATTGTAATGGAAGTAATTTGCTTGACAACATCAGGTGAACTGAAGAGGTCAATCACCCTCTTGTGGACACGCAACTCAAATCTGTCCCATGTGTTGGTACCTGTAAATCACAAACACAATTTTAAAGATACATACATAACCCTTTAAAATGCAAATGCAGAGACATTGTACTTCAATAACTGGTCAGTTATGAATAAACTACAATAAGCAACAAATTTTACTTATGTAACTTGGCACAAACAAGGGAGCTCCAAACTCTGACTAAATGGCCATAAAAGCCATAAGCCTTGCCCATAAAGCCATAAGTTAACAACAAGAACATTTCACAGTGAAACATACCTTCACCACAAGGAGACTTCCTGGTGGTAATGTGCAGAACCTTGGTTGGCATTCTCACGGGTCCCTTAACCCGGAGCCTCTTGTCCTTTGCACCACGAACCAGATCAGTGCAAACTATCAATATAACAGGTGTCAATCCAGCAGGCTAAAGAAATATTCAAACAAGAAAAATCTTAATTCTTAATAATCTAAACAAACTTAAAAACTTTATGTAGAGAAAGTGGTGGATAAAACCCATTTCAACCACATCACACAGCAATTAAGTAAAACTGAAATTGAACACAATGAAGCTCATAAAAACCAAATTTATTGAAAATTTCTTGCAGTGGTTTCATGTTATATGCACAAACATTTCTCCAAAGTTCAAAATACACTAACAGATATCCTCCAGCTATCAAATGGGTCTTAGTCTTTAGACAACTGAAAATTGGAACATGGTAAAACTACTACACAAACGCGTCCCTAGCTAAGAAAAAGTAATTTGTTCCAATTAAAAATAAATATAAATAAATAAATGGGCAAAAATTAAATAAGACCGATGATAAGCAAAAGGAGAGACCTTTCTCGAGGTTCTTGACGTTCTTGGACGAGAGAGTGATCCTGATCTTGTGGATCTGCTCCTGAGGCTCCTCCAGACCTGCCTTGCTTGGTTTCATCCCTGCATAAGCCATTTTCTTCAACCAAGCTACTCGTTCGCTTTCCTATACATCAACATAGCAATACAACGATTAATCACAGATATCATATCTAATCTATCATAAATAAGAAAACAGATTATTCTGTTTCACTCAGTTTTGCTAGAAATTATTAAAATAAGTATAATCTATACTCTGAGAGAGACGAAGAAGAACACAGACCTGGATGAGGGTTTAGAGCAAGGGATTTATCCAAATGAAGCAAAATATCTATTTTAACAACCTGTTGACCCAAAAAAAGGAAAAAGAAAACCTAAGTGACAATGTGAAAGTTATTGGACGGGTCGGGTCGGGTTGTCACCATGTGTGCCAGGTGTGTGAAAGTTATGGACGTGTCGGGTTGAAGATTTTTTAAGTTGGGTTCAACTTATGAGTCTAGACCAAATAATAATCGGGTTAGTTGGGCTTCTTCAGAGTTCAGACAAATTACACCGATATTGCCTTTTCTTATACATATTTTATCTTTCGTGAAGGAGCGAGGCACACTGTCATGATCAATTGGCTTAATTCATATTTTCGAGTTTACTTTTAATTATTAATGATGATAATAGGGTTCATTTTGTTGCCAAATTTACTTTTGGATTTGGAAAATATTCTTATAAATTTTTGGTCGACATGCTTTTGAAATTAGGTTAGTTCCCACTTGTTTAATCGCCATTTCCTACAAAAATTAAAGACACATAATTACTTATTTATTTTTGGTGAAGTAGGGTTGAAAGGGTTGAACCACAAACAATGCTTAAGAACATACAATGACCTTGATAATTGGTGGTATTAGATTCTTTGGAGATGATGCCTGGCTAACAAGACCCACAACTACCAATGGTTTTGTTAAAAGTCAGACAATTTAAGGATTTTGAGTGGACATTTAAATCAACAGCCCACTACAGATGATAGAGATATGTTTATTTAAATCGATATAGGCACAGAGCAAGCTAAAATCACTAGTTTAAATTAAAGATTAGTTCATCTTTGTTTTATGAGTTCATTAGCAGCAGCAGTATGCAAGGAGCTGGATTATGCCATTGCCAAGCATCGTAAACATCCATGGTTCGCGCGACCAAGAGGCAAGATCAGTAAGAAACTACGAAATATGTTAGCTTGTATGGTTCACTTGTTTGTGACCATTTTAGCTATGGGTTTAGGTTCTGGGGTGCAGGCACATCCCTGCTTAGGGAACGCAATAAATTTCACTAGGCAATCCACGACAACCATCAAAAACTCAATTGCCACATAATGATGTAGAAGAACAAGACCAAGAAGAAAACATTTGAACGCCCCACAGAGGCCATCAACAACAAAACTCAATTTAAGAATTTCAATTTGTCTTGATTCTCTCTCACGATGTACTTGACATCTATAGGATATAAAAGCAAAGGGAAGAAAGCTAAAGCATTTGCAAAGCGTGCTTCTATTCAATATCAAAATATGCACTGGCGTACATATCCATATCAAAACATCAGGGTCAAGAAATTGCAAACGACACTACTAAATCTTTAAATTCAAAATTAGAACAGAAAAAACAAGCTCATTGTCCAACTAATTGGGAAGGCTATGCGGAAAACTGGTCCAGTTTAAGAGTCGGCAATTGTGACCTCCACTTCCACACCAGGTTCAATTGTAATGGATGTAATTTGCTTGACCACATCAGGAGAGCTAAAGAGGTCAATAACCCTCTTGTGGACACGCAACTCAAATCTGTCCCATGTGTTGGTACCTGTAAATCACAAACAAAATTTTACAGATACATACATAACCCTTTAAAATGCAAATGCAGACAATGCATTTCTATAACTGGTCAGGTATGAACAGGCCACAGTAAGTTACAAAATTTACTTATGTTACCTAGCACAAATAAGGGTAACACTAAACCAACTCTAAGAATGACCACAAAAGCCATAACCCTTGTCCATAAACTAGCCCATAAGGCATTCATATATACACTAAAACAATGATAGAAATATAACAATGTCATTTGTCAAGCCGTAAATTAAGAGCAAGCACATTTCACACAGAAATGTACCTTCACCACAAGGAGCCTTCCTGGTGGTAATGTGCAGAACCTTGGTTGGCATTCTAACAGGTCCCTTAACCCTGAGCCTCTTGTCCTTTGCACCACGAACAAGATCAGTGCACACTATCAATAAAACAGATGTCAATACAACAGGCTAAAGAAATATTCAAACAAGAAAACGTGAAAGCTTATAATCCAAACAACGGTGGATAAACCGATTTGGACCACGTCACAAAGCAATTAAAGAAAAATAAAATTGAATAACAGTTAGACAATCAAGCTCATAAAAACCAGCAAAATCTAAGAGATTAAGAGGATAATTCAGGTATGACAAACCAATCTTATTGAAAAGGCATTGCTCTGGTTTCAAGAGATATGTACACAATATTATACTGCAAGCACAAAGTTTTCTCCAAAGTTCAATTCGCACTAACAAATATGCAGCTACTGAACAGGTGTTACGACAATAGAAAATGGGAAGATGGAAAAACTATTAAACAAACGCGACCCTAAGAGATACTAATTACTAATACAAACGTCCATTTCAAATGAAAAATAAAGAATCAGGATGTATTACAAGCAATGCGAATCGGGCAAAACTAAAATAAATATAACAAGCAAAAGCAGAGACCTTTCTCGAGGTTCTTCACGTTCTTGGAAGAGAGAGTGATCCTGATCTTATGGATCTGCTCCTGAGGCTCCTCCAGCCCTGGCTTGTTTGTTTTCATCGCTGCGTAAGCCATTGTGTTCAAGCTACTTGTTCGCTTTCCTACATATTGAGATCAAAACACAACGATTAATCACATATATCATATTCAATCTATAAGAAATCAGAAACGAAATGAACTTGGTTTCAGTCTGGGAAAATCACAGACCTGGGTGCAGGTGCGGAGGGGAGGAAGGAGGGCTGGAGCTGCGGCTTCTTGGTTTCTCAAAGCGATGTAAGGAGCAGCCAAGTCTTGTGAGTTTATATATCTTGGGTTATTAGGGTTTTGCCACCATGTGCGCGAAAGTTAAGGCCGGGTCGGGTTGACGATTTGAGAACGTGGGTGACTCTGGCCCAAATACTCTGGGTTGGTTGTGCTTCATCCAGATAAATTATATTTTTTTACTTTCTGTGTTTCCCAACTATTTGTTATTAATCATGATAATAGGGTTCTTTCGACCATAAAAAAAAGTGATCATTTGTTGCCAAATTTGGTTTTGGAGAATCTTTAGAAATTTTTGGTTCCCATTTTGTTCTGTGGTACCTCTTCCAAAAACAAAATTATAGACATAATTATTTATTTTTTGTCTGTCTGCCAGTGCCGCCCTCAAATTAACAGGACAAGTACTTATTTACAAAACATCTAATGACCTTGATTATTGGTGGTATTCAAACCCAAAACTAGAAGTAGTTTCGTACTCAGAACACTGAAAATAGGCGTAGCATTCTGTAACGCCATTCTCTTTTTTATGATATTTTCTTATTTTGTTAGAAAAACAGTGAACAAAGCACAAAATTCTTACCAAAAGAATCCTTCATCTTTCCATAAAACATAGCAGTAAACCAATAAATAGAAAGAAAGGCCTAAAGGTACTCCTCACAAAGTTACCAATCCTTGTGTCCTGAGACTAATGACTAATGGACAATTTGTTCACATATACAGCAAGATCCAGAGCATAACAAGAAAGGGTCATGGGTTAAAACGCAACACTTGAAAGAGATGAAGCATTGAAAGGAGAAAGAATTTCAATGGCGGCCACCATCGTTCTCATGCTCCATTTCTTCAGCATCCTCAAAGCGTTGATCATTGATTTGAAGCTGCCAGGAAGATAAAAAAATGTGATCAATATCATATGCTGCTCTCAATTAAAGAAACAAAAAGCTCATACAAAGGCACCAACTCCATAGCAGCATTTAATGGATATTCACACCCTACCTCAAGCACGGTACGAGCTAGGTCATGATCCCCATTAGATTGACCAATTGAAGGATTTTCAGAAACATGCCACTCAGAATCTTCCCCTGAAAATACCGTCATATTCAAAACAAAGATATCAGACAACAATAGATTTTTTATCACACAAATTGACACAAAACTGGTACAAATTGTTACATGGTGCATCCCATACCTGTTGCGTCATCTTCCAACTGATCAGCACTAAAAATCCAATTATGCTCTTCTTCCGCTTCTAGAAAAAGATAAAAACAATTGTGTGATATTAGGATGCAACTCATGAAGCAAACATAATACATTAGCATTCAAAAAGAGAAAATAAGAAATAAAATAAACCCTGGCAGTAAGAGAAAATCTACTAACCTTCAATCGGTTCAGGATTAAGCTCAGCACACTCGCAAAATACCTCAAACAGAGAATCCACTGCCACATAGAAATTAATATGCCAGTTACACTTCTCCAGGAAAATACTAAGAAAAATCAAGACAGTATGACCTTATTATAGCCACAATTGAGAGAGAGAGAGAGAGAGAGAGAGAGAGAGGTACATTGGTTAGGATCTGAAGGAACAAGCCTCATTTCTGTGATCTTGGACAAATCTAAGACACCATTGCATTCTGAATCTGAGCCATCGGACTCATGCTCGTCATCCTCAGTTTCAATCTAGAAATATAAAAACATTAATCAGAAAAGCAACACACAAAACTTGAAATTAGACATTGTAGTTAATGATCAGTCAGGAGACTCAGGACCAACAATCCTAAACCCAGCACAGCATACGGTAAAGACACAAACCTTGAATACAAAATAAGTAAACAAGTGATTCTTGTGTACAGTAGATAAATACTAAAAAGATCTGAATTTCAATGAGATACACTTCCACACACAGAAATATCTTATTTGCACAATGGGTCACTTTTCTCTTTAATGTTTGCGGAATTAATATAAGAACACGATTCTAAGGCTCACGAAAACAACAAAGACTTTTCAACTTATTAAGAGTTCATATAGCACAAGCAACAAGAACTGACAAAAAAAAAAATTTGAAAGAACGAAGAAAGGGGTTACAGATTCAGTGGATCAAATAAAATTGCCATACAACTTTGACACCAAACAATTGGAAGAACTGTTTCGAGACCAAGTATATTTCAGACAAGATAAAGATAAAATCCTATATTACTGCTGGAGTGCCTTGATGAATATGAAAGCAAATACCTGAGTGTATATACAAGGAGAGGTGTAGGCCTCTGGGTCCCTGGATACAGCATGTAGTGATATAGACAAGAAGTCCACAGCATAACCTTTCGCCCTGTCAACATCACTCAACCAGACCACTTTCCTGCAAAATCCCAGCTAACTGTTTGAATGGATGCCATTTTGGTAGAAGGAAAAAGAAGAAAAAAAAAGTTTTCCCATCCCTTCAGATATGTTTTCTTTACTCTATCCCCTTAATTTTCACCCAAACAAAAACATATAAAATCATGAGAGCTATAATGGCGTACTTGGTGGAGATGTAGAGAGTGCCAGGGGACTCAGGAGGGCGATTACCAAGGACGATAGAAACACAAGGCTGAACGTGCATCAGCTCCTCACCATTCTCTGCATCCAGAACTGGTTCGTCAACACCATTTCTTTCAACTCTTGCAGTGAACTCTCTAAGCCCTGCCACCATTTTGCTCGCTGACTCAGGCTTCTTCCTTTTCTTTGACAAAAGAAAAAAGGATGGTTACGGACAGCGGACAGCCCATGATCACTAGATTGCTCCAATGAACTTACTGAACAAACTAATTTGCAAACTATGAGTATATTTGAAGTTAACAAATAAAATGGGAGGGCCTAGCCTCAAATTTGATGAGGAAACAGCCCTAATAAAATTTGATATTTTTTTGTAAGTCATAGCCAGTGATGAGCACTCTCTCCCATTTTGATAAAGAAAGAAGGGCGATTAATAAACTATTTAAACAACACAACATTTTATCAGAAATCAAACAGTCCTCTAAGCTGAAAAGAATCGATAACGTTATCAAAGCCCAACGGTTGAAGAATGATCAAATTTATGAAAACCATGAACTGGATAAAATGAACCAACAGCAATATATACCACTTTTTCAAAACAAATACAGAAAAATTAATCCGGAAACACATTCAAAGAAACAAAAAAAACAAATTGGCGTTTACAATTTCATACCTCGATTCTGATGTTGGAGCCAAGTATGTGATCGATACCACTCTTTCCTTTTCTTCTATCTATTGCAAAACATGCAAGAGCTAGGAAGAGCTCTCGTAGTCCACACAGAAGACACTGACTTTGATTTCCGTGGCTTTCTAGGGTTTTACCAATCCTTGCTTTTTGGGGTTTAAAGCACCATTTTCCTTTTTCTCAGACCCCAAAAAAGAACCGCCAATTTGTTTTTTATTTAGCGACGTGGGCTTCTACGTTTAAGTTGGACAGTTAAGGGCTGGCTCGGTCAAAATAACCATCGCGGCCCAAATTATTTTTGAACTTTATTTAACAATTTAACAATAATAGTTGAGATTTGATTTTAATTTTAATTTTTAATATTAGCAAAATAATTTTTTGCCTGTAATAATATTAGGGGTGGTTGCGGTTCGGTAACCGCGAATTTTTACTCAAATCGCAAACCGACCGACTATTTGCGGTTTGGTGATTTTTTAAACCGCAAACCGACCGCGTTTTGCAGTTTACCGCATTGCGGTAAACCGCAAAATGCGGTCAGTTACCGCGAATTAGCGGTTTAAAACCGCAAGTTCTCAAGCATTCACAAAAATATAAATTCACAACCTAAATAAATAAATACACAACCTCAATTTCTCAAACATATATAAATTCACAATCTCCTCAACTTCTCAAGCATTCACAACCTAAGAAAATTAAAGTTATAATTCCAAGCATTCCAATTAAAGTTAAACTTATCAAGCATTCCAATTCCAAATCCTTTAAAGTTACAAACCGAAAGGAAAATGCAAAGCAAAATGAATTAAAGTTACAACAAAAAGAAAAATCCAATTCAAAGTTAATTAAAGTTACAAACTAAAGGAAAATGTAATGCACCAATGTTACAAACTCAAGTGTTGGTGGTGAGTGGATTTGAAGAACCTCGTTATGTTTGAGCACCAATGTTATCTACAAATAAAACAACATAGTTTAATACATTTGATTATAAGAAGAAGCATAAATAACATTAGCATAAATAAACTAATTACTTACAAGTTGTCATATGTTTCATTTCCTTGTAGAATTCAACCTCATCATCCGTGCGGCTATACTTTGCGGTTTGCGGTAACCGCAAGTTTTGAAAATCAAATACCGCAACCGCAACTGCAAATGCGGTTCGGTTCTTAATACCGCAAATGCGGTTCGGTTTACCGCGATTGCGGTTTCATTGCGGTAAATTGTTGGTTGGTTTTTGCGGTTTTTCAGTTTTTCGGTTTAAAATGCCACCCCTATGTGATATGGTCTCACATATCAAGATATAAATATAAATATATATATATATATATACAGTCCCCTTCTATTGAGGGATCCCTCAAATAATTTTATTTGAGGGACGCCCATTAGGGTACCCTACAATTTTTTTCCTAATGATCCAAACTATCTATTTTTTAGGTCTTGTTCATAGATCATCCTTATAAAAAAATTAGACAAATCGGAAACCGTTTCGACATCCAATTGTGTCTTATAAAATCAATGAACACGGTGTTTCAAGAAAGTACTAAAATTTCAATAACTCAATTGAGTGGTCAAATGATATCGGATTCAAGTGATTTTTTGTAGAGATGATCTTTGAATGAGTATCTACAAAATAGACGGTTTGGATTAGTGAAATACAATCCGGAGTGGGGCTTATAAGGGGTGTCCCTCAAATAAGCTTATTTGAGGGATCCCTCAATGGAAGCTCTCTGTATATATATATATATATATATATATATATATTATATATATATATATAGAGCCACGGATTAAAATTTGGACTGGTGATAATTAATTTACAATAAGAATAGTTAATTGATAAGGCATCCATAAAAGATGCTTGTTAAAAATAATCAAAATGACAATAAAATAGGTTTATAATTTCATAAGTGAACAAGCCTCTTTAGACCCAAAAAACACACAGCTGCGTTCAATCAATCCATTCTTTCCAAGAAATACCACATTTTTTACGATCAAGTGGTGAGTTTCTGAAACATGGCATCGCAACGTTAATAATTCAAAATTTTAAACGTCCGATTAATACAAAAAGTTCATACAAAATCGGATTTCCTTAAGTAACATCCACAATAAGAAATATGTGAATTGATGAAAGAAAACATCCAAGACACACAGAGTAGTACGCAGTGGCAGAACCACTCCTAGACCTGGAGTGGCCCTGGCCCCCCATATTTTTATCACTCATCTATTATATTATATATAATATATAGAATTTGTAATAAACAATTTATAATTTAAGTTAAAATTTCCTCTAAAACAAATTAGACATTACTCAATTAAAAATATTTAGCTCTAAACATGTAAGCATTGAATACTTAGGTGTTTTACATACTTGTATTTTCTCATTCGGCCCCCTCAATTTTACAATTCTAGCTCCGCCCCTAGTAGTACGATTAATGCAAGCAACTATAATCTTTAGGCTTCTCTGTCCTTCCATGTAAATAATACCAAAACCTTCCACCTTGCTTTCCTAACCTAAGCAACCAGAGTGCTGGCAGTGGTTGACTCGCTGTAAAACAAAGCAGAATTCACAACATTATTATGCGGAAACACAGAACAAATCTGTAAGCAATGAATCTAAACATTGGCGGCACATAACACATAAATAAATGAGACTAAACATCTGCTTAATTAGATGCTCTACATCATTAAGATAAAGCCCTTTTTGAATTGCTGACCAAATATACAAACTGAGAAGATTCATATGCTTATGCTATTGTGTGATACGTACAGATTTCAGCCCCACAAACAAATTAGAAAAGCATACAGATTCATATGCTTAAAATATTAAAACACAATGATTTTATTTATATGAGGGTAAAGGAGTAAAACAATAGTCAATTAAAATAATTAAAATAAGAAATAAAAAAGTAGAAGAGTAATTAAGAAGAAAAGAGTAAGAACATCAGTTAAAATTATTTTTTTTACAATTATATTAAAAAAAAAAAAAAAAAAAAAAAAAAAAAAAAAAAAAAAAAAAAAAAAAAAAAAAAAAAAAAAAAAAAAAAAAAAAAAAAAAAAAAAAAAAAAAAAAAAAAAAAAAAAAAAAAAAAAAAAAAAAAAAAAAAAAAAAAAAAAAAAAAAAAAAAAAAAAAAAAAAAAAAAAAAAAAAAAAAAAAAAAAAAAAAAAAAAAAAAAAAAAAAAAAAAAAAAAAAAAAAAAAAAAAAAAAAAAAAAAAAAAAAAAAAAAAAAAAAAAAAAAAAAAAAAAAAAAAAAAAAAAAAAAAAAAAAAAAAAAAAAAAAAAAAAAAAAAAAAAAAAAAAAAAAAAAAAAAAAAAAAAAAAAAAAAAAAAAAAAAAAAAAAAAAAAAAAAAAAAAAAAAAAAAAAAGAAGGAGAGGGGTGGACTATTTTTAATTAACCTGGGTTTTCACTTATATGCACCATTATGATATTGATGACAATGCTTAATCTCCTACAATCCTTTCCTTGTTTGTAAGATTTTGATGGATCTGATTTAAGGCTTAATCTCCTACTATCCCTTTCTGACTTCTGACTTTGGCAAAAAGTAAAATAAAATAAACTGTCAAAATGGCTAAATTTAAAACACGTGACAAATTACATCTAAGGAGTGATTAAAAAAAGTTATTTATTTTGCTCGTCTATTAAGAAAGGTTCTTTTTTTTTTCTTTTTTAATCTATATCTATATATATAAAGCAAAAGGCAGAGTCTGTATAAAGGCAGAATGCCTTAAAAGTGAAATTTTCAACAATCCCGAAAATACCATTGGTGAAGTAAAATATTAAAACACAATGATTTTATGTATATGAGGGTAAAGCAGTAAAACAATAGTCAATTAAAATAATTATAAAACAATAGTCAATTAAAATAATTATAAAAAAAAAGAAATAAATAAAGTATAAGAGTAATTAAGAAGAAGACGTGCTGAAGAAAAGAGTAAGAACATCAGTTAAAAAAAGAATAAGACGTGCTGAATAAGAACATCAATTAAAAAAATTAAGAAAGGTAATTTTGCGGAATTCTTATAAAAGGATTCCTGTCTACCCCATTACCCATATATTTGAATCACCTATTCGAACCCTAGATCTATCATCTCCTTGTCGCCTCTTCCTCTTAACCCATTCCTATAATTCCCCCAACTTGCTGCAACGCAAATCTTAAACCTCTACACACCCAATAGTTGTGATGGCATTGGCAGCCCAGCCTAAGAACCTGCAGATTGAGAATGTTGTTTTGAACCTTCCTAGGACCATTCATTGCATCAAGTGTAGGAATACCATGGCCAAAGACACCAAGATTAATTCCCGCAAAGAAAGACCCTCCCGCAACTTGGTACGTACTTTGGTTGTTATTAATTCTTTAATCTTATAATCTCGTTTGGGTTTTGAAGCTTTAATTGCCCAGTTCGTATCTCGTTTTTTATTTCTCTTTCTTCTAGTTCTAGGGTTTGTTTATTTTTGTTGATGTTGGGTGCTCATATGCTCGCTCGCTCTAGTTTTTGAAAGCTTTGGTGTTGTCTATTTCTTTCTTATTTACAGGAGTTTTTGGGGTTTAAAAACATCAGATTTCACTTCAATTGTACCCAGTGCTCGGCTGGGATCGTCTTAAGGACGAACCCACAATTGTCACGCGTTCTTTGTGAGGCCGGTGCTACGCAATTTTGTGTTGATAAACATCCCAGGCGTCTTCTGTATGGGCTTGAGGAGGTAAAAGAAAGGAACTAAATACATACATGTACATATATATATATATATATATATAATCTGTACATATATCCATGCATGCATCATGTTTTTCTGTTTTTAGATTGCCTTTTACTGTTATCACATTGCTTAATTAATGATGACTCAGGAGTTCAGCTGGCATGAGAACAGAGACGTGATCTTAGCCCAACGGATTTTCATGGTAGATGCCTTACCTTAAATTTGTACTTGTTATATATATATATATATATATATATATCAGGTTTTAGATTCCCTTGTACTCAATTCATATATTTATACTTATATTTCCATTCCAGCTGCGGCAAAAAAACCATAACATGGATCAGAAGAGGAAGATGGAAGAAGTAGGGAATGCCATGAAATCTTTGGATTTGGAAAGAGAGATTTAGCAGTTTTACCTGAAGGTATAGATTCCTGTCCGTGTATTTGTAATCATAAACTAAAGCATTTTGTTACATGTGTATTATATTATATATATCTAATTAAGATGATTTTGCAGATGAAGAGAGAAAGGGGACGCAGATTTTCACAGTTGTTTTGGTCTTTCAGCAGTAGAAAGATGAATTCAAAGGCAGAGATTTCTAAGGTGGCTCGGTTCAAAAGTTTACTTCTTTTATTTTTAGAGAGAGATAGACTTGGAGAGTGGCTACTATATGTTATGTTCTATTTCTGTAGCAGAGGTTCTTTTTAGCCTCATGAACGTCAAAATAAAATAATTTCATCAACAATTCATTGTTCTTCTTATCAGGGATTTGAGATTTAAATTGTCTAAATGATCTATTACTCCCATCATCGTATGATATGATTCACAATGCATAATCTTCTTTATGTCCTTATTAATACATTTCTCTATGAAAATTTGACGATTCTCTAAATATTTGCCTCTTCGTCTTTATATACTTTGCTTCTTGACGATTCTCTCAAAATACAAGTAAAGACTAGATTACAATAAAACACTCAACCCACAATGAGTTGATGCAATTATGACAAATCAAATACCAACTCTCAACGAGTTGATGCAATTTTTTGGATCCTCTTGACTCCCTAGGATTGGACTTTTTCTCATACTCTCTCTCATTTGACTTCTCTCCTTGAGACTAGTATCTAATCTCATGAGATGGACCGCCATTCCTTCTAGTCTCTCTCCCCTTATCCTTGAGAATTCTCCTAAATTTGTTCATAAACAATGTCATTTCATCATCAATAGGTGATGATTTTTTGAGTCTTTTTGTGAAGACTCTTGCACTCCCTGAAGTGAAACATTCTTTTTTCTTGGCATCATTCTCTTCCATATTCAACTCCATCTCATAAGTTTTCAATTTCCCTACAAGCTTACTAAGTCTAATTTGATTCAAATTTTGAAACCTAGGAGGTAGATCTCTAAGAATTTTCTGAACAATAAGGAGTTCCTCTATAGGGTGACCTAGACTCATGGCCTTATTAGTGATCTGCTCCACTTTTTCATAGAACTCTAAGATGGTCTCAGTTTCAGACATTGTGAGTTCTTCAAATTGTGCAAGCACCATTTGAAGTTTGAGTGATCTAACTTGTTCATCTTCCTCTTGCAGTACTCTTAGTGATCTAACCGATTCGGTCTGATTTTCCCTCGAACTGGAACCAAAATTGAAACTTATACATGGGCTATTTTCATTATAAAAAAAAATTTACAAATTTATAAATAAACCCAATTCTAGACATGTATTTATAAAAAAACCCAAGCACTATTTAAACATAGAAACACACCCAAAATCAACCCCAAAGTCAACTTTTTGGGTGTGTTTATAAATGGGTTTTGAGTGTGTGTAATGATGGGTTTTGGGTGTGTTTATAAAGTGTTTTGGGTGTTGGGTTTTTTTATAATTTCAACCTCCATTTTGGGTGTTTTAGTGAAACTCCCAAAAAAATTATAGAAGAACCGAATCAAACCGGATCTATGCGGTTCCAATTCAAGTGGGCCTGATTTCCGGTTGGGAAAGAAAAATATAAAGATGTGGACACGAGAGAAATATGAAGAATTGAAAACTAGGAAGAAAATAAAAGTAGGTAGAAAAGATAAACTAAGAGAGAAAATTGTAGAAGAGATAATGAGGAATGGAAATATAAAGAAATAGGTGGAAAAGAGAGAAAGACGGAAGTACAACAAGAGCAGGTATGGTTCACCGAAACAAAAAGAAATTGGGCATCGAGTAGTTATTTAATTGGGTATAAATTGGAACTAAGAGATTTGGGTAAAAATTGGAGGATTTCACTAATAAACCCATTTAAGCATGACATAATATACTAAACCCCTTATAGAATTTAGTAAATTAAAAAAAACCCAAAACTAGCAACTTGTTATTCTCTAATTGGTTCTTATAAAATTTGAACACACTAAAAACCAATTAGAAAATGACAATTGTGTGTCTAGTTTTGAGTTTTTCTCTCCAAATAGGCTCTATATGAGTTTTTGTATAATATGTCATGTTAAAATGTGTTTTGAATAAATATCTCTAAAAATTAGGTTAAAATATCTAAATATTACTTGGAGTTACTAATGTGATTTGAATATTAATTAGGCTTACTGATATTTTGCATATAAATAAATATGCGAAACTGGTGATTTTGCCCCATCAAAATGACCCATATCCTTTTGTTTTAGAAAATTAAGGATATGAAGAAGAAAAAAAATCCACCGATGTCCCCCTTGCCGTCTAAATCCTCAACATTTCATCCAATTTGACGTTAAATATGAAAGCAAATTCGTTACTTCATATATTAAAAATAATTAATATTGTGAAATAATATAATATTAAATGAAAAAAAAAGCATTTTAATAAAAATAAACCCATCACTCCCACAACCTTCTCTCTTTCGTTTCCTCTTCCCCAAAATCCTGCTTTTTTTTCTTTTCTTTTTTTTTAAAATAATTTTTTTATTATAAAAAAAGTCTCCCACTCCCTTCCAAATACTCTAAAAGAAATCTTCATGTAAAATTTGTGAAAGTGTCACCGAAGACAAATTTGGGTAGTAAATAATTGTAAAAACCCAAGTTTTTTTTTCTTCCAACATTACATAAATTTGGGATGGGCACGTTTCGGTTTGGTTTGGTTATCACTTAAAACTAAAACCAGAACCGGTACTCTTCACCGGGTCTAATTCGGCCTGATTCTCATGAAAAATGAATAACTAAATCGAACACACCCAAACCAATTAAGATATGGTTCGGTTTTCGATTTTCACAATTTGGGCCGCTACTGGTGGTGAAATATTTGGCTCACAGTTTCTGGTCCCAATCTGATAAGATATCCAATCCCTCTCTTTGTTTCTGAAAAATGTATGTTTTTTTTAATATGTTCTCTTTTTCTCTCAATCCCGCGATATGAACAACTCTGAGAAGGGAAACAACCTCTTCTTAAAAGGATCTCGCAACCTGAAGAAAGGATCTTGTCATTGTTGATCAACAGTCAACAAACCAAAACCAATATAACACAACAAAGAAAGAATCCATATGTGCAGATGTTTTTCAAGATCTACAAGAACTCTACATGTACATGGATCTACAAGAAGAATATAGAAAGAGAAAAAAGAGGAGTGAGAGAGAGACTGCGTGAAAAAGAGAGATGAAGTACGTGAGAAAGAAGAAAATAATAAGAGAAAGAAAAAGTTGCGGAGCAAGAAGAAGAAGATGAATAAGAGAGAAAGAGGAATCTCGAGCCTCTACATTTAGCGAGTGTGCATTTACCCGCATTTCATTTCGTAAGATTTGAACCATTCTAATAATCTAACGATTCAAGATATGACACGTCAATTTTTAACTTTTGAGATGTATCTATTTAATTAACTCTAAAAGTATTATTTAAACAAATTAAAACAAAACAATAAAGAAAACATTAAAATAAAAAACAAAACCCGGCAACCATATCCTTTCCTGCTTACCCGGCATGCGACTGCCTTCAAATCCCACCCTTGATTCCTCTCCACCGTCCAAAAATCTCTCCCTCTTTTCCATGGATGTGTATCATAGTATAGCCATAGTTCTTTTCTTATCATGTGCATCCTGTCCCACCCCGACTGCCATCCTATAAAAAATATTTTTTTTAAAAGGCAGCATCGGCATTTTGCAAGGATGTAGACGCCATCATGTTTCTCAATCGTAGTGGGGTGGGGTGAGATGTGTCGTAGGTGGCTAATAGGTTAATGGTTTTTTCTTTATTGTAATTTATTTAGACTTAACGGAGTTAAATATATGGATGAGCATCAAAATTTAAAAATTGACATGTCATATCTTGAGTCGTTAGATTATTAGAATGGTTCAGATCCTTCGAAATGCAGGTAAATGCATAATTGCTAAATGTAGAGACTTAGATCCAAGAAAGAGGAGCAGTAGTGCATGAGAGAGATGATGAGAGTTGTTGGTTTGGCGGCTAGGGTAATGTTATTTGGTTGATAAAGTGAATGTGTTTAAAATAATAAAATAATAAAATAAAAACTAAAAACTAAAAAATAAAAATAAAAAAAAGGTAAAAAAAAGATTGAGTTGGCCACTAAAATAGTTGGATAGGACATAAAAATTAGGATTGTATATTTAAATATAAATAAACAGACAATTTGGCTCGGTTCGGTTTAATTTTTACTAATAGAAAATTAGAATCGATCAAATGCATCTATTCCATAAGGTACCTGGTGATACACCCGGGTAATTAAACAATAAAATCCCTCTAGTCCAAGTATTGAAAACCCCATAATACCTTAAGTTCAGGTATTTAATCCCACAAACTACTTACCACAAATGTGTACAATATATGAACGAAATACAACACCAAAATGCCACATAATATGCTATCAAACCACAATCATACCACCAATAGACAATGAAATAAAAGAACAAATGAATAAAGTCCAATTCGAACCTCCAACACATGAATAGAAAATAATAATAATCCTAACACACCATGTCAAAAGTAATACCTAGAAGATATATATTTAGGTATAAGCTTACGTTCAAGAGTTAGCTTATGATTTTATGTGTATACAACCCATAATTAAGTTGAAGCATGAAATTAGCATATTAAATATTTGATTTGAATGAAACACATGCCAAAATTAAGGAAAATGGAAAATGGACCTATATATATCAAAAGAGTCCTAGTCTAAATTACAGGGGGAGAAGGGTTTCTCACACACATTGTCAATGTGCCATGTCATTATATCATATATATACAGATAGATAGAGGGAGGGGGAGAGATAGAGAGAGAGAGATATATATATATATATATATATACTGAACTGCTAGCATTGGGCACTTGGCATTCTTGTCAACAAAACAATCATTTTGTGAAAAACATTAAATTAGTATGCCTGATATTGGTGCCTGTCATACAATGGGCACTAGGCGTTCTTGTCAACAAAAAGATTGTATCACAGTTGAGCATTATTATCATATAGATGTATTTAATGAGGTTATAGATTATCAGTTGGGGGAGTTAAATACTAGATTTCCATATGGAACTCTGGAACTCCTTCGTCTTAGCTCATCATTGGATCCCTGTAATGATTTCAAGATATTTAACATTGATGATATATACACTCTTGTTGACAAATTTTATCCCCAAGATTTCACTACATCTGAGTTGCAGGCTTTAAATCAACAACTGGGATTTTATAAGATTGATATGGATCACAATCCAACCTTCAAGAATCTTGATTCCATTCCCATATTACTTGAGCGCTTAGTGGAAACAAGATTAGCAAAAACGTACTACTTGATTGACAGATTGATTTGTTTGGTGCTAACTCTTCCTGTTTCTACAACAACAACAACAAAAAAAACATGTTCTTGTATGAGACTTATAAAAAATTGGCTCGAAACAAGACATGTGATGAATTTCTTGCTAATTGTATGTTACTTCACATTGAAAGATAATTTGCTGACAATATAGATATTTAATGATTTTCATTTTATGAAAACTCGAAGGGTGCAACTTATATAGTGTTATTTAAGAGGTAAAACTCATTATGTCCCCCCCTTGACTAGGTGTATTATTAATTTTTTGTTATCAATGAAATTACATCGTACTATCGAGTTTTCCATCTACGTAGTACGTTTATATATAAGGTAAATTTAGCCCAATCAAGTTTGAAAGCCAGCTGGGTCCGTCCCTGTCTGCATGGCCAACATTGCAGAGCAAGCATGAGGGGGAGAGTACTACATAGCATAAATAGGAATAATCTGCAATAGAATAAGAGTGCTGCTAAACGAATCGTAAAATTAACTGAGTACACCCTATGATCTAATTACACCCTAATATATTAATTAAAATGTCAAATCAACTAAGTACACCCTATTTAATTACCAAAAATACCCTTCTATTTCCAATCAAATGATCACCAATCTGACTGGTTCACAATGTAATTAATAATCCATCCAGCATATACTTCCATGACGGCAACAAGCTGCGAGTGCGATAGGTGGGAGGACATGAATGCGTGGGATTGAGGTTGTGGACCATTTTGTTTAGGGTAGAATTCCCGTAATTGGTGTGGGTGTTGGAGGAGGCCTGGTTGTTTTTATTATTCTTATTATTATTTGAAGTGCTACTCATTGCAAATTATGGCCCTAACAAACATGACCAGAAGGAACTGCAAATACCGTGTATTTGTCTTCCATATTTTCTTCTTTTCATTTCAAATCCAGCTAACACCTCTATTTTACTCTCTCAATTGAAAATTCTAGAAAAAATAATAGGGGTTTTAGCTGACTGGCTTATATATTATAATGGGATTGAGAATAAAATGATTTCTACAAGTTGAGAGTAGAGAGAAAGGAGATGGGATAAAATAAATAAAAATGGGGTTTTGAGGGTTTTGTGGACTTATTAAAATCATATTTGTTTCACAATTTAATATATATTTTTTGGTCATTTTATATTGGGATAAATAAGTAATTCAATAAATAATTTGGTAGTAGAATGTACTCAATTAATTTTATGGTTCGTTTAGCAGCACTCCAGAATAATCATTATCAAAATAGAGGTTTACATTCGCTGCTATAGTGATGAGAACAGCCAAGCCGGCGGCATTTCCTCCATTCACAAGCACCATTAAAAATGAAATGCATGCTTTGCCACTAAGTGGGCACAACGATTACTCAAACGAGGACTAAAAGAAAAAGAATAATCACTTTGTAGCTGCTGGACCAAAGACTGAATATCATGGAAGACTCCTTATTATAAAGTTAATTGCCTCTGGAATCGTTCCTGTCCGTAGCGCCTCAATAAGGATTTTGGAATCTGATTCAATGACAAGCTTGTGCCAACCATGTAACACTCCGGCCGCTGCACCAGCACGAAGGGGCTCGGCTTCTGCAGCAAGCGCAGAAGCGCACTGGAAGCCTCCTTCCCCACCTGCAACATGAAATCAGCCATACTTGTCCCTAGCCACACATCCCAAGCCGCCAGCCGTAGTTTCCGATTTCCACGCACCATCACAGTATTGATAAACCCCTTAGGCGGACTTTTCCAACACATCAGTTCTTAACCTTCATGTTGTCGCAGCCGTACAGAGTCAGCCTCCACCCGAGGGTTAGCGTGAATCAGCATAAATTCCACCCTCTGGTTATTCAATAAACGTATAGCCTCCTCCGGATGAATAATGTTCCCATCAAACACCCCGGGCATTCGGACACTTCCACAGCCGCCAGAGCTCAAAAGCAACAAAAGACAACAAACTATCTTCCTCCTTTTCAAAACGATTGCCCAGCTCAGTCCAGACCCCAGCAAAATCCTCTCCATGTAAGCGTTTGACATCCAGCTGCAAAGGGCTTGCAAACCAGGAAACCAGCAAACTCACATTGAAAAAACAGATGCACTGCAGTCTCTTCATGAGCTTCACAGAACGGGCATTAATTTAGATGCTTCGTTTTGTTGTGGGATATGTTGTGTTAGTAGTGCTTCCCTCCTATTTTATTAGGGGTTCAGATGTTTCCTTTTCATCAAAGATAAAAGATTCCCTTTTTTGTTTGCCTTTACGAGTGGAGTAAACAAAACAAAAAAAAGCTTTCTCGTTATTTAACCTCCAGATTTGGGATATATTAAGTTATAGTAGTGCTTCCTTCCTATTCAGATGTTTGCTTTTTATCCAAGTAAAAGATTCTGGTGGCATTTTGACTTCCAGATTCAGTCTCACCCGCCAAACCCTATATATATGTCGTCTCCTGTCCTGAAATTCCCCCAACTTGCTGCAACGCAATTACATCCCAGACTCACACATATTCCCTTCTCCTCAGATTGAATTCATCAGACCCAATCGATTTCAAGATATCATATAAAAGTTGTAGAAACCCTATCGCTCAAATTTCCTTACTAAATCGCCTTCTCTGACTAAAAACCCTAGGGAAACCCTGTTGCTTTATCTCTCTATAGTCTGTAATCATGGAGAATGCGTCCAAAGAACTTGAATTTATTTTCTGCTTGCCGGAAGGTACCAGAGATCTTTTTAATGAAGCTCTATATTCCCCCTTCTGCATCTCTGTATGCAGTGGAACTTTGGATGTGGGAGATTATAAGCAGTACATGGCAGAGGAGGCATTCATCTTGAATGCCGTTGCTGAAGGGTTGGATTTCCGTCTTTTTCTTCTTCTAATTCTCAATTTTCTAAAAAAATTGAGATTTTTTAATCTTTTTTATTTGTTTGATATCCGGATGCGTAGGTACACAACAGCGCAACAGTATGCATCAGAAGCTGACTCTCATGTCCTTGCTGCTTTGGGTGATCAAATCAAGTATGAGATCGAGTCCAGAAAGAAGAATTTGGAGGTACGGGCCTGTTTTTCCTCTTCTATATCCCAACTGATTACTAATTGTCTTTCTGTTGTCATCTCTAAGGTTTATCACTTTATTGTTTCGTATTCTTATACAAGGATAGCACTGCTATATATTTGTAAACTTTGTTGCTCAGTGAATGTTAAGGAAAACATATTTCACATGTTATACCGTGCTTATGCTTTCTTCTTGGACGCAGGTATGTGATTTAGAACTTAATGGCACCCTCCACAAGGCTGCAGAGAGCTATACAGAACTTCTATTAGATACTGCCAAGTCGGGAAAGAACGCTATGTTTCTTTCTCTGGTGTCATCGTGGATGGGGTTATACAAGGCCCTCAGTGGTCATTTCAAGTTAATGGATCTTCCTCATAACAACCCATACTGCTATTCTTGGATCAACATGCACGAATCAGAAAATTTCGTGGATTTTGGTTTAGAAACTGATTACATCTTCTCTAGATCGTGGAGTTGGTCTGCACTTTCTAATCCAAATGAGGATTTAGAAATCGTGAGGAATTATAGGCGGGGCATGGAACTCACCATAGAATTTTTCTATGCACAGGCGTCACACATTAGAACTGCTCTTCCTTTAATCAGTGGGGAGAGAAAAACCAAATTCTCGATTAATGTTGAGCTCGGTTGTGTGCTTTTTCCCCGCAGAAGTTATACGTCATATAAGGAGGGCCTCATCAGTATTGAGGATGATGAACAATATCAGCGTTGTTTAGCAATAATGTTTCCTGCTATATCCGGTACACTAGTTATTACCATAATTTTTATTTTCATTATATATATATATATATATATGAATTCTAATTTGTCAATCCCTGAGTTATATTGTTTAATTTGACGTGATTTTGCAGTGGAATTTTCTTATGGCAAAGTGGAGCAAGCCTACTTTAATCACTTTTCAAGCTATAGGAGAAAAACAACTGAGAAGCTCGATGGGTCCAGAGATTTGGTCGGCATTCGCCGTGGAGCAATGACAACAGCTTTTAGAAAGAGTGTCTCAATTTATTCATGGTTTAGGAAGATTTACCCTGAAATGTTGAACTTGCGTGGAGATAGTGGATATATCAGGGTATATTCGTCATGTTATTGCCTTGATGTCATAAGGGGAGTTTTTGAAGCAGCAGATTTCCCGAACCTGACAATTTATGCAGGTGAGCATACTGTTAATAAGGGCATCACAACCGGTAAGGTTGTTTCTCGTTGGTCTGCTATTGACATGGCTAAAATGGTTGAAATTGAGGGTGATGACCATTGTTTCACAATTTGCATTGGACGTGAAATGGAGGACCTACCTTGCCTACTCAAGGCAGATTTAGGCATCATTGTTGACAATGGAGCCATTGATGTATCGGTCCTTCAGGATTTGGGGGAAAGATTCGGTGTTAAATTTGAGGATTTGTTTATGGGTGTAATGCTCAGACAACAAGAATTATGTGGAGGAGGATCTCCCAAGTGGTATGGGCATGGCACTATTTATGTAGCTTGTGGCTGGGATGAGTTATACGCCTTCCTTAAGGCTTTGAAAAAGCCTTAGACAGTAATGATTTTACTCTCACAAGACTTACATGCAAATAAAGACTCTTTCGTTTATTTTTTTTATTGACAAAGAGCTGGATTTGAGAAGCAAATGGTGATTTTTGGTGGTGTCAATAGTTTCATGTAATCACATCAAAGCCTCTTAGGATTTTAGACGAAGAGATAGATAGTAGTAAATACCCCAAGAAGGGTGGAGTTGTAATCATGTTCCTGATATCAAAATTCAAGCCTATGAACTTGGTCCTATATAATATGTAATATGTATATATATATATATATAGTTTTTCTATTTAAACCCCACACTTTTCTTTGTTCACCCAAATACTTAAATCATTAAGCACTTAAGTTTTATTATTGTATAAAAAGACAAAAAAGGTCATCCAATTTAATACTTAACCCTAGTACATCTATACACACACCCCACACACTCCACACACACCCACCCCACTCTTCATATTAAGTTTTAGAAAAATACAAACGCCTCTACACCCTATTGCCAGATTACTATTCTCTTTCAATCTAAGAAACCAATACACTCTCATCTTCTCTATCAAAACCTCCTAGTTCATTCTCAAATTTATTTATTTTTATTTAAAAAAATTAATAATAATAAAATAATGTTGCTACTACATATGATAGTGTTTTTATCTCTTTAAGTAATGTGAGGTTGAGGTGAACTTAAAGTGGTGAGGGGCAAGATAGCAGGGTGTGGGGTATCAACTATTCTTCAATAAATAATTTTTTAATTTTATGGGAGGACACATAGAAGTAGGGAGTGTAGTCACATAGATCTACAATTGCACAATCACAAGCTACAAATATTCAACAAAACCAAGAGACAACTAGACTATAAAAGCAGAGATCGAGTAATGAATATATTAAATCAGAAAAAGGACGAGTCATCAATAAAAACCTAGCAAATTGCATTGGAAAAAAGACCCCAAAATTTAACACCTAAACCCTAAATCATAAAAAGCTAAGAATAACAATTGAAATTGGAAATTAAACAAAAAGTAAGAGAGATGTTACTAATATTAAAGAACCCCTTGGATATAGGTTGGTACAATTTTAAAAAGGAGAGGGGTGGACTATTTTTAATTAACCTGGGTTTTCACTTATAAAATTAACACTAATTTTTTCGTCTCCAAATTTAGCACTGACCTATTTTCTTTCTTTAAAAAAATTAAAAACATGTCTCTTCTTCTCTCTCCGCCAGCCCCGAACCCCGGACCACAAATCCAACAGGCTACTGGAGACCAGCGACCTATTTTCTTCTTTTTAAATTTTATTTTATTTTATTATTTATTATTTATTATTATTATTATTTTACAATTATTCTGGTTCCCATCTTCAAAGACATGTTCAAATTCATCAATTTCATTTGGATCCAGGGATTCTTTTTTTATCTACGAACGCTTTATTTCTTACTAATGATTGTAATGTATGATATAATGGAATGTTGTGTTTTCATGTAATTTCCTTAGTGATCGATAGTACATGCATGAGGGCGGTGAGCACTCAAGTTCGAACTCACCTCTCCGTAAATTAGATTATTTTCCCTAGCTTTTTCTTAATAACAAGATGATCTCGCGAGCAATGATCACTCCCCTCAATGGTTCAATTTGGATCTTATTGGTTTATCAAATTTTAATTAAGAAAAACATTGGATCGGGATCGAAATAATTGATGGCTCTGATATTTGTATGACTTGTCGTTGAGATGATGCATATTTATTACTCTCTCTCTCTTTTTTTTTCCCCATATATGCACCATTATGATATTGATGATAATGCTTAATCTCCTACAATCCTTTCCTTGTTTGTAAGATTTTGATGGATCTGATTTAAGGCTTAATCTCCTACTATCCCTTTCTGACTTCTGACTTTGGCAAAAAGTAAAATAAAATAAACTATCAAAATGGCTAAATTTAAAACACGTGACAAATTACATCTAAGGAGTGATTAAAAAAAGTTATTTATTTTGCTTGTCTATTAAGAAAGGTTATTTTTTTCTTTTTTAATATATATGAATATATATATATATATATAAAGCAAAAGGCAGAGTCTGTATAAAGGCAGAAGGCCTTAAAAGTGAAATTTTCAACAATCCCGAAAATACCATTGGTGAAGTAAAATATTAGAACAATGATTTTATTTATATGAGGGTAAAGGAGTAAAACAATAATCAATTAAAATAATTAAATAAAAGAAATAAAAAAGTAGAAGAGTAATTAAGAAGAAGACGTGCTGAAGAAATAAGAACATCAGTTAAAAAAGAATAAGACGTGCTGAATAAGATCGAACATCAATTAAAAAATTAAGAAAGGTAATTTTGAGGAATTCTTATAAAAGGATTCCTGTCTACCCCATTACCCATATATTTGAATAACCTATTCGAACCCTAGATCTATCATCTCCTTGTCGCCTCTTCCTCTTAAGCCAATCCTATAATTCCCCCAAAAACCTCTTCCCTTCTCTCCTCACATCATACACACCCAATAGTTGTGATGGCATTGGCAGCCCAGCGTAAGAACCTGCAGATTGAGAATGTTGTTTTGAACCTTCCTAGGACCATTCATTGCATCAAGTGTAGGAATACCATGGCCAAAGACACCAAGATTAATTCCCGCAAAGAAAGACCCTCCCGCAACTTGGTACGTACTTTGGTTGTTATTAATTCTTTAATCTTAATAATCTCGTTTGGGTTTTGAAGCTTTAATTGCCCAGTTCGTATCTCGTTTTTTTCTTTCTCTTTCTTCTAGTTCTAGGGTTTGTTTATTTTTGTTGATGTTGGGTGCTCATATGCTCGCTCGCTCTAGTTTTTGAAAGCTTTGGTGTTGTCTATTTCTTTCTTATTTACAGGAGTTTTTGGGGTTTAAAAACATCAGATTTCACTTCAATTGTACCCAGTGCTCGGCTGGGATCGTCTTAGGGACGAACCCACAATTGTCACGAGTTCTTTGTGAGGCCGGTGCTACGCAATTTTGTGTTGATAAACATCCCAGGCGTCCTCTGTATAGGCTTGAGGAGGTAAAAGAAAGGAACTAAATACACACATACATATACATATATATATATATAATATGTACATATATCCATGCATGCATCATGTTTTCCTGTTTTTAGATTGCCTTTTACTGTTATCACATTGCTTAATTAATGATGACTCAGGAGTCAAACTGGCATGAGAACAGACACGAGATCTTTGCCCAACGGATTTCCATGGTAGATGCCTTACCTTAAATTTGCACTTTGTTATATATATCAGGTTTTAGATTCCCTTGTACTCAATTCATATATTTATACTTATATTTCCATTCCAGCTGCGGCAAAAAAAACATAACATGGATCAGAAGAGGAAGATGGAAGAAGTAGGGAATGCCATGAAATCTTTGGATTTGGAAAGAGAGATTTAGCAGTTTTCCCTGAAGGTATAGATTCCTGTCCGTGTATTTGTAATCATAAACTAAAGCATTTTGTTACATGTGTATTATATATTTATATATATCTAATTAAGATGATTTTGCAGATGAGGAGAGAAAGGGGACGCAGATTTTCATGGTTGTTTTGGTCGTTCAGCAGTAGAAAGATGAATTCAAAGGCAGAGATTTCTAAGGTGGTCGTGATTGCTCGGTTCAAAAGTTTACTTCTTTTATTTTTAGAGAGAGATAGACTTGGATAGTGGCTACTATATGTTATGTTCTATTTCTGTATCAGAGGTTCTTTTTAGCCTCATGAACGTCAAAATTAAATAATTTCATCAACAATTCATTGTTCTTCTCATCAGGGATTTGAGATTTAAATTGTCTAAATGATCTATTACTCCCATCATCGTATGATATGATTCACAATGCCTAATCTTCTTTATGTCCTTATTAATACATTTCTCTATGAAAATTTGACGATTCTCTCAATATTTGCCTCTTCATCTTTATATAATTTGCTTCTTGAGGATCCTTTGCTTCTTGATGATTCTCTCAAAATACAAGTAAAGACTAGATTACAATAAAACACTCAACCCACAATGAGTTGATGCAATTATGACAAATCAAACACCAACTCACAACGAGTTTATGCAATTTTTTGGATCCTCTTGACTCCCTAGGATTGGACTTTTTCTCATACTCTCTCTCATTTGACTTCTCTCCTTGAGACTTGTATCTAATCTCATGAGATGGACCACCATTCCTTCTAGTCTCTCTCCCCTTATCCTTGAGAATTCTCCTAAATTTCTTCATAAACAATGTCATTTCATCATCAATAGGTGATGATTTTTTGAGTCTTTTTGTGAAGACTCTTGCACTTCCTGAAGTGAAACATTCTTTTTTCTTTGCATCATTCTCTTCCATATTCAACTCCATCTCATAAGTTTTCAATTTCCCTACAAGCTTACTAAGTCTAATTTGATTCAAATTTTGAAACCTAGGAGGTAGATCTCTAAGAATTTTTTGAACAATAAGGAGTTCCTCTATAGGGTGACCTAGACTCATGGCCTTATTAGTGATCTGCTCCACTTTTTCATAGAACTCTAAGATGGTCTCAGTTTCAGACATTGTGAGTTCTTCAAATTGTGCAAGCACCATTTGAAGTTTGAGTGATCTAACTTGTTCATCTTCCTCGTGCAGTACTCTTAGTGATCTAACCGGTTCGGTCTGATTTTCCTTTGAACTGGAACCAAAATTGAAACTTATACATGGGCCATTTGCATAAAAAAATTTATAGAAGAACCGAATCAAACCGGATCTATGCGGTTCCAATTCAAGTGGGCCTGATTTCCCGTTGGGAAAGAAAAATATAAAGATGTAGACACGAGAGAAATATGAAGAATTGAAAACCAGGAAGAAAATAAAAGTAGGTAGAAAAGATAAACTAAGAGAGAAAATTGTAGAAGAGATAATGAGGAATAGAAATATAAAGAAATAGGTGGAAAAAAGAGAAAGACAGAAGTACAACAAGAGCTTCACCGAAAAGAAAAGAAATTGGGCATCAAGTAGTCATTTAATTGGGTATAAATTGGAACTAAGAGATTTGGGTAAAATTGGAGGATTTCACTAATAAACCCATTTAAGCATGACATAATATACTAAAGCCCTTATAGAATTTAGTAATATAAAAAAACCCAAAACTAGCAACTTGTTATTCTCTAATTGGTTCTTATAAATTTTGAACACACTAAGAACCAATTAGAAAATGACAAGTGTGTGTCTAGTTTTGAGTTTTTCTCTCCAAATAGGCTCTATATGAGTTTTTGTATAATATGTCATGTTAAAATGGGTTTTGAATAAATATCTCTAAAAATTAGGTTAAAATATCTAAATATTACTTGGAGTTACTAATGTGATTTGAATATTAATTAGGCTGACTGATATTTTGGATATAAATAAATATGCTGGTGATTTTGCCCCATCAACTAGTACCTAACTTTCAAATGACCCATATCCTTTTGTTTTAGAAAATTAAGGATATGAAGAAGAAGAAAAATTCACCGATGTCCCCCTTACCGTCTAAATCCTCAACATTTCATCCAATTTCACGTTAAATATGAAAGCAAATTGGTTATTTCATATATTAAAAATAATTAATATTGTGAAATAATATAATATTAAATATTAAATGAAAAAAAAGCATTTTAATAAAAATAAACCCATCACTCCCACAACCTTCTCTCTTTCGTTTCCTCCTCCCCAAAATCCTGCTTTTTTTTATAATTTTTTTTTAAAAGTCTCCCAATCTCCTCCAAATACTCTAAAAAAAATCTTCATGTAAAATTTGTGAAAGTGTTACCGAAGACAAATTTGGGTTGTAAATAATTGTAAGAACCCAAGTTTTTTTCCAACATTACATAAATTTGGGATGGGCAGTTTCGGTTTGGTTTGGTTCTCACTTAAAACTAAAACCGGTACTCTTCACCGGGTCTAATTCGGCTTGATTCTCATGAAAAATGAATAACTAAACCGAACACACCCAAACCAATTAAGATATGGTTCAGTTTTTTGATTTTCACGATTTGGGGCCGTTACTGGTGGTGAAATATTTGTCTCACAGTTTCTGGTCCCAATCTGATAAGATATCCAACCCCTCTCTCTGTTTCTGAAAAATGTAAGTTATTTTATTTTATTTTTATGTTCTCTTTTTCTCTCAATCCCGCGATATGAACAACTCTGAGAAGGGAAACAACCTCTTCTTAAAAGGATTATCTCACAACCTGAAGAAAGGATCTTGTCATTGTTGATCAACAGTCAACAAACCAAAACCAATATAACACAGCAAAGAAAGAATCCATATGTGCAGATGTTTTTCAAGATCTACAAGAACTCTACATGTATATGGATCTACAAGAAGAATATAGAAAGAGAGAAAAGAGGAGTGAGAGAGAGACTGCGTGAAAAAGAGAGATGAAGTACATGAGAAATAAGAGAATAATAAGAGAAAGAAAAAGTTGCAGAGCAAGAAGAAGAAGATGAATAAGAGAGAAAGAGGAATCTCGAGCCTCTACATTTAGCGAGTGTGCATTTACCCGAATTTCGTAAGATTTAAACCATTCTAATAATCTAACTATTCAAGATATGACACGTCAATTTTTGACTTTTGAGATATATCTATTTAATTAACTCTAAAAGTATTATTTAAACAAATTAAAACAAAACAATAAAGAAAACATTAAACAAAAACCTAGCAACCATCCTTTCCTACTTACCGGCATGCGACTGCCTTCAAATCCCACCCCTGATTCCTCTCCACCGTCCAAAAATCTCTCCCTCTTTTCCATGCATGTGTATCATAGTATAGCCATGGTTCTTTTCTCATCATGTGCATCATGTCCCACCCCGACTGCCATCCTATAAAAAAATAATTTAAAAATAGGCAGCATCGGCATTTTGCAAGGATGAAGACGCCATCATGTTTCTCAGTCATAGTGGGGTGGGGTGAGATGTGTCATAGGTGGCTGATAGGTTAACGGTTGTTTCTTTATTGTAATTTATTTAGACTTAACGGTGTTAAGTTGGAGTTAAATATATGGATGAGCGTCAAAATTTAAAAATTGACATGTCATATCTTGAGTCGTTAGATTATTAGAATGGTTCAAATTCTGCAAAATGCGAGTAAATGCATAGTTGCTAAATGTAGAGACTTGAGATCCAAGAAAGAGGAGCAATAGTGCATGAGAGAGATGATGAGAGTTGTTGGTTTGGCGGCTAGGGTAATGTTATTTGGTTGATAGAGTGAATGTGTTTAAAATAAAAAAATTAAAAAATTAAAAATAAAAAGGTAAAAAAAGATTGAGTTGGCCACTAAAATAGTTGGATAGGACATAAAAATTAGGATTGTATATTTAAATATAAATAAACAGATAATTTGGCTCGGTTCGGTTTAATTTTTACTAATATAAAATTAGAATCGATCAAGTGCATCTATTCCATAAGGTACCTTGGTGATACACCCGGGTAATTAAACAATAAAATCCCTCTAGTCCAAGTATTGAAAACCCCATAATACCTTAAGTTCAGGTATTTAATCCCACAAACTACTTACCACAAATGTGTACAATATATGAACGAAATACAACACCAAAATGCCACGTAATATGCTATCAAACCACAATCATACCACCAATAGACAATGAAATAAAAGAACAAATTAATAAAGTCCAATTCGAACCTCCAACACATGAATAGAAAATAATAATAATCCTAACACACCATGTCAAAAGTAATACCTAGAAGATACATATGTAGGTATAAGCTTACGTTCAAGAGTTAGCTTATGATTTTATGCGTATACAACCCATAATTAAGTTGAAGCATGAAATTAGCATATTAAATATTTGATTTGAATGAAACGCATGCCAAAATTAAGGGAAATGCAAAATGGACCTATATATATCAAAAGAGTCCTAGTCTAAATTACAAGGGGAGAAGGGTTTCTCACACACACTGTTAATGTGCCATTTCATTATATCATATAATTACAGATAGATAGAGAGGGAGGGGAAGGGGGGGAAGAGGTATATATGTATATATATATACACTCACATATGGAGTTTTTAGCAAAAATAGACAAAATTTACCCCCCATTTTCAAAAATGTCAATTTTTATAAAATCTTTCAAATATAATTAAAAAAAAACTCACCTAAATAGGCACAAATGCCCTTAAAAATTAAAACCTACATAAACTTAAAAAGTTTCAATATATTTTGAGTCCAGTTATTAATATATAGACTTGATATCTGACTAAAGATTGAGACTTTGAAGAAAATTGATGCGTGAAGTCGTAGATGCCCAACAAAACCTGTTAAAAAAACATATACGGGTAAATGTTTACCAAACCTTTGCCCATAGCCTAAAGGAGGAGATATCAGAGTGCTTAATATACACAAAAGAATTTCAAATGACAACAGGAAGGAAGCCAAACAACCTGTTAAAAAACACATCTATGGGTATAAGTTTAAAAAAAACACCATCACACCATCAAAACACACCTAAACCGATGAATATTTCAATTTCTTGTTCCTACCAAACAAAAGAAATGAAGAAACAATTGAAAGAAAGAAGCAACCGCACGAAGAAGCACAAAATATGCATAAAGAAAAAGAAGATCACTCACCAATTGTTCGACTAAGGTTTAAGGGTTTCTCTCTCCCCCTTCGAAGTGAGAGCAAGGGTACCTGGTGGCTGCTAGGCTTGTGGCTTTCTCTTGTGTTTCTTCACAAGATATGTTATTCTCTTGTGTTTTCACAAGATTTGATCCTAGGTTTTACTAGGGACAACCCAAAGTGCTGATTCAGTTTTGCTCCTCTACGGTGGAAACTCAAAGCTTTAGAAATTGGAGCAATTTCAAATGGAGGAAGTCCAAACAAGTTTTGATAAAATCCTGACTTTGACAGCTGAGGAAGCTGATCCGCTGGTGATTGAAGAAGAAGATGATGTTGTAGCTCAAGATATCCTGGAGAGAAGTTTAGTGGCAAAGATCTACTCACCAAAACCAGTTCACAAGAAGTCTTTTAAGCACAGAATGTTGGAGATTTGGGATCCAGTTGGTGAAGTCAATATCAAAGATCTCCCAGGTAACCATTTCTTGTTTACTTTTGAACGTAGGGAGGATAAACAAAAAGTTTTAAAGTTTGCTCCTTGGAGATTTGATAAAAAGCTTGTTGTGTTAGAGGAGCCTGATGGTACTGTGGCACCCTCTAAGATGAATTTAAAATTTGCTGATTTCTAGGTTCAAATCCGGAACGTTCCCATTTTAAAAATGACTGAGAAGCTTGCCAGGTCAATTGGAGATAGAATTGGTAAATGTATAGACATTTCTCGATGTGAAGGGGGTGAGCTGGTGGGAGGCTTCATGAGGATCAGAGTTTGAATAGACATTACTAAACCTCTATGGAGGGGACTGAGGGTAACTTTTCCGGGGGGTAATACTGATCTAGTTGAATTTGTTTATGAAAAACTACCCAAATTCTGTTTTGGGTGTGGAAGAATTAGGCATATACTCCAGGATTGCAATCATGTGCCAGAGCAACAGAAAAGAGCTCAAGATCAGCCATATGGAAGATTTCTTACCCCAAAAGGCTATGGTCAGGCCCAATCATCAAATAGCCAGTCCTATGATTCCAGTTCAGAGGAGGAGGAAGAACATAGAGGAAGTAAAAAAAGCCTTGATGATGGAAAACAGAAAAATGTCTCACGAGAGCTTTCAGATGCTGTCAGCTCTCCAACAAAGAAAAAACAGATGGGCAGTCTTGAAGTCAGTAACAAGATGCAAGCGGTTTCTTCACAATCACAGGCACTGAATGCTAGAAGATTACAGGTGAAAAAGTTGTCCAGAGAAGGACCCAAAGGAAAAGAAACGGGACACTCAATGCCAAATTCATTGAGCTCTCAATGAATTTCTAGAGGGTCAGAACAAAGGGAGGAAAATTGGAAAAGCAAGGAGGAAAATGGGAGAATTACTCTTACAGAGACAAAGAAGTTGAGTGAAGGGGGCTGCTCAACCTCCTTTGTTTCCACAAGAAGTGTTGAACCCAAGTGTCAAGGGGGAATGAAAGAACAAGTGATTTGTGCCATATCCCACTCTGAAGCTGATAAAGCTTTATTTGGGGATTTTGAGGTGGTAATTCAGTCAGGGGTTGGTCTTGATTCACAGAGAGGCATTCAAGCTGGCAAAGAGCCAAAGGGGGTGCAGACCAAAGCTGGGCGAAGTTGGAAAAGGTTAGCAAGAGAAAGTGGCTCAAATAATTCTTCCCATGATCAGACAACTTCCCGGGTGCAAATTGGTGAGAAAAGGAAGGGGGAACCAGTTATGGAAGAGGAAGATTCAAAGCACAAGAAAGTTGATGAGGGAAAAAGCAATGAGATTGCCATGTATGAATCCGTGGTGGGCCTGGAGATGTTGGCCCACCACGAGAAATGAATATCTTAAGTTGGAATGTCCGAGGTTTGGGGAATCCTCGGACATTAAGAGCTCTCAATGATTTGTTGAGAGAGAAAAATCCCCATTTAATTTTCCTTATAGAGACTAAATGTACTAGTGGGCAGCTGAAAGAAAAGGTGTTGACATAGGGAAATTATAATTATTTTGATGTAGAAAGAAAAGGAAAGGGCGGGGGTCTTGCAATGCTGTGGAGGAAAGAAGTACAAGTGAATGTGTTGTCTGTATCAGCAGGCCATATTGACTGTTGGGTGAATAATCATCTCATACAACCATTCAGAGTGACTGGATTCTATGGTAACCCGGAAACATCCTTAAGAATTTTCTCTTGGGAATTGCTAAGAAGATTGGCGAGTTCTTGTAAAAGTCCTTGGGTTTGTTTGGGTGATTTTAATGAGCTGTTTTCAGAAAGAGAATCAAATGGGGTTAGAAGGAGACCAATGTATCAAATGGAAAATTTCCGAAAGTCTCTAGAGGATTTTGGCTTGAGTGATATTGGTTTTGAAGGTTTTCCTTTCACTTGGTGTCGGAAGGATGGTAATGGGAATGTTCTTTGGGAAAGACTTGATCGAGTAGTAGTAAATACAGAGTTCAGGATCTTGTGGCACCAAACAAAGGTTCATCACTTGAACAGTGTTGTTTCTGATCACAAGCCAGTCCTTTTAACCCTTAATGCCCAAAATAGTAATGATGCTGGAAGCTCAGCAAGGAAATGCAGATTTCAGTTTGAAAAGATGTGGTTGAAAGAGGAGGGATTTGAAGATGTTGTGAGGTCTGCCTGGGAACACAATGGAGCTGAGGGTATTTCTGTGGAAGAAAAGATTAAAAGATGTGCTTTTTCTTTTAAAAAAATGGGAAAAAGATGTCTTTGGGAGTGTCAGGACCCAACTAAAGATGTCTTTGGAATTACTGCAATGTATTAATCCTTCGAAGCAACAAAGTCAGAGGAAGGAGTTTATTGAAAGAAAGATTGATGATCTGCTGGAAAAACAAGAAATTATGTGGCAGCAGCGGTCAAGGGTGGAGTGGCTGAAAGAAGGGGATAAAAATACGAGTTATTTCCATGAAAGGGCAAAGGAGAGAACAAAGACTAATTTCATAGCAGGGGTGTATAATTCAAAGGGGAAATGGTGCACAGATAGAAGATTGGTAACAAAAAATTTTAGTTGCTACTTTCAGTCTCTCTTTGCAACAACAGGAGGTCATAATATAGAGGTGATCACTGACAAGGTTAGTCCAAAAGTGCCTGATCAAATGAAGCATTTTCTCATTAAGCCTTACAACAAAAATGAGGTTGAGGTAGCTTTGAAGCAAATGCCTCCCTCAAAGGCTCCTGGAATTGATGGAATGTCTGTTATTTTTTTCCAGAAATATTGGCACATTCTTGGGGATGAAGTTGCTGAGATATGCGTAAAAATTCTTAATGGTCAGGAAGTGTGAGAAGCCTGAACAGGACCTTGATAGCTCTCATCCCTAAAGTTGAAAAACCAGAATTTGTGACCCAGTACAGGCCAATATCTCTTTGCAATGTGATTTATAAAATTATTTCTAAGGCCATAGCTAACAGATTAAAGTGTGTGCTCCCAATGATTATATCTAAAAGTCAGAGTGCTTTTGTTCCAAAGAGGCAGATTTCTGATAACATCATTCTGGCTTTTGAAACAATCCATGCCATGAAATGTAGAAGGGGGAAAAGAGTTCCAAGGTGTGCTTTGAAGCTAGATATGGCAAAAGCGTATGATAGAGTTGAGTGGAATTTCATCTGTAAAATGATGGAGAAATTGGGTTTCCCGGATGAGTTTATCAAGCTGGTTTTTGAGTGTATCTCTACAGTTTCATATTCTTTGATAAGGCATGGAGCTGTTGAGGGTAATATTATTCCACAAAGGGGGATTAGACAAGGAGATCCCTTATCTCCCTATCTTTTTCTCATATGTGCAAGGGGTTTCTCTACGTTACTTAAACAAGCAGAGCTTTCTGGTGACATAAAAGGGATTGAAGTTGCAAGGGGGGCCCCTCCAATTTCTCATTTGTTTTTTGCATATGACAGTTTACTCTTTCTTGAAGCAACACCGCAGGCCTGTAGAAACCTAAAGAGGGTGTTTGAGATTTATGAGATGGCAGCAGGGCAAAAAATAAATTTGGATAAGTCTGCGATTGCTTTCAGTCCAAGCACTCCCATGCAATTAAGGAATGAGGTTAGTAGCATTCTAGCGATCCCAATTGTTGAGTTTCATGAGAAATATTTGGGATTGCCAACTGTGATTGGTAGGAAAAAGAAGGATTGTTTTAATTGAATAAAAGAAAGGTTGAGAAAGAAGCTTAATGGATGGAAAGAGAAATTACTTTCAAAAGCAGTGGCTCAAAGCATTCCAAATTATGCTATGGGAGTCTTTAAACTTCCTATTACATTATGTGCATAATTAAACTCAATGATTTCTAAATTCTGGTGGAAGAATTCTGAGTGTAGCAAAGGTATTAGTTGGGCAAAAAAGTGGATGCATTTGTGTTTTGCAAAGGATGAAGGTGGAATGGGGTTTAGAGATTTGGAGGCTTTCAACAAAGCGCTTGTGGCTAAGCAATGTTAGAGACTTCTTACCAATGAACAGACCATGATTCATAAGGTGTTAAAAGCTCGTTATTTTCCAAATTGTAATTTTTTGGCAGCTGGTAAAGGAAGAGCTTCTTCTTATATTTGGAGGTCTTTGATTTCGGGTTGTGAGTTGCTCTTCAGTGGGTTAAGGAAGAGGATTGGAGACGGTAAAGAAACACTAGTCTATGGTGATCCTTGGATTCCTAGACCAAACTCCTTCCGTCCTATTTCCCCTCAAGTGTTGGATCAAGAAACTAAAGTAAGTGATTTTATTTTTCCCATTGGGAATTGGAATGTTGATTTACTAAATCTGTGTTTTCTTGAGGAAGATGTTAACGCTATTACATCTATCCCTTTGAGTGTTAATCATCACAAAGATAGATGGATGTGGCATTATACTACTAATGGAATTTTTTCTGTGAAAAGTGGTTATAGGCTGGAGATGTCAAAGAAAAAGGATTGCAGTGGGGCTGGTGGATCTTCTTCAGAACCAAGAGTACGAAATGCTTTCTGGAGAAAAGTTTGGTCCCAAGAGGTACCACAAAAACTCTTATATTTTAATTGGAGAGCTATTAAGAATTATCTTCCTTGTAGATCTAATCTGTTGAAAAGAAAAATAATTTCTGATGACTCTTGCCCCATCTGTAATGTGAATTATGAGAGTGTAATTCATGCTTTGTGGAGCTGTCCTAATGCCCAAAAAGTTTGGAAAAAAGTGTTGTTCAGGGAGGTTTTCACAGGATTAAACTTTTCCAACTATGGGGATTTGTTTGAAGTTGCCACTGTGTATCTCTCGAAGTATGAAATGCGATTGTTTTTATATATCTGCTGGAGTTTATGGCAAAACATAAATAAAGCTGTTATGGAAGGACGTTCTTGTGCACAAGATGTGATCTTTAACATAGCCCATTATTTGGCTGGTGAATATGGAAGAAGTCTTGTGGAAGGGGAACCTAAATTAATTATAGAGAAACAAACCAAATGGTCTCCTCCTCCAGTTGGTAAATATAAACTGAATGTTGATGCTGCTTTTATTCCCGAAACAGATGTGGGTGGAATTGGTGCTGTTGTTAGAAATGACAAAGGGGAAGTGATGGCAGCTATGGCCCTTCCTCTTGCCAATGCCACCTCATCTAAACATGCAGAGATCATGGCGCTTCTTTTCGGGATGAAATTTGCCTGAGATACTGGCTTTTCTTCTATTTTAATTGAGTCTGATTCACAAGGGGTGGTAAATGATGTAAAGAAGGATGAGGAAGAGTCTTGGGCATCATATGGGCATCTTATTGATGATATTAAGAGGAGTCTGCAACAATTTGAAGATGTTATTATCTCTTTTAGTCCAAGAGGGGGTAACCAAGTAGCTCATTTTCTAGCAAGGCATGCTCTTAATTGTAATACTATGGTAACTTGGATTGAAGAGGTTCCACTTTGGCTGGAATCAATTGTAAATGATGACATGGTTGTATCCTCTTAATTGTTATCAATGAGATCTTCTTTCGCAAAAAATAAAAAATAAAAAATAAAAAATTGTTCGACTAAGGTGCGTGTGATTCCAAACTTTGTGTAGTAGAGTTTTGTTGTTTAGGTTTATGTGGGTTTTAATTTTTAAGGGCATTTGTGTCTATTTAAGTGAGTTTTTGGCTATATTTGAAAGATTTTATAAAAACTGACATTTTTGAAAATGGAGGGTAAATTTTGGCTATTTTTGATAAAAACTCATATATATATATATATATATGTATACTGAAATGCTAGCATTGGGCACTTGGCATTCTTGTCAACAAAACAATCATTTTGTGAAAAACATTAAATTAGTATGCTTGATATTGGTGCCTGTCATACAATGGGCACCGGGCATTCTTGTCAACAAAAAGATTGTATCACAGTTGAGCATTATTATCATATAGGTGTATTTAATGAGGTTATAGATTATCAGTTGGGGGAGTTAAATACTAGATTTCCATATGAAACTCTGGAACTCCTTCGTCTTAGCTCATCATTGGATCCCCGTGATGCTTTCAAGATATTTAACATTGATGATATATACACTCTTGTTGATAAATTTTATCCCCAAGATTTCACTACATTTGAGTTGCAGGCTTTAAATCAACAACTAGGATTTTATAAGATTCATATGGATCACAATGCAACCTTCAAGAATCTTGATTACATTCCCATATTACTTGAGCGCTTAGTGAAAACAAGATTAGCAAATACGTACTACTTGATTGACAGATTGATTCGTTTGGTGCTAACTTTTCCTGTTTCTACAACAACAACAGAACAAGCATGTTCTTGTATGAGACTTATCAAAAATCGGCTCGAAACAAGATAGGTAATGAATTTCTTGCTGATTGTATGTTACTTCACATTGAAAGATAATTTGCTGATAATATAGATAATTAATGATTTTAATTCTATGAAAACTCAAAGGGTGCAACTTATATAGTGTTATTTAAGAGGTAAAGCTCATTATGTCCCCCCCTTGACTAGGTGTATTATTAATTTTTTGTTATCAATGAAATTACATCGTATTATCGAGTTTTCCATCTACATAGTACGTTTATATATAAGGTAAATTTAGCCCAGTCAAGTTTGAAAGCCTGGGTCCATCCCTGTCTGCATGGCCAACATTGCAGAGCAAGCATGAGGGGGAGAGTACTACATAGCATAAATAGGAATCATCTACAATAGAATAATCATTATCAAAATAGAGGTTTACATTTGCTGCTATAGTGATGAGAACAGCCAAGCCGGCGGCATTTCCTCCATTCACAAGCACCATTAAAATGAAATGCATGCTTTGCCACTAAGTGGGCACAACGATTACTCAAACGAGGACTAAAAGAAAAAGAATAATCACTTTGTAGCTGCTGGACCAAAGACTGAATATCATGGAAGACTCCTTATTATAAAGTTAATTGCCTCTGGAATCGTTCCTGTCCGTAGCGCCTCAATAAGGATTTTGGAATCTGATTCAATAACAAGCTTGTGCCAACCATGTAACACTCCGGCCGCTGCACCAGCACGAAGGGGCTCGGCTTCTGCAGCAAGCGCAGAAGCGCACTGGAAGCCTCCTTCCCCACCTGCAACATGAAACCAGCCATACTTGTCCCTAGCCACACATCCCAAGCCGCCAGCCATAGTTTCCGATTTCCACGCACCATCACAGTATTGATAAACCCCTTAGGCGGACTTTTCCAACACATCAGTTCTTAACCTTCATGTTGTCGCAGCCGTACAGAGTCAGCCTCCACCCGAGGGTTAGCGTGAATCAGCATAAATTCCACCCTCTGGTTATTCAATAAACGTATAGCCTCCTCCGGATGAATAATGTTCCCATCAAACACCCCGGGCATTCGGACACTTCCACAGCCGCCAGAGCTCAAAAGCAACAAAAGACAACAAACTATCTTCCTCCTTTTCAAAACGATTGCCCAGCTCAGTCCAGACCCCACCAAAATCCTCTCCATGTAAGCGTTTGACATCCAGCTGCAAAGGGCTTGCAAACCAGGAAACCAGCAAACTCACATTGAAAAAACAGATGCACTGCAGTCTCTTCATGAGCTTCACAGAACGGGCATTAATTTAGATGTTTCGTTTTGTTGTGGGATATGTTATGTTAGTAGTGCTTCCCTCCTATTTTATTAGGGGTTCAGATGTTTCCTTTTCATCAAAGATAAAAGATTCCCTTTTTTGTTTGCCTTTACGAGTGGAGTAAACAAAACAAAAAAAGCTTTCTCGTTATTTAACCTCCAGATTTGGGATATATTATGTTACAGTAGTGCTTCCTTCCTATTCAGATGTTCGCTTTTTATCCAAGTAAAAGATTCTGGTGGCATATTTTGACTTCCAGATTCAGTCTCACCCGCCAAACCCCATATATACGTCGTCTCCTGTCCTCAAATTCCCCCAACTTGCTGCAACGCAATTACATCCCAGACTCACACATCTTCCCTTCTCCTCATATTGAATTCATCACACCCAATCGATTTCAAGATATCATATAAAAGTTGTAGAAACCCTATCGCTCAAATTTCCTTACTATATCGCCTTCTCTGACTAAAAACCCTAGAGAAACCCTGTCGCTTTATCTCTCTGTAGTCTGTAATCATGGAGAATGCGTCCAAAGAACTTGAATTTATTTTCTCCTTGCCGGAAGGTAACATAGATCTTTTTAATAAAGCTCTATATGTTGAAATAGCAGACTATTATCTACTTTAGATTTGGATTTTAGAATAGGGAGCTCAGGAGTAGAGAAGAAATGAAGAACACAGAGAGATTTCAGATGAGCAGATGAAAAATGATAGAAAAAACGTGAGTCTGTAATCTCACTTTTTAATTCCACACTCAAACACGCACACTACATGCTTGATATAGAAACCGTTAGGAATAAGAATATTCCTCTCTTACATCAGCTCAATCTAACCATTCAAACCTCTACCCTATGAGATAAGAGACACATGGCAAATACAAACACTCATACCTCAGCTTAAGATCCTAGCCATCCATTGAACTATGATTCAATGGTTCACATTTAAACACTCAGCTAGCATACTTACAGAACCTAAACAGAACATTTCAGCTAATTACACTTATATTTCAACACTCCCTTCTAAGTGTTTAGCTGAAATAACACCAAGCTTCTTCCTCAAATACTCAAACCGATCTCTGGCTAGAGCTTTGGTAAAAATATCAGCAGTCTGTTCTTCTGTCTTGCAATACAGTAAATCAATTTCTCCATTTTGCAAGGCATCTCGGATAAAATGAAATCTCCTATTGATATGCCTTGTCTTGTGATGGTGCACAGGATTCTTTGCTATAGCAATAGCTGAGGTATTATCACAGAGAATTGATGTTGAGATGATCTGTTCTTCACCAAAATCTGAGAGAACAAACCTCAACCACATTGCTTGTGCAGTTGCTTCAGCTGCACTCACATATTCAGCTTCTGCAGTGGAGAGAGCCACACTGCTTTGCTTAACTGATGCCCAAGAAAAGACACCAGAACCAAGGTGAAATGCATATCCAGAGGTGCTCTTCATATCCTCCTCACTCCCTGACCAATCACTATCACAATAGCCAATTAGCACTGCTTCCTCTCCTCTTTCATAGACTATGCCATAATCTAGTGTACCTTGAATGTACCTAAGAACTCTCTTAGCAGTTCCCATGTGTTTTCTGGTAGGACCATGCATAAATCTAGCTAATAGACTGGCTGCAAACATAATATCAGGCCTTGTTGCAGTCAGATACAACAAGCTTCCCACTACCTGCCTATATAAACTCTCATCTGCCTGTTCACTGCCATCCTGCTTAGACAACTTCTCATTCACTGCAAGAGGAGTAGCACATGCCTTGCAATCCTTGAGACCAAACCTATCCAAAAGAGTCTTTGCATATTTCTTTTGATGCAAGAAAATATAGGCTTCAGTCTGTATCACTCCTAACCCCAGAAAATGATGTAACAGGCCAAGATCTGTCATCTCATATTGTTTCATCATTTCAGTCTTGAAATCCAATAGTAGCTCCTTAGAACTTCCAGTATAGATGATGTCATCCACATAAAGTGAAACTATAAGAATTCCACTCTTTGCAGACTTCACATACAGAGTTGCCTCACTAAGACTTCTCCTGAAACCAGACTTCTCAAAATAAGAGTTAATCTCTTCATACCAAGCTCTTGGGGCTTGTTTAAGACCATACAAAGCTTTCTTCAATCTGTAAACTCCATCCTCTCTGTTCTTAACCACAAAACCAGGTGGTTGATCAACATAAACTTCTTCATGTAACACTCCATTCAGAAAAGCCGATTTAACATCCAACTGAAACAGTTTCCACCCTTTCTGTGCAGCCAAAGCTACCAAAATCCGAATTGTGTCAAGCCTTGCCACTGGTGCAAACGTCTCATTGAAGTCTATCCCAGGCTTTTGAGAGTAGCCCTTTGCCACCAGCCTTGCTTTATTCTTTTGAACAGAACCATCCAAGTTTAACTTGGTTTTATACACCCATTTAACCCCAATGACTGGTTTATCCGATGGTCTATCAACCAAATCCCAAGTGTCATTCTTCTCTATCATATGAATCTCATTTTCCATTGCTTTCTGCCATGAATCATCCTTGACAGCTTCTTCAAATGACTCAGGTTCAATTATACACACATTACATCTTTCATAAACTTCAGCTATACTTTTAAATTTTCTAGGAGTGTGATCAAACTCCTGAGGACCTGTGACAGCTTCAGTGTGTTCTGCTTCATTTTCTTCAGCCATTTCTGTTTGAACTCCATATGCCTCATCAATCTCTTTTCCATTCTCAGCAACAACATCAGTGAGTGGAATTGAAATGCTGGATTCTTTTTGTGCATTCCAGTCCCAACTACTTTCCTCATTAAAAATAACATCTCTAGAAATGATCACTTTGCCCGATTCAAGATTGTATAACCTGTAACCTTTTTCACAGCTGCCATAACCAAGAAACACACACCTTGTGCTAGTTTGATCAAACTTCTGTCTCTGCTGCTCTGGAATCTGAGCATAACACAAGGAACCAAACACTCTTAGATGCTTGATCCCTGGTTTTCTTCCACTATAAGCTTCAAAGGGTGTTTTCTTCTCTAAAGCTTTAGTAGGACATCTATTCAATACATATACAGCAGTGTTAACTGCTTCAGCCCAAAATTCCAGAGGCATTTTCTTCTCAAACATCATACATTTTGCCATTTCAACAATTGATCTATTCTTCCTTTCAGCTACACCATTCTGCTGTGGAGAATGAGCAACTGTCAGCTGCCTTTCCATTCCCATGTCATCACAAAACTTGCTGAATTCTGTAGAAGTATACTCACCCCCTCTATCACTTCTTAATTTTTTCAGTTTATAGCCACTTTGCAATTCAACCATAGCTTTAAACTTTTTAAACACACTAAATACTTCAGATTTGTATCTCAGAAAATATATCCAACACATTCGAGTTCTATCATCTATGAATGTGAGAAAATACCTATTTCCTGACTTCGTAGCAGTTTGCATTGGTCCACACACATCTGTGTGTACCAACTCAAGTGGAAATGCAGCTCTGCTTGTAGCTTCTTTTGGAAAAGACTCCCTGCAATGCTTTCCAAAAGTGCACCCTTCACACACATGACTTGTGGTTTTAATCTCTGGCAGTCCTAGCACCATTCCTTCATTCTGCAGTAATTTCAAACTGTTGAAGTTTAGATGTCCCATTCTCCTATGCCAAGTCAGAGTTGATTGACATACACTTGCTTTTAATGCTACTTGTAACTCTGTGTGCGGATTTAAAGGAAAACTTCTATTCCCTTTCATCTGAACTCTAGCCACCAGATTAGACAGTGAGCCATCATCATAGACATCTGCTTTGCTATCTCCAAAGATAAGAAAATATCCATGCTCCATCATCTGTCCAACACTAAGCAAATTCTCCTTAAGACCAGATACAAGCATTACTTCCTTGATATATCTTTTTCCCATCTTTGTATCAACTACCAAACTTCCTTTTCCCAAGACATCAACTAACTGTCCTGTTCCCATTGCAACTTTTGCAGTTATACTTCTATCAATATCAATCAGAACATCTTCCCTGCCAGTCATGTGGTTACTACAACCACTGTCCAAGTACCACACATCTTCCATAGGCCTTTTATCAGCTGCATTGTTGACAAAAAACATAGTTGGTGCAGTGGAAGCTTGAGTTGCATAGTTAACCTGCTGCACAGATTTCTTGCTATAACAATCCTTTGCAATGTGACCAAGCTTATCACAATTATAGCACTTTGGTTTGCCCTTGAAACGACATTCTCCAAAATGCAGCTTACCACAATGCTTGCAAGGATTTTTAGCTCCATCAATGGGTTTGTTATCCCATTTTCTTCCTTTATCTTTCCAATTCTTATGATCTTTTGCACTTTGCTTTCCTGTAGTTTTATCAGTTTTAGAATTCACACTGAGACTAGCAAATGCTTTCTCAGTTTTAGGCTCAGTGTGTCTCTCCAATCTCTGTGCAAAACCTTTTAATGAGGCAACAACCTCTTGAACTTCAATTGTATCTATATCCCTTGAGTGCTCAATCACAGAACATATCGGATCATACATTGCAGGCAAACTAATCAACAGTTTCTGCACTACTCGTCCCTTAGATAAGTCCTCACCATAACTTCTCATTTGGTTTATAAGATCAAATAGTTTTGCAAGGTAAGCAGACAAAGATTCATCATCTCTCATCCTAGTATATTCAAAATCTCTTCGTAAACTTTGTAATTTTACACCTCTCACCTGTTTATCTCCATGAAATTCTCGCATCAAGAGATTCCAGGCTCCCTTCGAGGTTTCTTCATGAGCAATCCTAGGAAAAATTTCCTCAGAAACTGCTCCTTGGATCAGACCCAGAGCCTTAGCATCTTTCATAAGTGCCTCTGTGAAAGATATCTTCACAGCATCACTTGAGTCCTCCTTGTCTTTCTTCTTCTCATCAGATCCAGCAGATCCCTTCGAATCTGAGATCTCTACCCCTTTCTCAACGAATTCCCAAAGCCCATGAGACTTGAAGATGGTTTTCATCCGTATGCTCCAGAACTCATAGTTCTCACCATTGAAGATCGGAGCTCTCAGCTCACCACCTCCAGATCCAGCCATATTAGACTCGACCACAGAGGAATCGCAGCTTCCAGAATCGATTCGAGCTCAGGACCAGCTCAATCGTACTTCACAGATTCCACGCCCAGTTTAGACGAAGGAACCTGGCTCTGAGGCCATGTTGAAATAGCAGACTATTATCTACTTTAGATTTGGATTTTAGAATAGGGAGCTCAGGAGTAGAGAAGAAATGAAGAACACAGAGAGATTTCAGATGAGCAGATGAAAAATGATAGAAAAAACGTGAGTCTGTAATCTCACTTTTTAATTCCACACTCAAACACGCACACTACATGCTTGATATAGAAACCGTTAGGAATAAGAATATTCCTCTCTTACATCAGCTCAATCTAACCATTCAAACCTCTACCCTATGAGATAAGAGACACATGGCAAATACAAACACTCATACCTCAGCTTAAGATCCTAGCCATCCATTGAACTATGATTCAATGGTTCACATTTAAACACTCAGCTAGCATACTTACAGAACCTAAACAGAACATTTCAGCTAATTACACTTATATTTCAACACTATATTCCCCCTTCTGCATCTCTGTATGCAGTGGAACTTTGGATGTGGGAGATTATAAGCAGTACATGGCAGAGGAGGCATTCATCTTGAATGCCATTGCTGAAGGGTTGGATTTCCGTCTTTTTCTTCTCCTAATTCTCTTTTTTCTAAAAAAGTTGAGATTTTTTATCTTTTTATTTGTTTGATATCTGGATGCGTAGGTACACAACAGCGCAACAGTATGCATCAGAAGCTGACTCTCATGTCCTTGCTGCTTTGGGTGATCAAATCAAGTATGAGATCGAGTCCAGAAAGAAGAATTTGGAGGTACGGGCCTGTTTTTCCTCTTCTATATCCCAACTGATTACTAATTGTCTTTCTGTTGTCATCTCTAAGGTTTATCACTTTATTGTTTTGTATTCTTATACAAGGATAGCACTGCTATATATTTGTAAACTTTGTTGCTCAGTGAATGTTAAGGAAAACATATTTCACATGTTATACCGTGCTTATGCTTTCTTCTTGGACGCAGGTATGTGATTTAGAACTTAATGGCACCCTCCACAAGGCTGCAGAGAGCTATACAGAACTTCTATTAGATACTGCCAAGTCGGGAAAGAACGCTATGTTTCTTTCTCTGGTGTCATCGTGGATGGGGTTATACAAGGCCCTCAGTGGTTATTTCAAGTTAATGGATCTTCCTCATAACAACCCATACTGCTATTCTTGGATCAACATGCACGGATCAGAAAATTTCGTGGATTTTGGTTTAGAAACTGATTACATCTTCTCTAGATCGTGGAGTTGGTGTGCACTTTCTAATCCAAATGAGGATTTAGAAATCGTGAGGAATTATAGGCGGGGCATGGAACTCTCCATAGAATTTTTCTATGCACAGGCATCACACATTAGAACTGCTCTTCCTTTAATCAGTGGGGAGAGAAAAACCAAATTCTCGATTAATGTTGAGCTCGGTTGTGTGCTTTTTCCCCGCGGAAGTTATACGTCATATAAGGAGGGCCTCATCCGTATTGAGGATGATGAACAATATCAGCGTTGTTTAGCAATAATGTGTCCTGCTATATCAGGTACACCATAATTTTTATTTTATATATATGAATTCTTATTTGTCAATCCCTGAGTTATATTGTTTTTTATTTTATATATATATGAATTCTTATTTGTCAATCCCTGAGTTATATTGTTTAATTTGACGTGATTTTGCAGTGGAATTTTCTTATAGAAAAGTGGAGCAAGCCTACTTTAATCACTTTTCAAGCTATAGGAGAAAAACAAATGAGAAGCTCGATGGGTCCAGAGATTTGGTCGGCATTGGCCGTGGAGCAATGACAACAGCTTTTAGAAAAAGTGTCTCAATTTATTCGTGGTTTAGGGAGATTTACCCTAAAATGCTGAACTTGCGTGGAGATAGTGGATATATCAGGGTATATTCGTCATGTTATTGCCTTGATGTCATAAGGGGAGTTTTTGGAGCAGCAGATTTCCCGAACCTGACAATTTACGCAGGTGAGCATACTTTTAATAAGGGCATCACAACCGGTAAGGTTGTTTCTCCTTGGTCTCCTATTGACATGGCTAAAATGGTTGAAATTGAGGGTGATGACCATTGTTTCACAATTTGCATTGGACGTGAAATGGAGGACCTACCTTGCCTACTCAAGGCAGATTTAGGCATCATTGTTGACAATGGAGCCATTGATGTAACGGTCCTTCAGGATTTGGGGGAAAGGTTCGGTGTTAAATTTGAGGATTTGTTTATGGGTGTAATGCTCAGACAACAAGAATTATGTGGAGGAGGATCTCCCAAAGTGGTATGGGCATGGCACTATTTATGTAGCTTGTGGCTGGGATGAGTTATACGCCTTCCTTAAGGCTTTGAAAAAGCCTTAGACAATAGTGATTTTACTCTCACAAGACTTACATGCAAATAAAGACTCTTTCGTTTATTTTTTTATTTTTTTTTATTGACAAAGAGCTGGATTTGGGAAGCAAATGGTGATTTTTGGTGGTGTCAATAGTTTCATGTAATCAAATCAAAGCCTCTTAGGATTTTAGACGAAGAGATAGATAGTAGTAAATACCCCAAGAAGGGTGGAGTTGTAATCATGTTCCTGATATCAAAATTCAAGCCTATGAACTTGGTCCTATATAATATGTAATATATATATATATATATAGTTTTTCTATTTAAACCCCACACTTTTATTTGTTCACCCCAATACTTAAATCATTAAGCACTTAAGTTTTATTATTGTATAAAAAGACAAAAAAGGTCATTCAATTTAATACTTAACCCTAGTACATCTATACACACACCCCACACACTCCACACACCCCCACTCTTCATATTAAGTTTTAGAAAAATACAAACTCCTCTACACCCTATTGCCAGATTACTATTCTCTTTCAATCTAAGAAACCAATACACTCTCATCTTCTCTATCAAAACCTCCTAGTTCATTCTCAAATTTGTTTTGTTTAATTTAAAAAAATTAATAATAATAAAATAATGATGCTACTACATATGATAGTGTTTTTATCTCTTTAAGTAATGTGAGGTTGAGGTGAACTTAAAGTGGTGAGGGGCAAGATAGCAGGGTGTAGGGTAGCAACTATTCTTCAATAAATAATTTTTGAATTTTATGGGAGGACACATAGAAGTAGGGAGTGTAGTCACATAGATCTACAATTGCACAATCACAAGCTACAAATATTCAACAAAACCAAGAGACAACTAGACTATAAAAGTAGAGATCGAGTAATGAATATATTAAATCAGAAAAAGGACGAGTCATCAATAAAAACCTAGCAAATTGCATCAGAAAAAAGACCCCAAAATTTAACACCTAAACCCTAAATCATAAAAAGCTAAGAATAACAATTGAAATTGGAAATTAAACAAAAAGTAAGAGAGATGTTACTAATATTAAAGAACCCCTTGGATATAGGTTGGTACAATTTTAAAAAGGAGAGGGGTGGACTATTTTTAATTAACCTGGGTTTTCACTTATAAAATTAACACTAATTTTTTCGTCTCCAAATTTAGCACTGACCTATTTTCTTTCTTTAAAAAAATTTAAAACATGTCTCTTCTTCTCTCTCCGCCAGCCCCGAACCCCGGACCACAAATCCAACAGGCTACTGGAGACCAGCGACCTATTTTCTTCTTTTTAAATTTTATTATTTATTATTTATTATTATTATTATTTTACAATTATTCTGGTTCCCATCTTCAAAGACGTGTTCAAATTCATCAATTTCATTTGGATCCAGGGATTCTTTTTTATCTGCGAACGCTTTATTTCTTATTAATGATTGTAATGTATGATATAATGGAATGTTGTGTTTTCATGTAATTTCCTTAGTGATCGATAGTACATGCATGAGGCGGTGAGCACTCAAGTTCGAACTCACCTCTCCGTAAATTAGATGATTTTCCCTAGCTTTTTCTTAATAACAAGATGATCTTGCGAGCAATGATCACTCCCCTCAATGGTTCAATTTGGATCTTATTGGTTTATCAAATTTTAATTAAGAAAAACATTGGATCGGGATCGAAATAATTGATGGCTCTGATATTTGTATGACTTGTCGTTGAGATGATGCATATTTATTACTCTCTCTCTTTTTTTTTCCCCATATATGCACCATTATGATATTGATGATAATGCTTAATCTCCTACAATCCTTTCCTTGTTTGTAAGATTTTGATGGATCTGATTTAAGGCTTAATCTCCTACTATCCCTTTCTGACTTCTGACTTTGGCAAAAAGTAAAATAAAATAAACTATCAAAATGGCTAAATTTAAAACACGTGACAAATTACATCTAAGGAGTGATTAAAAAAAGTTATTTATTTTGCTTGTCTATTAAGAAAGGTTATTTTTTTCTTTTTTAATATATATGAATATATATATATATATAAAGCAAAAGGCAGAGTCTGTATAAAGGCAGAAGGCCTTAAAAGTGAAATTTTCAACAATCCCGAAAATACCATTGGTGAAGTAAAATATTAGAACAATGATTTTATTTATATGAGGGTAAAGGAGTAAAACAATAATCAATTAAAATAATTAAATAAAAGAAATAAAAAAAGTAGAAGAGTAATTAAGAAGAAGACGTGCTGAAGAAATAAGAACATCAGTTAAAAAAGAATAAGACGTGCTGAATAAGATCGAACATCAATTAAAAAATTAAGAAAGGTAATTTTGAGGAATTCTTATAAAAGGATTCCTGTCTACCCCATTACCCATATATTTGAATAACCTATTCGAACCCTAGATCTATCATCTCCTTGTCGCCTCTTCCTCTTAAGCCAATCCTATAATTCCCCCAAAAACCTCTTCCCTTCTCTCCTCACATCATACACACCCAATAGTTGTGATGGCATTGGCAGCCCAGCGTAAGAACCTGCAGATTGAGAATGTTGTTTTGAACCTTCCTAGGACCATTCATTGCATCAAGTGTAGGAATACCATGGCCAAAGACACCAAGATTAATTCCCGCAAAGAAAGACCCTCCCGCAACTTGGTACGTACTTTGGTTGTTATTAATTCTTTAATCTTAATAATCTCGTTTGGGTTTTGAAGCTTTAATTGCCCAGTTCGTATCTCGTTTTTTCTTTCTCTTTCTTCTAGTTCTAGGGTTTGTTTATTTTTGTTGATGTTGGGTGCTCATATGCTCGCTCGCTCTAGTTTTTGAAAGCTTTGGTGTTGTCTATTTCTTTCTTATTTACAGGAGTTTTTGGGGTTTAAAAACATCAGATTTCACTTCAATTGTACCCAGTGCTCGGCTGGGATCGTCTTAGGGACGAACCCACAATTGTCACGAGTTCTTTGTGAGGCCGGTGCTACGCAATTTTGTGTTGATAAACATCCCAGGCGTCCTCTGTATAGGCTTGAGGAGGTAAAAGAAAGGAACTAAATACACACATACATATACATATATATATATATATATAATATGTACATATATCCATGCATGCATCATGTTTTCCTGTTTTTAGATTGCCTTTTACTGTTATCACATTGCTTAATTAATGATGACTCAGGAGTCAAACTGGCATGAGAACAGACACGAGATCTTTGCCCAACGGATTTCCATGGTAGATGCCTTACCTTAAATTTGCACTTTGTTATATATATCAGGTTTTAGATTCCCTTGTACTCAATTCATATATTTATACTTATATTTCCATTCCAGCTGCGGCAAAAAAAACATAACATGGATCAGAAGAGGAAGATGGAAGAAGTAGGGAATGCCATGAAATCTTTGGATTTGGAAAGAGAGATTTAGCAGTTTTCCCTGAAGGTATAGATTCCTGTCCGTGTATTTGTAATCATAAACTAAAGCATTTTGTTACATGTGTATTATATATTTATATATATATCTAATTAAGATGATTTTGCAGATGAAGAGAGAAAGGGGACGCAGATTTTCACGGTTGTTTTGGTCGTTCAGCAGTAGAAAGATGAATTCAAAGGCAGAGATTTCTAAGGTGGTCGTGATTGCTCGGTTCAAAAGTTTACTTCTTTTATTTTTAGAGAGAGATAGACTTGGATAGTGGCTACTATATGTTATGTTCTATTTCTGTATCAGAGGTTCTTTTTAGCCTCATGAACGTCAAAATTAAATAATTTCATCAACAATTCATTGTTCTTCTCATCAGGGATTTGAGATTTAAATTGTCTAAATGATCTATTACTCCCATCATCGTATGATATGATTCACAATGCCTAATCTTCTTTATGTCCTTATTAATACATTTCTCTATGAAAATTTGACGATTCTCTCAATATTTGCCTCTTCATCTTTATATAATTTGCTTCTTGAGGATCCTTTGCTTCTTGACGATTCTCTCAAAATACAAGTAAAGACTAGATTACAATAAAACACTCAACCCACAATGAGTTGATGCAATTATGACAAATCAAACACCAACTCACAACGAGTTGATGCAATTTTTTGGATCCTCTTGACTCCCTAGGATTGGACTTTTTCTCATACTCTCTCTCATTTGACTTCTCTCCTTGAGACTTGTATCTAATCTCATGAGATGACCACCATTCCTTCTAGTCTCTCTCCCCTTATCCTTGAGAATTCTCCTAAATTTCTTCATAAACAATGTCATTTCATCATCAATAGGTGATGATTTTTTGAGTCTTTTTGTGAAGACTCTTGCACTTCCTGAAGTGAAACATTCTTTTTTCTTGGCATCATTCTCTTCCATATTCAACTCCATCTCATAAGTTTTCAATTTCCCTACAAGCTTACTAAGTCTAATTTGATTCAAATTTTGAAACCTAGGAGGTAGATCTCTAAGAATTTTTTGAACAATAAGGAGTTCCTCTATAGGGTGACCTAGACTCATGGCCTTATTAGTGATCTGCTCCACTTTTTCATAGAACTCTAAGATGGTCTCAGTTTCAGACATTGTGAGTTCTTCAAATTGTGCAAGCACCATTTGAAGTTTGAGTGATCTAACTTGTTCATCTTCCTTGCAGTACTCTTAGTGATCTAACCGGTTCGGTCTGATTTCCCCTTGAACTGGAACCAAAATTGAAACTTATACATGGGCCATTTGCATAAAAAAATTTATAGAAGAACCGAATCAAACCGGATCTATGCGGTTCCAATTCAAGTGGGCCTGATTTCCCGTTGGGAAAGAAAAATATAAAGATGTAGACACAAGAGAAATATGAAGAATTGAAAACCAGGAAGAAAATAAAAGTAGGTAGAAAAGATAAACTAAGAGAGAAAATTGTAGAAGAGATAATGAGGAATAGAAATATAAAGAAATAGGTGGAAAAAAGAGAAAGACGGAAGTACAACAAGAGCTTCACCGAAAAGAAAAAGAAATTGGGCATCAAGTAGTCATTTAATTGGGTATAAATTGGAACTAAGAGATTTGGGTAAAAATTGGAGGATTTCACTAATAAACCCATTTAAGCATGACATAATATACTAAAGCCCTTATAGAGCCTATTTAGTAATATAAAAAAAACCCAAAACTAGCAACTTGTTATTCTCTAATTGGTTCTTATAAATTTTGAACACACTAAGAACCAATTAGAAAATGACAAGTGTGTGTCTAATTTTGAGTTTTTCTCTCCAAATAGGCTCTATATGAGTTTTTGTATAATATGTCATGTTAAAATGGATTTTGAATAAATATCTCTAAAAATTAGGTTAAAATATCTAAATATTACTTGGAGTTACTAATGTGATTTGAATATTAATTAGGCTGACTGATATTTTGGATATAAATAAATATGCTGGTGATTTTGCCCCATCAACTTGTACCTAACTTTCAAATGACCCATATCCTTTTGTTTTAGAAAATTAAGGATATGAAGAAGAAGAAAAATTCACCGATGTCCCCCTTACCGTCTAAATCCTCAACATTTCATCCAATTTCACGTTAAATATGAAAGCAAATTGGTTATTTCATATATTAAAAATAATTAATATTGTGAAATAATATAATATTAAATATTAAATGAAAAAAAAAGCATTTTAATAAAAATAAACCCATCACTCCCACAACCTTCTCTCTTTCGTATCCTCCTCCCCAAAATCCAGCTTTTTTTTATAATTTTTTTTTTAAAGTCTCCCAATCTCCTCCAAATACTCTAAAAAAAATCTTCATGTAAAATTTGTGAAAGTGTTACCGAAGACAAATTTGGGTTGTAAATAATTGTAACAACCCAAGTTTTTTTTCCAACATTACATAAATTTGGGATGGGCAGTTTCGGTTTGGTTTGGTTCTCACTTAAAACTAAAACCGGTACTCTTCATCGGGTCTAATTCGGCTTGATTCTCATGAAAAATGAATAACTAAACCGAACACACCCAAACCAATTAAGATATGGTTCAGTTTTCGATTTTCACGATTTGGGCCGTTACTGGTGGTGAAATATTTGTCTCACAGTTTCTGGTCCCAATCTGATAAGATATCCAACCCCTCTCTGTTTCTGAAAAATGTATGTTTTTTTATTTTATTTTTATGTTCTCTTTTTCTCTCAATCCCGCGATATGAACAACTCTGAGAAGGGAAACAACTTCTTCTTAAAAGGATTATCTCGCAACCTGAAGAAAGGATCTTGTCATTGTTGATCAACAGTCAACAAACCAAAACCAATATAACACAGCAAAGAAAGAATCCATATGTGCAGATGTTTTTCAAGATCTACAAGAACTCTACATGTATATGGATCTACAAGAAGAATATAGAAAGAGAGAAAAGAGGAGTGAGAGAGAGACTGCGTGAAAAAGAGAGATGAAGTATGTGAGAAATAAGAGAATAATAAGAGAAAGAAAAAGTTGCAGAGCAAGAAGAAGAAGATGAATAAGAGAGAAAGAGGAATCTCGAGCCTCTACATTTAGCGAGTGTGCATTTACCCGCATTTCGTAAGATTTAAACCATTCTAATAATCTAACTGTTCTAATAATCTAACTATTCAAGATATGACACGTCAATTTTTGACTTTTGAGATATATCTATTTAATTAACTCTAAAAGTATTATTTAAACAAATTAAAACAAAACAATAAAGAAAACATTAAACAAAAAACCTAGCAACCATCCTTTCCTACTTACCCGGCATGCGATTGCCTTCAAATCCCACCCCTGATTCCTCTCCACCGTCCAAAAATCTCTCCCTCTTTTCCATGGATATGTATCATAGTATAGCCATGGTTCTTTTCTCATCATGTGCATCATGTCCCACCCCGACTTTGGCAAAAAGTAAAATAAAATAAACTATCAAAATGGCTAAATTTAAAACACGTGACAAATTACATCTAAGGAGTGATTAAAAAAAGTTATTTATTTTGCTTGTCTATTAAGAAAGGTTTTTTTTTCTTTTTTAATCTATATCTATATATATAAAGCAAAAGACAGAGTCTGTATAAAGGCAGAATGCCTTAAAAGTGAAATTTTCAACAATCCCGAAAATACCATTGGTGAAGTAAAATATTAAAACACAATGATTTTATGTATATGAGGGTAAAGCAGTAAAACAATAGTCAATTAAAATAATTTTAAAAAAAGAAATAAAAAAGTAGAAGAGTAATTAAGAAGAAGACGTGCTGAAGAAGTAAGAACATCAGTTAAAAAAAGAAAAAGACGTGCTGAATAAGAACATCAATAAAAAAATTAAAAAAGGTAATTTTGCGGAATTCTTATAAAAGGATTCCTGTCTACCCCATTACCCATATATTTGAATCACCTATTCGAACCCTAGATCTATCATCTCCTTGTCGCCTCTTCCTCTTAACCCATTCCTATAATTCCCCCAACTTGCTGCAACGCAAATCTTAAACCTCTACACACCCAATAGTTGTGATGGCATTGGCAGCCCAGCCTAAGAACCTGCAGATTGAGAATGTTGTTTTGAACCTTCCTAGGACCATTCATTGCATCAAGTGTAGGAATACCATGGCCAAAGACACCAAGATTAATTCCCGCAAAGAAAGACCCTCCCGCAACTTGGTACGTACTTTGGTTGTTATTAATTCTTTAATCTTAATAATCTCGTTTGGGTTTTGAAGCTTTAATTGCCCAGTTCGTATCTCGTTTTTTCTTTCTCTTTCTTCTAGTTCTAGGGTTTGTTTATTTTTGTTGATGTTGGGTGCTCATATGCTCGCTCGCTCTAGTTTTTGAAAGCTTTGGTGTTGTCTATTTCTTTCTTATTTACAGGAGTTTTTGGGGATTAAAAACATCAGATTTCACTTCAATTGTACCCAGTGCTCGGCTGGGATCGTCTTAAGGACAAACCCACAATTGTCACGCGTTCTTTGTGAGGCCGGTGCTACGCAATTTTGTGGTGATCAACATCCCAGGCGTCTTCTGTATGGGCTTGAGGAGGTAAAAGAAAGGAACTAAATACATACATATACATATATATATATATAATATGTACATATATCCATGCATGCATCCTGTTTTTCTGTTTTTAGATTGCCTTTTACTGTTATCACATTGCTTAATTAATGATGACTCAGGAGTCAAATTGGCATGAGAACAGAGACGAGATCTTAGCCCAACGGATTTTCATGGTACATGCCTTACCTTAAATTTGCACTTTGTTATATATATATATCAGGTTTTAGATTCCCTTGTACTCAATTCATATATTTATACTTATATTTCCATTCCAGCTGCGGCAAAAAAACCATAACATGGATCAGAAGAGGAAGATGGAAGAAGTAGGGAATGCCATGAAATCTTTGGATTTGGAAAGAGAGATTTAGCAGTTTTCCCTGAAGGTATAGATTCCTGTCCGTGTATTTGTAATCATAAACTAAAGCATTTTGTTACATGTGTATTATATTATATATATCTAATTAAGATGATTTTGCAGATGAAGAGAGAAAGGGGACGCAGATTTTCACAGTTGTTTTGGTCGTTCAGCAGTAGAAAGATGAATTCAAAGGCAGAGATTTCTAAGGTGGCTCGTGATTGCTCGGTTCAAAAGTTTACTTCTTTTATTTTTAGAGAGAGATAGACTTGGAGAGTGGCTACTATATGTTATGTTCTATTTCTGTAGCAGAGGTTCTTTTTAGCCTCATGAACGTCAAAATAAAATAATTTCATCAACAATTCATTGTTCTTCTTATCAGGGATTTGAGATTTAAATTGTCTAAATGATCTCTCATCATCGTATGATATGATTCACAATGCCTAATCTTCTTTATGTCCTCATTAATACATTTCTCTATGAAAATTTGACGATTCTCTCAATATTTGCCTCTTCGTCTTTATATCCTTTGCTTCTTTGAGGAAACTTGATGGCTAGGCTGAGCGAGTCCTATTTTGGGGTTCGTAGTAATATGCTTCTTCATGATCCTTTGCCGACTGTCAATCGTGCCTACTCCTTACTCTCACAAGATGAATGCGAACGTTCTCTTAAACTCGTAATTAATCACAACATCTCTTGATCAATCTGCCATGGCAGCCAATCGATCGCAGGCAAAATGATATGTTTTGCACATTATCAAAATATCTTAGTTATAAAAAATGAGGAAAAAAATTTGTTTTCAAGAATTCAACCAAACAAGTTTTCAAATTTTAAAGATTCAAAATAGTTTTCAAGTTGCATACCAAACAACTTTTTGAATCTTAAAAAAAAGGATTTGAGAACTCCTTATTTTTAAGAAAAATAACAGTTTTTGAGTTTCCTACTTGGATAGGATACCAAACAAACCCTTAGTTTTTGAGTTCTCAGAAAACAAACAGTCTTCTAAACTCAAAAGAATCGATAACGTTATCAAAGCCCAACGGTTGAAGAATTATCAAATTTATCAAAACCATGAACTGGATAAAACGAACCAACAGCAATATATACCATTTTTTTCATTACAAATACAGAAAAATTAATCCAATCAGAAGACACTGACTTTGATTTCTGTGGTTTTCTAGGGTTTTACCAATCCTTGCTTTTTGGGGTTTAAAGCGCCATTTTCCTTTTTCTCAGACCCCAAAAAAGAACCGCCAATTTGGTTTTATTTAGCGACGTGGGCTTCTACGTTTAAGTTGGACAGTTAAGGCCTAGCTCAGGCAAAATAACCATCGCGGCCAAATATTTTTAAATTGTTTTTTGTACGGTCCAACTTTATTTAACAATTTAACAAAAATAGTTGAGATTTGATTTGAATTTTTATTTTTAATATTAGCAAAATATTTTTTTGCCTGTGAATCTGTTATAAGGTCTCACCTATCAAGATATTAAAAATATATATAGAGCCATGGATTAAAATTTGGACAGTGATGATTAATTAACAATAAAAATAGTTAATTTATAAGGCACCTATCGAAGATGCTTGTTAAAAATATCAAAATGACAATAAAATAGATTTATAATTTCATAAGCGAACAAGCCTTTTAGACCCAAAATACACACAACCTCTTTCAATCAATCCATTCTTTCCAAGAAATACCATGTTCATCTATCTTAGTTGCTAGGATGTATTTTTGTTCTGAGCTTCCAAAACATGGTATCGCAACATTAATAAATCGAAATTTTAAACATCTGATTAATGCAAAAAGTTGATACAATATCGGATTTCCTTGAGTAACATCCACAACAAGAAATACTTGAATTGATGAAAGAAAACATCCAAGACACACAGAGTAGTACGATTAATGCAAAAGTTGATACAAAATCTGAAGACCACAAAAGCGAGCAACTATAATCTCTAGGCTTCTCTGTCCTTCCATACCAAAACCTTCCACCTTGCTTTCCTAACCTAAGCAACCAGAGTGCTGGCAGTGGTTGACTCGCTGTAACACAAAGCAGAATTCACAACATTATTATGCGGAAACACAGAACAAATCTGTAAGCAATGGATCTAAACATTGGCGGCACATAACACATAAGCAAATGAGACTAGTCATCTGCTTAATTAGATGCTCTACATCATTAAGATAAAGCCATTTTTGAATTGCTGACCAAATATACAAACTGAGAAGATTCATATGCTTATGCTATTGTGTGATATACAGATTTCAACCCCACAAACAAATTAGAAAAGCATACTGCCCACCCATCAGATTAAGATACAACTCGGCAGTTGATAAGCAAAGAACCCTATTTGTTCTACTTCCTTACACATGCAAAGCAACAAGGCAAGCAACATGCCCCGAACAGCAATGCCAGAACCATAACAATGGTGAAGTTGATAAGCAAAGAACCCTATTTGTTCTACTTCCTTAAACATGCAAAGCAACAAGGCAAGCAACATGCCCCTAACAGCAATGCCAGAACCATAACAATGGTGAAGTTGGAAAAGAAGTGATAAAGAATACTTACTATTTCCAGACAGGAGGAAGCTTCTTTGTTTTCTTGTAGTAACGAGAGAGCCTGTGGATCCTGCTCTCAACCAAAATCAACCGAAACTTTGAATCCTTATCCTTCCTATTCCTCTCCAAATGCTTCCTAATTGACACTGCCTTCTTGATAAGATGGTACAGATCCTCAGGAATTTCGGGAGCAAGACCTAGCCAACAACAAATGGAAATTATAAATTTTTTCCATACACTTTTTTAAGGAAAACAAAAACAAAAGGTAGGCTGTCATTTGGTTTGAAGGAAACTAAAAACGACAATGCCACAGACTTGTTTGAGATCAAAACCAAACTCTTAATCTTCTTTACGTTTTCAGATAAGATGAAATGTACAAAATGAAGACACAATGGTCATCTTATCGAGCTAGCCTAATCATACAATCAATTAGTGCTTAAATATATTATCTTCACCTCAGTAATCGAGATCAATGAAGAAATGGGTTTCAATCCCACAAGTCCCACTGAACATCCAAACCTTCATAATTTTTATAGCAACTAAAAAGTGCAATAAAATTCATATAGAAAAATATTATTAAAAGAAAGGCATACCATGAGCTTTAAGAATACGCAAGATCTTGCTTCCAGTCACGCTCTTAACCTGAGCAATGCCATGCGAGTCACGAAGAATCACACCGATCTGAGATGGAGTCATACCCTTCTTTGCAAACTTGCAGATGTTCTCTTCAACCTTAATCAAAGATAAAGCCCACTCAAATTAACATCAACAATTACATACTTAAAAATAAATCTAGGGTTTTTCATTTACTTACATCTGGAGCAGTGACCTTCAACCAGCTAGGCGAACTTCTCTTGTATGGCAGAGCTGAGGCTGACATGCCCTTTCTGCAGGCCCCCAGATAAAATTAAAAAGATAAATAAATAAAAATCGGAAACTGGTGGTATGAACAGAAATACATAGAGAGAGAGAGAGAGAGAGAGAAGGAGAAGCAGTACCCATGACTGTGCATACGACCCATGATGGGAGAGATGGAAGCGGAGGTTGTCCCTGTCCTTGGGTTCTCTGAGACGAGCCGCAAATGGTTTTCCTCTCCTTTCTCAGTTCAGGTTTTCTAACTAGGGTTTATATGTACAGGCCAATTTGGGTTTGAGAAGCCCATTTTGGTGGGTTGGATCAGAGTTCGGCCATTGCCCAGTAGGCAGGACCAAATGGCCATAACTAGCAATAACTTTGATTTTGGGTACAATGGGCCAAAGGCCCAATAAAATAAGACAATAGGCACGTTTTTTGTGGATTGGATGAAGTGGAGAGAGAGAGCGAGAGAGAGAGAGAGAGAGAGAGAGAGTCATTTTTAAATGGCTTAAGAGCATGTCCACCGCTGCACTAAACCTGGGCAAAAAGCCCCCCTAGCAGCCCATTCCTGACTCCAGCGCACAACAATGAGCCCGGGCAAGGCCTGGGTCCCACCAGCCTGGGCAAGGCCACAGGCTAATCTTACCTGGGTTGTTGCCCTCGGGCTGCTGACGTCAGCAGCTGATTTTCATTTTTTTTATACTGTTGGACCACCAGCCCACATTGCCCAATGGTTACAAGTCATGTGGCTTCTCCTGGAGCCTCCGATCAAAAAATCTTGCACAATCCAACGGTTGTCCAATTTTTGGTTTAAAAAAATTGAAAAAATATCAAAAAAAAATTAAAAAATATATCAAAAAATTCATGAAATTTTTTCTATACATACCTACCAATATTATTCACTTTCCACAACAATTTAATTTCAAAATTTTATTCAAAAATGTTATCTTGATTTTAGGTGAGGATTTTACGATAAAATTTAACACTTGGGAATTGAAAATCTTATCCGAAAAGCTTATCAAAATCAATGGTTTAAGTATAAAAAATAAATAATAAATTTAAGTGAATAGTAATTGCCTTAGACTTGACCTAGACTTAGCCCTCATGAGTGGAACCACAAATGGCAAGGCTGATACTATTCACGTGAATAGTGGCAGCCCTTACTTGCCCTTGCCCTAGACTTAGCCCTTGTGGGTGGAGATGCTCTAAAGGGAAAAATATGTGCCGACAAAATTTTTGTATCCCAACGAACTTTGATGGGATAGATTTGTCCCTACGAATTTGTGCCACGATAGATTTTTCTCAATGAAATTTTATCGGGATTCTAACTTCAAATCACTTGTTAAAATCTACCTCAAGGCATAGTTAACTAACTAGGGTTATGTTTATGTCGTATGAATCGTATATTGAGATCGAAACTCTAATCATAAAACCCTAGGTCGAGTTATGTGAGTATCCAAGCTTAATCGAGTCATAAGTGCCCTAAAGTAGGCTTATGGTTAGGATTTGAGGCTTCATAAAGGTTTTGGAACAAGTTCAAAAACTAGACTTTTTGGTTCGAGACTTCTAAGTAGGGTTTGGAGGCTCAAATCTATTTTTGGAATACTAAAATAATTTTCTAAGATTTTTAAAATATATTTGGAAATTAAAAATAATTTTAAAGTCCACAAAATTATTTACGATAAGTAAATATAACTAATTAGTATTTATTAAGTACTTTATGAAATTAATTAAAATACTTAAATACTAATTATTCCATAAATAAATAATAATTAAAATATAATTACTATTTAATATAATTAAATAAAGCTAAGATATTACTTAATTGCAAATATTAAAGTTAACAAACTAAATGCATATATTCCTATCGCTTATCATAAATAAAAAATAAAAAAAGAGCAAAGAAACTAATTTTATATTTAAAATATAAAAAATAAAAAGTAAAATCGGCCTAGGCGCTAGGCGCCCGCCTAGGCGGCCTGTTGTTTTTTTCCCCGACTTTAAAGAAAACACGCTGCCTCCTCTGAGCCCGGTCCTCCTCTCTCTCACGACAGACCACAACCACCAGGCCTCCACCCGCGACGACCACCACAAGGCTGCGACCCTCGAACTCCGTAAAGAATTTGGGTTGTCCTCTTCGGCTGAAACAAGTGCATTTGCTGAAGACATCTTCGCAAGAGTGCCCCGTAAAGAATCTGGTTCGAATGTGAGTTGTTATTCCAAACTTAGGATTTTAGCCTCCAGTCTTATCTGTCACGTCGTGTCTTTCCTGCTTGTTACTCGTGTATATCAGCTATATCAGAAACAAGAGAGGGAAGCTGCGATGTTAAGAAGCAGAAGACATATTCTCTCTTGGATGCAGATGACGATGATGGAGATAGATCTTCTGCCCAGATCCTTTCTGATTCCAGGAAAGCTGATTCCCATAAGAAACGATTCAGGAAGAAGGTCTTGAGTTAAGAAGATGAAGATGATGAGGTTAATTCTTTTTAACTTTTGAAAGGTAATATTCTGTATTTGTTTCTCAAGGTTACTGTTGTTTTAACTGAGTGCAATGCTGCAGGTGATTGCACAAGAGGACGAAGAGAGACGAGTTAAAAGACGAATTCCCCAGATGACGATGATGGTTCAGAGGTTTTCTTCTTTTATTTTTATATATATTTTAAAATTTATCCATAGGTAGTGCTTCAATACTTGGCTAAGCTTTCACTTTGTGGTCGGATTGGTTAATTATCTTGTTATCTGATGATAAAATCTCTATGGTTCACTACATTGAGGAACATGTTTGCATTCATTTTCTGTTATACGTTTTGCTATGTCTCATATATCAAGGAAAAGGATTCAGGTCTCTCTCTCTCTCTCTCTCCCCATAATATGCATGTGCACGTTAATTCCTTATTTAAACGCCATTTTAGTCAAGTTTTGTAAGAAGGGTATATGATTGAATTCTAGTCTAGGTGATTGCCTATTTAGGAAACTGAGAATGTTCTGCTTTAGGAAGTGAGGCTTCTCTGCGGTCAGATTGGGGTGGTATCTGATATGTTATGTTTTGAGTGGGTAACTCATTCCGGTTTCATTTTTTAAGTCTTTATAGGTAATTAGAAGGATTTCCAATAAGTGGATAAATATATTATACCACCTATTTCCTCTATGGGGGAGATTGACGTTGGATACCGCCCTAGAATGTCGATGTCAACAAAAACATATTCAAATGTTATGGGAATGATTACCTTTTTATTATCATACTTCTTCTGGATTGTTACTTTTTCCCACTTGTATTATTTGTTTATTCTGAAAGTTCTTCTTCATAACAGTTTCTCTTAAGCATGCATCTACATGTGAGCAAGTTAGCTTATATTTGACGTCTGTGTTTGTGTAGGAGGTGATTTATATTGCAGCTTGAGTTTGACTTTCAAGCACTTCCTCTTAAGTGATAATTGAAATCGTACATAAACGAGTAGGTTGAAGAGGATGATATTGAAGAATTCTCAAGTAGCTCACAGGTAATTTCTAGTTTATTTAAATATATCTCTCTTCTACTGTTTTGGAGATGGATATATATAATTTGCAATTCCTTGAAGATGGCCCAGATGGGTTGGTGCGTTGGGTGCTGATCACTGGAAATTGGCATGTAAAGCCAGATGATAATGATTTGTTTCAAGATGTCATTTCCAAGTTGAAACTGTGATTGATATATATTTGCTAGAGTAACGTATGTATGATCCCCCCATGCATGAGACACCAATCATATGCATAATGCATGCAGTGCTCTAACAAAATACCATTTCCCTTTACTTTTGTTATTTTTACTGGAAGTAAACCTTAACTGTTGCTCTTGGTAGCCGTTGATGGTGATGGCACAACATTCATATGGAAAAGGCTGAGTTTTTTAGTATATGCGTTGTGCAGGACACTGATCTTAGTGATGAGGATTGGGCTGCTTGAGATGGTAACGACACAGAGTGCACAGAATTAGAGATGCACCCGTGTCAAGCAAAGTGATGTGATATTACTCCCCTGTGCAAGGCCCAAGGGATGATGATGATGATGAGAGTGTTGATGAGCTTGCTCGCTGCTTAGTGTTATAAGAAGAGCTCCTCAAAAATTGACACATTGCCTGCCTGCCGCATACTGTAATCTTCACTTTCGTATTATTGACAGGCATTTAGATTGTTTTCATGAATGTTTTAAGATGACATATCCGCCCTCTTGTTCCTCTTTCTTCTTTATTTATGTTTTTATCCGAAACTAAATAAATAGAGCATTTGACATCTTAAATTTTAATTTGGACAAGGTATAGCCATGGTGCTGACTGTTTGGATTGAGATGCTACAAAGCCCTTGAGGCTTGAAATCTGGATGCGATTCAATTTAGTTTCTGAGTATATTTCTAAGCTAATTATCTTTGTTTACTCGAATATATTTAAACAGTATAGCCACATAATGAAAAGAATATTTATAAACTGTATAGCCGCGCATCTATACTACTTAAATATTCGAATATATATATAAGTATAGCCGTGCGGCTATACTATTTGAATATCAGAATATATAAAGCGTATAGCCGGACGGCTATACTATTTAAATGCATCGAATATATACAAAGAGTATAGGCGAACGGCTATACGATTTGAATACGTGCAAAGACTATAGCCGCACGGCTATACGATTTAAATATTCGAATATATAGTATAGCCGCGCGGCTAAACTATTAAAATATTCAAATATAAAAACAGTATAGCCATCCGGCTATACGATTTAAATATTCGAATATGTATAAACAGTATAGCCGCTCGGCTATACGAATTAATTATATATTTTTTTTGGGCCCAAAAAAAATCAAGAGTATCATTCCGATGCCACAAAACCCTACAAATCAATATCAAATGCGGCAATAGAAATGTTGCAATCAAATAATAGTCGGACGAATAGACAGAAAAAGAGAAAAATCTGGTGGAATCAAAATAGAATAAAGTTTTCCAAATTGGTGATCGTAATCTGCCAAAGTCATTAGGTAGTTGTCCTGCATATAATCTCACAGTTTTCTACTACTAATTGTGTGGCTTTCACTAGAAGTGAAAAATGATTAAGTGGGCATAGGCATCAAAGATAAGCCCCGCCACTCAAACTGTATTTTCTAGACTCTGGACACTCTCGTGCAATTTAACCCAAGAGATGAAAATGATGCAGTTTGTTCTGTTATGCAGTAAAAAGGCTAAGCATCTTCTTGGCATCTTGTTGGCCATTAATTATCAACAAAGCCATAGGTATTGATATAAAACAACTCCAAAAGCAAAGCTAAAGGCCAATTATGGTGGGCGAAAAAGCCACCCACGAAACCAAACTTTTGGTGGAAATTTCTTGGAAAATTGCCATTTCGGTGATTCATGTTTTTCATGTTTTGTTGGGTTGGGACAAATGTGACCTATATGCCATAATCATTTACATTTAGGTTGTCTTGCATGGCATGATTACAGAGACGACTAATGCAATGCAGAAGAAGAAGTTGTGCTAAAAACTCATTATTTTTGTGTCTCTTCTTGAACAAAGTGAATTATGAGTGATGAGTGGCTTGGTTTGATTAGCTTACAACTCAATCATCTTTCTGTATAGCCTTCATGGTCAAGGGGGTTTTCATTTTAATTATCTCTCAAACTTTAAATATATAGCTGGCTGGGCCATGGGCATCATACACAACTTTATACTCCAAAGGCAGCTTTTTAAAGCTTGACGGTGAGCTGGTCTTTAAGCTTTTGGCATGTCCTACAACAAAAAACAGATGCTCATGATTTTGATGTTGACCTTAACCATCTACAAGGAGCCTGATTTCTTTAAGTAACGTCCATACAAAGAAATACTTGAGTTGATGAAGAAAACATCCACGACACACAGACTGAACATCCAAGACAAATTAGATCTTGCAATGAATTAGATCTTGCAATGAATGCAAACACTCAAATTAAACAGATAGAGCTAAAATGGAATTTAAGAATAAATATTCAAGAAGAAGAAGAAGAAGAAGATGATTGGGTTGGGTTGGGTGGACAAAAAACACACAACCCCATACTCTTTTGAGGGCAGTGAGGCTAGTGCCATCGTTTCTGAGAAAACTTGTCTCTTCCAGGCCAGACACACAATATTGAATTTGCTTTCAGATAATTCAGTTTTCATATTTTCCATAAACCATTCATCTTTACAGAATTCATAACATGAATTTAATTTAGGCACATATAATTTAAGGAAGATGGCTAAGCTGCATGCAGCAAAATTGGAGAACTGCTACAAGTCAAAAACATAAAGAGATGCCTTGCCCCTCTGCAAAGGAACTTGGAAAAGTTCATATGGATGAAGAATCTATCTTCAAAAACAGATATACATAAAAAATCAATTCTTCCATTCATGCTTTCTATCCCTTTCACATGGTCAAGAAATTTATAAATTCCACGGCCCCAACACCAAGATTAATACCTCAAAAGCAGCACAGTAGAATATTAAAAATCTATATACTCTGTGACAAACCTTCCTTCCTTTTTTGGTGACCGTGGTGAGACTTTTTATCCAGTTGATCAAATGAAAGATGAAGTTAAACAGAGGCTTTTCTTAATTAACATAGATATATATATATATATATATATATAAAACATGTTGTGGGTTTACAGCTACGTTAATTGTGCAGTTCTAGATATTCCAATCTCAAGAAGACCACTTTATTATTATATATGAAATGAAAGGTCCTGTTCCTGCTGCAACTCTTGTTAAGTTGTTAGATTATGTTGGGGCTTTCAACAGAGATCGGTTTGTATTAAGCTAGTGTGGTCCTGTTCTCACCAACACCAAACTCATCAGTTGCTTTCATCAAATTACAAGCAAAAAATACAACAATATATACACATTACATAGTACATACATACCATCTTTCATTTCTGTCAGCTTATTCACAAGTTCAAAACATGACTTCTCTTTTCAGAGCCTGTTTGGTTTGGTGGGGTGTAGCTTTTCCACCGTTATTAGAATAGAAAAGTCTTTTTCTTCAGAGCAAAAGCATTTTTTTTATGCGTTTTTCCAAGCTGTATAAAAGAAAGTGCTTTTCGAATATTTGGCACAAGTTGAAAGACAACTTTTAACCAAGTTTCTTTTCTGTAAACTAAAATATCATCTATGCACTTCCGTTCAATGAATACCTACCGCCTGAACGAGCAGCAGCACAATACATATGAATCTATGACCTTATTCCTCTCATTTTACTTGGCTTTTTTTTTTTACCGAAAGGAGGCAGTCAAAGAGTAACAAGACTTGTACAAATTTTGAAATGCATGCCATCTTTTGCAATCAGAAATGGTCCAACTGCATGGGCTGGCAAATCCCTCATGAATAGGGAGGAGAGAGAAAACAAAGAAACTATTAGCACTTAATGAAGAGGGGAAATGATGTTATTCAATACCTCTCTCTCTACGTTTGGGACCAATACCCCATCATATATTAGACCTTGGACCATCTTATTATCTCTCTATTATTTTCTCTGGTGAGTCAAAATTATAAAAATCTCAACTTTTGAATGTTATGAGTATTGGGTAGATCAAATGGAAACAAATAAGAAGAGACCAAATGAATAAAGAATAGAATAGTGAGAGAGAGCTACGACAATGACTAATGGACAGTGAGGGCGGTGGTGGTGTCAGAGTTTCTGGCATGGCATTGGCAGGCACAAGCAAAGAGAGAGAGAGACAACGGTTGAAAAAAGAAGCACAAAGTACTCTTACCAAGAAACACTATCTCTCAACCAATCCAAAGCCAAGTTAGTAAATGTCCATTTTATTTGTTAGTGGATTTCTGGGGTTAGTATGAGATTGCATGCAGAGGATCCTTGCAATTTGAATTCGAACTACGTATTTATGCGAGGGAATCTCCGTTTCGGGGAGGACAGTACCTCAACCCCACCGTAGCTCCAATCTGTGGTTGACCACGTGGCAAACGCAAGTCTACGAACATAGACCCACTTCTATAATAATTTCTTTCTAACTCGAAATAAATTTGAATTGATGCCATCAATTTTTAAGCAAGACCTTGTCGAGTGACTGTAAATCATGAATCATTTTCTAATTGAATAGTGGAGAAATGAGAATCAAATATATGATCTTGTATGCATGATATACACTTTTGGTCACTTAATTTGTTATGTTAATCATGAATCTTTATTGCATAATCACTTTAAAATCATTAAAGTGCTTCTAAAAAAAGTTTTAAGGCTCATTTGGAAGTGCTTTTGGAGCAGCGAAAAGCGCTTCTAAATGAGTAAAAGTGCTTCTGTCTTTTAAAAATGATGTTTGGCAAAAATTGCAAAAGCGCTTTGGGTGAGATCCAAAAGCACTTGGAGTGGTTTTGGAAGAAGCACTTGAGAGGTGCTTCTTCTTAAAAGCGCTGTAGGACAAAAATAAGGAAAACACTTGGCTCCCTTTAATGAAACTTTTAAAATGCCAAAAATACCCATATTTAATTTTTTTAAATGCCAAGATATCCTCTCTTTTTTTTTCTCTCTCTCTCTTTTTCTCTCCTATTAAAACCAAAATACTACCCGCGAAAAAGCCAACAGACGCCAAAACACCCATGGAAACCTTTAAGCTTCTATTAATCCATCACTATCTTTACATTTCACAACTTTTTTAAGCCGTGTTTTTATTTTGGAATCCTGTTAATTTTTATTTTCTATGTTTATTATAATATTGTGGGAAAACACTTTTAAATGTGACATCCAAACGAAAAACTGCTTCTTTGTAGAAGCGCTTATGTCATAAGTGCTACTGGCATAAACGCTACTAACATAAGCGCTTCGAGAAGAAGCACTCCCAAACGAGCCCTTACTTTATCTCTATTTCAGCAAAAATGCTATGAAAGATGTCTTGAGTTGTATGAAAGTTGCTTTGAATGGTACATATTCAACATCTAGGTTATTTTGTAGCTAGCTTCAAGGATATCAAAATAAACCAACGTTAATGGGAGCTAATCTACAAAACCCATTTTAACCAAAAAAAAAAAAGTTTCCAGTAAGTTTTTGGATTCTTGTTCTCTAAAATCCATTTGCATAAGTTAAAGCTTGGATTTTTCGTCATTTAGATACAAGAAGAAAAAGGGCAGGAAAGCTTTGTTTATTCTTGTTTGCAGTTACTGGTTTTACGAACCAAAACAAGGAATGTGGAGTTACTGGGGTAGCTCAGTTGGCAGTCACAATTCCTATGGCATGAACTTTAAAATACTAACATGCAACTGCACCCACACCTGGTCTTGTACTAGAATCTAGATCAATCAATAGTCAACCAATCCAACGGTCAAAACTCCGAAGCCCTTCTCTTTTTCTTTTCCTCTGTTTCTGATTTCACTTCATAGCTTTGGTACACACTTCCACTGTAGAAAGTTAGGCACACCTTCTGTGACTTTGTCTCTTTCTTCTCACAGTCACCGCCTTCTGTTTGCTCAAGAGAGAGAGAGTGAGAACTACCTGGGTTCTCTGCAGGGCTTAAAACAGGGAAGAAAATTCCAGTTACAAATATAACAGTCAGAGATTGAGTCTCAGAGAGAAAAAATTATCCAACTTCTACCATTTTGAGCACAAACCAAAACATGGGTGTCACATTTTTTATTTTCTCCTTCCTAATTTTCTCACAAACCCGTTATGGGTTTGTGGAAATGCAGAGCTCAGAGCACTTTTGGAGATGAGAGCCGTTTTGGACCCGGAAAGCTTGTACCTTTCTTCATGGACCGTCAATGGAGACCCATGTGACAGGTCGTTTGAAGGTATCGGGTGCAACGAAGCCGGTCAAGTTGCTAATATTTCGTTGCAAGGAAAGGGGCTCTCTGGGAAGCTCTCTCCCGCCATTGCAGGGCTCAAGCATTTGACTGGTCTTTACATGCATTATAACTCTCTGTACGGGGAGATACCCAGAGAAATTGCCAACTTGACTGAGCTCAGTGACTTGTATTTGAATGTAAATAATCTCTCTGGAGAAATTCCTCCTGAGATCGGAAGCATGGGCAGCTTACAAGGTCAGCTAAAGATTTTTGTTCTGTAGAACTTCTAGTCTCTTGATTCTTTATTTTATTTAAGTATATTATATATATATATATATATATTGGTTTGCTTTATTTCTGTAATATTGTTAGCTTTGGTTGTTGGTTCTATTCTCCCTCCGAATTCCTACTCCCTATTTGGATATGATGAACAGCTGGTTGAGCGAGTAGACTACTGAGTCTAGGAAGCCACTCACGGCTCTTAGCATGCTGTTTTCTTACTCGACTCGATAGTGGTGGGAATGCAAAGACATCCTAAACCAGCTTCCCGGTAGACCCTATTTCCATTTCGTAGAGAAAGAACTATTCTATGACAGCTCAAGTGAAGAAGGTGTAGGAGCAGAAGTAGCTCGATCATAGGCCTCAAGTCAAGTGGTTATAGATCGGATTAGAAATATGTGAACTTTGAGCACCTTGATTGGGAATGTGTGTGTGTGTGTGTGTGTCCGTTTTAGAAAGTATCGGTTTTCTCTCTTTTGGGATTATTACTAGTTTGTTAAGTTTAGTGGTGGGTTTGTTGAAAGATTTGAACTTTCTTTGTGTATGTTTTGTTTCTAGATTTCCATACTCAACGATCAATAAGAAAAAGAAAACGATTTCCTTCACTCTCTGCCTTCCGCATGGGTTTTTATTTTCAACAATGAAATTCTCTATTTCATGTGTTTTGATTGATGTATGTAAACTTTCGGTTTTTGTTTCTCAGAAAACTAATCCATCATTCTCTATTTATGTAAGCATTTTCTTATTTCGTGTGGCTTGCACTGATTCCGCATGTGGTAGTTGCGAAATCTAGATGAAAAAGCACTTAAATTATTGGCTGATTTATGCGTTTCTTGCCTTTTCCTAATTTTGTGTCAAGTAAGGCTCCGCTTATCTTGTTCTGTTTTGGCTTTTCAGTTTTGCAGCTTTGCTACAACCAGCTCACTGGAAGCATACCCACGCAGCTGGGGTCTTTGAAAAACCTTACAGTTCTTGCTCTGCAATCTAATCGCTTAACTGGCGCAATACCGGCAAGTTTAGGAGACTTAGAAATGTTAATGAGACTGGATTTGAGTGTCAATCATCTTTTCGGTTCTATTCCCACCAAACTAGCTGATGCGCCCGTGCTTGAAGTTCTAGACGTTCGGAATAATACTCTTTCCGGCAATGTACCTCTTGGTAAGAGTAGTCTTAACACCTAAATTTTATCTTTAAAATAAGAATTTGCAAAAGTTATTATTCATGTTAAATTGTTGAAAAAAATATTTAAACCTCTGATTGATTTCATTTTTATTGATTTGGTGAAGCTTTGAAGAGGCTTAATGAAGGATTCTCTTATGAAAACAATCTGGGATTATGTGGGTCTGGATTTATGTCCTTAACAGCCTGCAGTGCTTCTGGTCATCTCAACGCAAGTAGACCCGAACCCTTTGGAGCTGCTGCACCAACAAGAGACATTCCCGAGACTGCAAATGTGCCTTTGCCCTGCAATCAAACTCATTGCTCAAATTTGTCAAAATCCCATCAAGCATCTGTTGCTGTTGTTGTTGGTGTCCTTGTAGTAACTATTGCATTATCAGCTATAGGAGTTCTATTCTTCATCCAACACCGTCGCCGGAAACAGAAGCTTGGGAGCTCATTTGATATTTGTGATGGCCGTCTAAGTACTGATGAGGCCAAGGGCAAGGGAGTTTACAGGAAAAATGGATCTCCTCTCATCAGCCTTGAGTATTCAAACGGGTGGGACCCTTTAGCTGATGGGCGGAATTTAAGTTTGTTTGCTCAAGAAGTGTTCCATAGCTTTAGGTTCAACTTAGAAGAGGTGGAGACAGCTACTCAGTACTTCTCCGAGATGAATTTATTGGATAAGAGTAACTTCTCTGCAACTTATAAAGGAATATTACGAGATGGGTCTGTTGTGGCCATTAAGAGCATTGGTAAATCATGCTGCAAGACAGAGGAAGCTGAGTTCTTGAAGGGATTGAACATGCTAACCTCATTGAGGCATGAGAATTTAGTGAGATTGAGAGGATTTTGTTGTTCAAAAGGCCGGGGAGAATGCTTTCTCATTTATGATTTTGTTCCAAATGGAAACTTGCTGCGGTATCTTGATGTCAAGGACGGTGACAGCCATGTTCTTGAATGGACAACTAGAGTTTCTATTGTGAAGGGCATTGCTAAAGGTCAGTATATGTTTCATGTCTTTATAATCTTGCATTAAACTTATTCCATTTCTAAGGACAAGGTTTTCTTGTTAAAGCTTATGTTACTAAAAATCCAATTGAAAACTGTTCTTGTTCAGTTCTGAATGCTTATGTCTTTGAGAGATGCATAACCAACCATCAATGTGTGAATTCAAGGGGAGTTAGTTTATGATTTATCTATACTGAGCTTTGTTATTTTTAACCAGGTCTATCTTATTTGCACGGCTACAAGCCAAACAAACCTGCTCTTGTTCACCAAAACATCTCAGCTGAAAAGGTGCTGATTGACCAGAGATACAACCCCTTGCTCTCAGATTCTGGCCTGCACAAGCTTCTTACCAATGACGTTGTCTTCTCAGCACTCAAGGCCAGTGCAGCCATGGGCTACCTAGCGCCTGAATACACCACTACAGGAAGGTTCACAGAGAAAAGTGACGTCTATGCATTCGGGGTGCTTGTTTTCCAAGTCCTATCAGGGAAGCGGAAAGTCACTAGCTCAATGTGTCTTGGTGCGGAGTCAGTCACATTCCAAGACTTTATTGACCAAAACCTCAACGGCAGGTTCTTCGAATACGAAGCATCCAAGCTTGCAAAGACTGCTTTGCTTTGCACCCGTGAGTCTCCAATTGAGAGACCATCCATGGAAGAAGTTGTTCAGGAGTTAAGTGATTGTAATAGTTGTGTCTGATGCGTAAGTGCTCTCTTTTTTTGCCAAAAATCACCTCAAAACTATTCAAATAGGTGATGGGCTAATGGTTAGCCAATGACACTAACTGCTAACTTCGGATGTAATTCTAGGACTTCTTATGTTGTAATTTTCTGTGTCCTTTTCCCGAGGACATGTTTCTAGACTAATGTGTTAGGTGAATATTTGGTATCTCAAGTTGACTTTCCCTAGGTTGAATGACTCAGTGATTTATGTTGACCTTCAATGTTTATACCTCCTTTTACCTTTTTGCTCTCATACATTATCATTTTCTTTGCTCTGTTATATTTCGTGTTCAAATAAATGGGTATTATTTTGAAAGATTCCGCCCCCTAGTCATAGAGAAAGTTGGTAATGAATTTGGAAGAATTTAAGACTAATATTTCTTTATACCTTCTACTTACCCACTTTCACATGCAAGAACCTAATCATACAGAGACATTATTATGTCAACAAATTAATCTAGCTACGAGGGTTGGCATTACTACTCTAGGTCACTAGGATTAGGCATGACCAAGTAGTTCATAATCTAAGCTTTGGATTCTCTTTCCTTAATTTTTGTTTTTGCCAAAGTCAGGAAGGGGAGGGGATTTTCGCACACCGTCAAGGTGCCATGGAGATTTGAATTTGAGACCACCGATCTGTAAGTCAAGGCTTCTTTTCACTGAGCCCCACTGTAGCATCTCCCCCTAGTTAATATTTCTATATTGTAGAAGTGGAAATGTTTAATAGGAATCAGACCCAATCAGAGTTGCCATCGACTCATTGCGATACCATTTTGGGCCAGTAAGTAGGAAGGAGAATCGAAAAGTATTATTGCGCTTTCAGCATAAGAAGCCTCCTCCAAATTTATCAGCTTTAGGCCGAAGGTAGCTGCAGCCCAACTGAAAATCAAAGCTGAGAGAGATAGAGAAATAGTTATCAAAAAGGGCTTATGGAGCAGAGTGTTCCACAGACTTTAAGTTTTTATCCTAGCCAGTGTGCTCTTATCTCAAAATGGCTTGGAATAGAAGCTTGGACTGGATTCGTGATGTTGACCTTCTAACTGGCTTGCGAGCATATGCAGCAGATCCTGACCTTCAACAAGAATGGATGATGGTACTCTCTAGGCTTGATATTTGTACAGCTGCTTAGGAACCAAAAATATATTATGCTTTTGGCTTCTTTTGTATTATTATTATTTAAATATACTGTATATATGCTCATTGTAGGTTAAGAAGATTAACAAAATGAGGGTCGCTGAGTACATTGAAACAATGAGTGGTGTGAAGGTTTGGTCATAAGTTCTTAGGACTTCTATCCGGTTCATCTTTTCTCCTTTGTCTAGAAGGTATGTCTAATAGATTACACTGAAATTTATCACTTTCAACTGCAGGTTAGTTTAGATGCAATGTTTGATGTCCAGACAAAGATGAACAGGATAGAAAGAAAGAAAGAAAGGATTCTGACTATTTCAAGATTTTACCAATGTATATACTTTGTTTGTAGTTAAGCATAAAACCTAAGTTTTCTTAAGGTGAGGGAAAAAAAAATAAAAAAAAAAAAAAAAAAAAAAAAAAAAAAAAAAAAAAACCCGCCTAAGCAGTGAAGTATAAGTCAAATACATACAGTTTAGCCGGGCGGCTATACTAATTTTTTCCGAATATATTTAACTAATCTTACCGCGTGGCTATACTCATTTTTTCGGAATATATATATATATATATATATTTAAACGGTCTCGCCGCGCGGCTATACTAATTTTTAAAAATAGTATAGCCGGACGGCTTTACGATTTAAAAAGTATATAGCGAGGATATATTAAATTTTAAAAATAGTATAGCCGGACGGCGGTACTATTTAAATATTCGAAAATATTTAAAGCTTATAGCCGCACGGCTATACTAATTCGTTGGAATATATTTAAATAGTCTAGCCGCGCGGCTATACCAATATTTCCGAATATATTTCACAGATATAGCCGACCGGCTGGACTATTTAAATATTCTAATATATTCAAACTGTATAGCCGTGCGGCGGTACGATTTAAATATTTGAATATATTTAAACGGTATAGCCGCACGGCGGTACTAATTTTATTAACATATTTAAAAGGTATAGCCGCTCGGCTATACCAATTTTTCCTAATATATTTAATTGGCGGCTGGACGTCTGTTTTATTTAAAACGTATAGCCGCCCGGTTATACTATTTTTCCGAATATATTTAAAAGGTATAACGGAGAGGTTGTACTATTTTTTAAAAATAGTATAGCCGCGCGGCAGTACGATTTAAATATTCGAATATATTAAAAGTATAGCCGCACGGCTATACTACGGATATATATGCGCGTAAAATTTTAATAGGATTCAGACCCGGAAGAGTTGAATTATCGACCCATTTACGATTCCATTTTGGGGCCAATAAGTAGGAAGGAGAATCCAGAATTATTATTGGGGGTTCAGCATTAGAAGCCTCCTAGCCTTTGACAAGCGAAAGGTTTTCCTCTTCACCAAACTTTATCTGCTTTAGGCTGAAGGTAGCTGCAGCCCAACTGAAAAGCAAAACGAGCCTTTGGGCTGAAGGTAGCTGCAGCCCCCCCGAATTGCATAACGAGCCTTTGGGCTGAAGGTAGCTGCAGCCCAACCGAAAGGTTTTCCTCTTCCCCAAACTTTATCTGCTTTAGGCTGAAGGTAGCTGCAGCCCAACCGAAAAGCAAAACGAGAGAAGAAAAAAATAGAGAAAAAGATCTCATGATCCACTACGTTTTTCTCTATCAGGGAATTTACTAATTTGAAAACATAAATTGAATAAGCCAATAATGAAGAAGAAAAAAAGAAAGACGGCCAGAAATAGAGTTAGAAAATCAAAGTCTAAACTCTTATAATAAGAATTCAATGACGAGATATGGGTCCTGTGACCTGTTTTTGTCCTCAGAAACCCAACAGAAATATATGTCAGATCCGATCAAACACAACATCTATTCTATCATAACAAACAACTTTTTCTTTTCAATTTTCTCATAAATGTGATCGGATTCTAAGAAACTATAAGATAATAAGGGGAACGTGCGGGTGAGAAGGTGATGAGAAATGAGGTTCAAAGCAATCATAGATATATAATATTTTAGAGGGGACAGGGTCTGCATGGACCAACTGGTCTTCTCAAACTATGTATGATCTATGCATGTGTTTTCTTGTGCAATAGGAGGCGTATGCTGGTTGAGCAGAGAACTGATCTGCAGATTCTGCACGACCTTTTAAATCTTTTTCATTCATCAAAAATTGCTCTTCAGCCCTGTTCTTCAAACAAACTAAGCCATTCATTATAAATAGACTTAATATAACTGTTACATGTACATCACTTGCTGTATACATTTTCCCAAAAAGGAACTAATAATATCTATCTAATGCTAATGCTTCATTTTTCTTCTGAGAGAAGAAACACAAGGGAAAATTTAAGTCTTCTCTCTTAAAACAAAACCAATTGATATTTGGAGCAAGTAATTCAATTAAAGTTTAAGCTTAGGCTGCGATCCCCTTCCCTTGTGGAAATGATGATCTGACCCTAAACACATGCTCTTCACCTGTGCACTTATCTACCTTGACAACCCAATGGCTCTTCTTTCCACTACCATTGATCCCAACCATTTTGCTGCTTTCATTCTTTGGTGCTGCAATTCTTGTCACCAACAATCCACCTCCTATAGGCAGCAACTGAGTTCTCGATCCACCAGACCGCCATGACCCTTTGCCAAAAGCGTTATGCCCCGCAACAATAGCTCCATTTTGCTTCTTCCCCATCTGCACTGCTCTAAGAATGGCCTCATGATTCTTAAGGTTGCAATCAATGAGCACAAAATCAGCCTCCTTGTAGTAGTTTAGAAGAAGATTTTGGGCCTCCCCAATCACAAATTCAATGTGACATACGTTGATGCCAAGGATTTTCTCAGATAACTGCATCTCTTCGTTCCCACGAAGGATGCAGACCACTCTGCCCCCTGTTTGCTGAGCAGCAGCAACAAGGGCTAGAATGGTGGAGTCAGCAGCGCCAGCAAAAGCCACAACCATTTGCTGTGCATTGTTCCCGGCTGCTAGAGCTGAAATGAACTCAACCACATCTGGCTCATTTGCCTTCTGGCCCTGAATTAAGATCACAATAAAAACCCAAGTTAGAAATTATTGATAATTTGATATGGGAATTAGGAAAAAAGTGCAAAAAAATCCTTTGATGTTTTTGGAAAATAAAAGGAGACTCACCATTTTTAATGTTTTGAGGTAGGCTTTTGTGGCATTCTCAGCAGACCAGCAAGCCATTTGTGTGTTCTATGTGTTTTTAGCTAGCTCTCTCTTCTTCTTCTTTTTAGTTTCTCAAATCTCAATGTGAAGCTTCAACTTTGGCTTTGGATAGAACCTAGAAGCACTCACATATATATAAAGGGCACTCGACCCCGGTTGCTTTTAAATTCATAGACACTGCAATATCCAACTGGCCATGTTAGAAAATGAGATAAAGAAAACTAACAAGTACCAACTAGGATAAATAATTATGGTCCTTTAGTACTAGTTTGTCTGCCCAAATTATTGGCTAAATCATGGTAGTTAAAGAAATCTCGTGCGTGCATTCACTCATTCTATTATCAAATTGTAAATTAGCTATTTTTAAAGGCGATGGTTTATAGCTACAACTAAGCGCGCCTACTTTTACGTACAACAAGAGTTTGGTTCTCGCTTTTATCCATTAACATAAAAAACAAAAAAACAAAAAAAAACCAACAAACCTCTTAATTATAAGGAAAAATAGGAAATTATGAATAAAGGAGTAGATAGGAAGGATCATAGAAATCGGATTCTTAATCTCACCCTTGACACAAATTAAAAGAACTAAAGAGATCATTAGCTTCCGGGAGGCAACTCATTAACATTTAATTAAATATTTTAATACATGATACAATATATAAGATTCTACTTGCACGACGCTAATTATTCGGCTCTTGAAATATTTTCCAAATCTCCATTGATTAGCTGTGATGTCCTATATGCAAAGACAGCATAAGGTGGATTATAAGCGCCCATGTTATCTGAGGCAAAAACCAGCAAACTTATATTTAAATAAAAACTCTATAGATCATCTCATGAGCAATACACACATGCAGTCCTCTTGTGTACGGGCTGTACGTACAAACCTCTTGACCAAAACTTTTCCAATTACTGAAAATATTTTTCCGTTAAAAAGAGGGTTAGTCTTAATATATGTTTATCAATCCTAAACCCTATTTATATATACAACAAATATGTGGGTTAAGTATAAATATATTGCAAGAGGGCCTCATCCTTGCCCCCAGAAAGGCCAACAGAGATCTTAGATCCGATCGAGTGGTTTCCCTAACAAAACACATTCATAACAGAGCAACACAAAACATAAATTTTAATGTCTCATGGTCTATCTCTTGCAGTGTAAGATTCCTCATCCTCTGTCCAATCCTGCTAGAGAGATCAGATGACAGAGATGATGACTGAACGAATGCTTCTGTTCTGTGTGGTCGAATCAAATTGACTTGATTTTTTTATTTTTTGTTGTCTGTATTTTCCAGAGTTTATTTTCCTTTCCATGATTGGCTTTCCAGGAAAATATCTCGTGAAGAAGTTAAAGGAGCATGGAAGAAGCACTGAGACAGTGATGATAAATGGGGAGTGGGTTCTGCATTGTGTAGACAAACAAGTTGTGGGTCTGTAGGGTTCTTGGTTGGATGCTACGCATCCGTGGAATGGGACATGGTATGTGTGGCGTGGTAACTTCAACATTGTACCATGTCTTCTTTGTCTCGCTTTCTAGTCTAAAAAGTTCGAATAAGAAAAATGACAAGAATCTATAATGTTTTGTGCATGCATGTATTCATAAGCGGCTAGAAAATGTGGAGTATGGAGTGGTTTTGTGCCCATATATTGTTTTCCTCTTTGAGAGTCGTTACACTTTCTTCCTTCCACACATCATGAACCACGTTGTAAACCATATATTTATTATCATTGAGACGCATATCGGGTGTCTATAAAGTACCCTTAAGTCTCGTTTGGTAGTTTGACTTGGACTAGATTGGAGTTGAGTTCAAATAAGTCGTTATGAGTTCCACTCATCTAGATTGTTGGTCGTTTTAATAAGTTCAGCCCAGTATACTAAACAACGGCCATAACACTCCTAGCAGTTAGAAGTTTTTTAGTAAAGTAGAAATTGTAGTCCAAAGGTTCCTCTTATATTTCTGAGATTTAAAGGCCACCAAGACTTTGGATAAGAAGCTGGAAGCCCAAATTAAACTTGAAAGGTTGGGCTTAACTCCCAACTGAGCCCAATCTCAAGCTGGATAACATTTAGAATAGGGACTATAATAGTACTATTCACTTTGGACTACAATTGGATAACAGAATACTGTAGTATTCATTTTGGACTACGATGAGATAGGACTTTCTTATCGAAAAGCCCAATCGTGCAAAAGTCGGTCTATCTTCCCGTAGCGTATAAAACGTCGTCGTCGGTCGTGAACTTCTGTTAGCATTTCGTCTACAGTTTCCAAATTCTCAGCAAAAACCTAACCAAAATCTAGTTCCAGATGGGCAATTCTTGCTTTGGCCTTTTTACCTGCATAGACCAAGCAAGCGTAGGCGTCTTGGAGAGGTGGGGTCGGTTCGAGAAGCTGGCCGAACCCGGTTTCCATCTCCTGAACCCGTGCGCTGGTCAATGGGTCGCCGGTGTCCTCTCCACCAGGATTTCCTCTCTCGATGTCCGCATCGAGACCAAAACCAAGGTCTGTTTCAAATTCATAAAGAAAATGCAAGAATTGGAGTAATTATATATATATATATATATATATATATGTATGTATTTTATTGGTGTTTGAATGTTTGTACAATTTGGCAGGATAATGTGTTTGTGCAATTAGTGTGTTCCATTCAATACCGGGTGGTGAGACAGAATGCTGATGATGCTTTTTATGAGTTGCAAAACCCCAAAGAGCAGATTCAAGCTTATGTCTTTGATGGTAAGTCGTAATAACCATTTTGTTTTTTTGTTTTTAATTTTTATTTAGTTACATATGATGAGGAGGGATGGTGTGTTGGCTTGTTTTTTGTGTAGTGGTTAGAGCTCTGGTGCCGAGAATGACATTGGATGACCTCTTTGAACAGAAGGGTGAGGTTGCTAAAGCTGTCTTGGAGGAACTTGAGAAGGTAACCAGATTCTTGGATGTCTTTTGTATTTTTAGGGTTCTTAAATATATTGGTTTCTCAGGCCTGTGCATTGGTTTATCATAACATATGACATTATGAGATGAAGTGATTACTGTATGATTATTACTATCTTATCATCGCAATGGTCAATGAGTTTTTCTTGAATTAGGTTAGGTTATTGTGGTTGCTTCTTACTCGTTTGTTTCAGACAAAATTTTGTTGATCTATTCTTTAGTTCCTTACAAATTTTTTCATTCTATATGGTTTATTAAATCTTATACTGAAATTGCTGATCAGGTTATGAGAGAATATGGATACAGCATAGAGCACATACTGATGGTTGACATTATACCGGATGCCTCTGTGCGCAAGGCAATGAATGAGATTAATGCAGGTAATTTGTTTGTTTGTTTGTTTGTTTTTTTTTGGTAATCTTACACGTGGACGTTGTTTCAATTTGTATCTGCAGTAGGAAGACACATTTGGGGACTCGTTATATTGTAGGACAAAAAGTTTTTATTAGCCCCAATTCTTGTAAACAAGCTTTGGGAATGTGTTATAGATAGGCGAGATAACCTTTTAGAGAAATCAAGGGTTTGAATGACTGTTATAAATTAATCGTCCTCACTTCCCAAAAGAAAAACAAAACTATGACAGCAACAATAGTACTAACTCCTGATTGCACATAATACTGAGAAATCTCTCACTCTACTTGAAGAAGCCTGTTAAGGAACGGCAACTAGCCACTAGGCTCTTGCATTTGCGATAAACGATTAGATTTTATCCTATGTGCTATGGTTTACTCAGTTATGTCTCTTCTGTTTTCCTATTTGTTATTAACTGTTATTTTGTCAATCCAGGAGTTTATATGTTCTTGACAAGTTATTCTTGATGACATCTAGCTCATAATGCTTAGTTTCTGTTGTTATGCTAAGCTATAAATCAACTTTGGGCTTGATTCATTATACTTCTGTATATGTTCAAGTGGCCAAACTATGTTTTATTATCTGATTGAATAAAAAATGTAAAGATATAACGTTGCTTCTCTTAACTTTGGACCATTATAAACCACGACTCAATGTCATCTTAAAAACTCTACCTATTTGTTATATATCTCCACTTATTTCCAAAAGTCAATGAATTGCTGCAGTCTTTATATTTGTTAAGGGCTGGTAATCAAAGGAGTCTAGCCTATATGCTTGTGTTTGTTACTGAAAAATCAAGCATCTGTACTGCAGCTCAAAGGCTCCAGCTTGCTAATGTATACAAAGGAGAGGCAGAGAAGGTGCTTCAGGTGAAAAGGGCAGAAGCTGAAGCTGAGGCCAAGTACCTTGGAGGAGTTGGTGTTGCCAGGCAGAGGCAGGCAATCACTGATGGGTTAAGAGAGAACATCTTGAATTTCTCAGGCAAGGTGGAAGGAACCTCAGCGAAGGAGGTGATGGATCTGATCATGATCACTCAGTACTTTGACACAATTAAAGACCTTGGCAACAACTCAAAGAACACTACTGTTTTTATACCCCATGGTCCTGGTCACGTCAGAGACATTGGTGATCAGATACGCAATGGACAACTGGAGGCAGCTAGTGCTCAAGTAAATGGCGAGTAAATATACCCTGTTGTTTATACGATCCTGATCTCAATACTTTTTTGTTGAATTCAAAATGACACGAACAGGTTAGGGTCTTTATATAGAACATAGTTATGCAATCCCGTTTTAGTGCATTTGTTTTTTTACATGTAGAGCATGGTGTGCTTACACCATGCAGATGATGTATCTATGTAAAGAAATAGTAATGCAGCCCAATATACACAGGTCTGGTCTGAATAAAAGTTTTTACCATTGATCAAGGATATTGTGTTTGAGTTATGAATTGTTTAAATTATGGCCCATTAGAAAGCTTTGCCTCCCAGGGGTCCAATGGATGTTATGGACTTGCCTGGGTCAGGGTTAGGGCACCCAAAGGCCCAAATTGGATATTGGTCGTATAGGCGAATAGAGCAATATCGACGGAAAATGTTGATGGGGTGTGTTGAGGGATTCAATCCAGCCATTCAATAATAGCTCTGCAATTTCTCGAATGTCTTGGTCAATTAATTGGATGAAATTGTGTTGGAAAAACGGGTGGCATTTACCAATAGGACCGTCTATGACTAGTCTAGATTGTAGACCTTACTTAGTTAAAACCTAATAGTTTTGGATTCAAATGTTGTGCTCAATGTGGATGTTTACCCCTCCCTAGCCCACAAACAAAGAAAAAAGCAAACCTAACGGTTATAATCATTCAACCTACTGATTTTAGAAGCCTTGGCTTTAAACGTGGACCAATGTGAAAAACCTGTCTGCCCAAAAATAAAGTACAATAATATGTTTTTGGTGGCCAACTTTAAAGTCGTACAAAAATGTAATCATAAAATTGGAGGAGGAATATTGGAGGAGAGTGTATAAAGGGGGTTTTGGTAATGATCATAAATCATGACTATTTTATGAGATAATTGGAGATTTGATGGCTGCACTAATTTGTTTTCTTCGTTTGGGTGGTATTTACTGAATCACAAGAATTATAATGACTCTTACGGGTGAGGCTGGTCAGATGGATTATTCTAACTTTATGGCTGGATGAATCACAATCCAGTTCTATTTATTGGGAAGGCCAAAAACTAATCAGTCTTAATAAGATACAGAACCGGTGGTTTTAGTATGATTTTATTTTAAACAATATTGGGAAGCCGAATATAAATTTATTTTTTATTTTTATTTTGGTTCGAGTTATTTTTTCTAATTCATGGGAGATGAGAGATTCGAATTTGAGTGAGATTTTTTCCATCATTGAAAAGAGAAATATCATGAGACAAAGCTTATCAATGGGTTATTTTAGGTTTTGCCTTAGATACAATTTTTTGTTGATATTTTGGTTTTCCAAACGACAAGAAAAAGTTTTCATTCTCTATAGGGGCCGCTTTCATGAGTTACCAATTTAGTCACGGATTGGGAGGAAAAAAACTACATCGATAGGCCTTTTGTTAAAAAAGTCATTTGAAAAGGGGCCAAAATGCACCGGAACAAACTAGAATACCATGTGAAAAAAATAGTAATACAATTCAAGGAGACTAGCTAGCAAGACAAGTCTAGGACTGAGTTCTGAAGCACATCCAAGCCGAGTAATGCTAGCATCAATTGTCCAAGCGCTATGTATAAATCACTCAAAGTTAGAGCCTAGCATTTCTCTTATCTTCTGGTACATGTCTTTGCAGGTCATGAATTACATGACCATAAATTTCACCTCAGGTCAATTTTAAGTATTGGATTATATGGGCAGCATAATTTTAGTCAGAGTCTATTCAATTGGTTAGACTTGTGATAAAGTGGATAGCTCAGTCATTATAATCAAAACTCAAGGACCACAACTTTTAGGTGCTTGCTGGCTCAGTGGTTAGAGATACTACAATTTGTGAATCAAAATTGATTAGAGTACTATCATTGTCATAATAACAAATCATATATATGGTTGAAGTTCATGTGGTTGAAATCATAGGGAGACACTGTATTTATATACCAAATAAAGAAAACACCAAGGCTGGTACATATAATCCTTCCCCTACCCCACCATCAATGGCCAATTTAACCTTTTACTTTCACCAAGCCATGTGCAAAACCCACAACATTTTTCAATTATCAACTACAAAAAAGACTACTTGGATTAAGAAATGATCTGTATCTCTGCACAAATCGAAATTCAATGATCAGTATTATATTATGATGACCAAGTTTCTCACTTTCCTGTGTGAGCTTTCTCAATTATTGATGAACAACAACAAAATGTAACACAAACAAAGAAAGAAAACTCTTCTTGTTTCCTGATGAAAGTAAGGTACCAAAAATACAATAAATACAAGGCAAAGAAGGGCCACAATCAATAAATACCTACCAAAATTCATATCAACTCACCTCACGTACACGGATTGGATCATATGGGGTTCAAAAATTCAAAAACAATCAAGAGCGGTATTAAGTGGAAAGATAAAAAGAGAGGGGAGATGAGATATAAAGAAAGCTAATTATGGAGGAGCATTGAAAGTGTGAAGATTCTTGTAGAAAAGAGTGTTGTCCTATACTAATCATTCTATCTACTTTACCTTTAACAAAAACATGAGTGGAGTGAACAATGAATCCCATACTATACAAGTGAAAAAAGTGTTCCCTTTCCCTTCTAGTTGGTGAGCAGTCAGTACTGCCTGGCCTTGCCGACAGGATCCGCTAAATTGAGTAGCAAACCAAAATCAATGGTAAAATTAGCAGAAACTACTCCTCCACTAACTACACTCAACCATAAAGTGAAAACCCTGCTTCATTTACATACCAACTTGGTATTTTCCACATTTTTCTGCTCATTCAAACTACTTTTTGAAAAAACTCAACTAAGTTTACAATTTGAAACTGCATCATCAAGTGTAATACTTCTCCAAAACTTGGAACACTTCTGTTTTTGTATATCTCCCATGTATCATTATTTCCTATAATTCACGAAAAGCATGAGTAATTAAATTTGAATGTATCACCTGCTAGAGCCAAGAACCAGGTTGCCTGTACCCACTTTGCAAAATTCTGCAAACAAATATATTAATGCGTATATGTATGTACATAGTGAATAGAATAGAATGTACATGTTCTCTCACTTTCAAGCTATTACGACAAGGCTAGGCTCTTTCTCACCAGTTCAACCACTAATAAAATACATGTGTATATACACACAGCTCATATCAGTTCCCTGCAGAAAGAAAGATCTTGTATTAGGTTAACAGCTAGAGTAAATCTTTCAGCAGAAACTCAAATATGATTTGTTTTTTAAAGTTGGCAGTTTTCATAAAATATGGGCCCTGGTGGAGCCATTGTTAAAAGGGGATGGGGATTAAGTGTATAAGTAACAAGTGAAATAATAATGTAAAATATAACATCACCACCAGTAGAACCACCAACCTATTTTTTGTAGTCAACATTACTAGCCGAGATTTACATGCAAATTCAGTTCAAGTTCGTTGCAATATCCCTTTCAGCCATCTTATGCACCTCCTCTTGGCGACAACCCTCCTTGCTTCCATTTTGCTCAAGACTTTTTAGCAATCATGGCAGGCCTAACTGATGACTGTGCAAAACTTAAATCTTCAACGTTGAGAAATGAAGTTTGTAAGGGCCCAGTTGGAGATTAAGAATTGGAATGTTTAAAAGTTTAAACTACAAGTTACCGAAGATGATGGGAAATAACTGAGTACAAAATTCAAAACATATCAATAAATGCACACAGAGAGAGAAAAACAAAGATAGAGACACACAGACATACAGCGAGAGAGAGAGAGAGAGACAGAGAGAGAGACAGAGAGAGAGAAATGATGGGAAATAAGGCCCCTTATACCTTACTTTTCGTTGACCATGACAACTAAAGCACTGAGATGGATTCCCACTTCTCATGGTGGGCTCTTCAATTTCAGAAACTGATATACCAGCAGATATGCCTAGTTTAATCCGTGAGAAGTGCGTCTTTGGCTACAAAGATTCGCTTTCATGTTCTTACAAGGTTGACCCATGTGATGACTCAAGCCTGGTTTGCCATCCACACAACCGGTTCAAGCAACCCCATTCTGCAGCAGAAAGGAAGTGTCAAAGATCTCAAACAAATGCCACTTTTGTGTCCTTTAGGAATATCTTTCTCAAGCAAACACAAGTTCTATACTAAACCAGGCATGTATGGTGGCACTCATCTCAAACATTAAGTTTTGCTACATAGTTCCATAGTTCTGGTATATAAGTATAATTCGGAAAACAACCTGAGCGCATACGATAGTTATACATTTCAGGGTTAAGGGAAAAACACAAACAGACTACCTTAAGCAGTTAAAAGATTGAAAACACTAGATTTAAGCTGAAGTCAGACTGAATATTTTTCTAAAAATGTTAGGATTGTCAAATCAAAACAACTAGAAGATGCACGTTGCCACTTTCTTAACAGTCACGCACAAAAGATTAAATCATGGCAAGACACTGAGGCCACAGCAGTGCTAATTTGGACAGGTTGTACAGCAACATACTTAATCTTGCTCATCAGAACCAATTCTATGTTATTAAGCACAGGTTTGCTATCTTATACGGGTGCTTGTCTATATGTGAAACTTATCTGATTCTGAGATCTTAGGACACCAGAAATGGAACTTCCTACGTATCAAATTGTCTTTATAATATAGTTTTCAGCATGGTACTTCACTTGTCTTCAAACACATTTAGCATAGAAGCCAAAATTGGCATCTCTTTGTGAAAACTTAACTCTACCTCATCAGGAAGGCCAATTAAGTCAGAATTTGACTGCATGTTCAGCACATACACAAGCCTTCCTTTTTCCTAAAAGCAGAGAAAACTAACAATTGTACATGAAAGTTTAATGATGGGCACTTCAACCAATGTTAGACTTTGGGTACACTCATTGTTAAGTTGAACTTGTGTGACAAAAAATAACTAAAACAAACATTGAAAGTCGAAAAATTGAGGAACAGAAAGGACTGGATGTAATGAGCCATCTAAAGGCCAAAATTGGTTTGGCATTCATTTCTCACAGATTCATAACATTATTTATTATGGTAACTCTAATCCACATTATTACTGCAACATCTAGGCATCACTTCAACAATGGTGCTCCCATCCCATGTCAATTTTCTACTATACTTTCATATACATCTTTCATTTCCCCCATCTTCTGAGTCAGACAAACTAGCATGTGTATATGTCCATTTCACTGTCCAATTTGTTTTGATGTAATTATGTTGGGCATCCTGCAACATTGTTTTAACACTAAAACCACTATAGACATCATTAATGCATAAACTGTCAAGAAGAGAAAAAAGTAAATTTGCACCCTAGTCCATATACAGCCAAATATTTTTTTTCCGAAAACTCATCTAATTCTCTAAATATTAGATTAGGAGCTAAACTAGGAGCAATAAAATAGAAGGTGTTAAATAGGAGGACTAATTCAAATTTACAATCGAGCTTCTTACCAAAAGAAAATTACAATCAAGCCAACAAGGGAAACATCTCATACACAAGGAGAACAACAACCAACAATTAATATTAACAATGGAAAAAGCTTTCCATTTTCTTTTTTATGATTATAATGAAGAAAGTTTTGGATTTTGAAGGACACCATATTAAACAAAGAGTGATATATATATCTCAAATCACTCTTAAAAGACGTTACAACATATATTCTTCAAAGATGTTACAACATATATTCAATCATTTTCCTGGACCACTTTTATGATTATAAAGATGAAAGGGCTTCTTCTTTACAAAGTACAAACCCAAGAAACCCACAATCATATTATGGCAAGAGATTGACTATTTCAGTAGAATCATGAAGATATGCCAGTTCCAGTAATACAATGTTCAAAATTCCTCCACATTATCCTTCCCACCCAGCAATATCGCTGAAATTTTTTTAACTAGACATGAAGTATAAAAAGAAGAAAAAAGAAAGACGAAAGAATTCAATAAATCCTACAATTACAGAATCCTAGAGGAGTCAAAAAGAAAAACATTACACTGTGGGTGCATCCGAAAAGACCTCAGTCAGCATGTCATCCTCAACGTCTGCAGTTGCAAACAGCTCTGCTTCTTTTTCTTCCTCATTAGAGAGATCCCTTCTTTCAAGTTTGGCATGAGCTGCAATGAATATCATCTTCTGTACCCTTTCCAGGCCTACCCTTGAGTGCCTATGTACACACATCCATTTCATGAAAGACCAATTGCACTTAAATCCACATGAGGTTGCATGGAGGAAGATAAGTCTCACTGCAACTCTCCCCAGTGTCTTTAACTCACTTAGACAAGTTTCCCACACAAGTCTACTGCTCTGCGGGTTTGCCATTTTCATCTTTCCAGTTACAGGATCTCGCTGTTTAACCTGAACAGCCTGAGCATAAAGCGGGTCCATTCCTTCTGTTCTCCATTTCATGAGCTCCATTAATGCAACATGAGCTTCTTCCCTGGAAACCAACCTGGTAATGAGCTTATCTACATCCTTCTCCTGCTCATGCGTCAAGAACTTGAATGGTGGAAGGTACTTTCCACTAGTGTCCCTCATCAAGTATTGTGGGTCAAGTATAAATGCAGCTGACCATGCTGGGTGGTAGTTCTTTCTGAATCGTTTTTCAACTACTTTCTCAATTGGTCCTTCAGCAATGCTGAACTTGGCACTCCAATCCTTTACTTTTGTTCTCAACTCTTCCCAAAGGGGTAGGCATCGCCCAATTAATGGCCTCTCAGCCTCAATCTCCTGAGCCATCCCTCTGATTAGCTTAACTAGTGAATAAACAGCCTCTAATTCATTCCAAAATCCTTCACTTTGAATCATCCCTCCAACTTCCTTGGCAATTGGATCTTCCACACATATAACCTTATAGCAATCATCCAAGACGACCATTTGGAGTATGCGGGCACAGCTCAATATATCCTCCAGCATTGCATAAACAGGTGCAAAGTTCTTTGAAGTATCACATTTGGGTGAAGGAACTTGGAGCAACCCAGCATACTCAAGTTCCTGCATCTTGTACTTCTCAAAAGCATGCCTAACCTCAGAGGTGCTATTTACAAAATTCGCTACCTTTAAACAGTTTTCAGTGACAACCCTGAAGAGTGGAAGCTCTTTGTTAAAATCCTTAATCAAAGTAATGAACCCCTGAAGCTGACAGGACACGTTCACCATCCAATGATTCTGAATCTCCAAGTTCCTCAATGCCTTGGCCTTATACTTGTCTGCAACTATCCCCGCGCAACGCTGCACAGCATTCCCACATATACCAGTAACTGAGTCCCACAATACCTCCTCTGCATATTTTGACGAAACTGACCCACCAGTAAACACTGCCTTTTGGAAAACACTAATCCCATTGGGAAGATTAACCATGAACTTAACCATGTTTTCTTCCCCACAAGGATTCTTGCTTTTCCACCCATCAGAAGCAACTTGAAAAAACATTGCATCTCTGATCCTAGCTTCTGACTCAGCTTTGACCTCATCAAACTTTGCATCAAGCCTAGCACCCGAGAGCTCACGCTGTAACAGTGCAGGCAAGCCCACCTGGTTAAGGAAAGCCCTGAACTTGGGATGCTCGAGGCTCGAAAACGAAACCGACCCACATGACTCGTAAAACCACTCAGACAGTAATTCAAGTGCAGAATCAATCTGCTCCTTACTAAGCGTGGCACCAGGAGACGTTTTGGGGCTCTTAAGTTTCTTCACACTATTTTCTAGCATTGCCAAAGCACCCAAATCATGTTTCCCACCCGATAACCCCACATGCTGCTGATTTGGCCCCGTACTAGTAGCAATCCCAACTGGGTTTGGAGATTGTGAGTAATTGTGTTCACCGCAATAGCGGGAAGACTCGATCATAGCTAAAGAATGAACCTGTATCGAAGTAGAACTGGTATGATGAGGAGCATGAGAAATAGGACAAGGAACAGTACCCATTTGAGAGCTTCGCTTTCTGTGATTGTGCGAAGACGGAGAAGGCAAGGAAGATATCGGAACCGGCGAAACCGATGAATTGGGTCTCAAAACAGAGGCGAAATTCGGACAAGTACCCCGTTTGAGATGCTCAGAGGCGGTTCTGGACGGGTTTGAAGCGGAGAAAACGGCGTCGCAGAGCGAGCACTTTAGCTTGACAGCCTTGGGGAGGTTGGTGTTGGGGTTGCGAATGAGAATGGGTTCCAAATGAGCCCAGTACCAAGCTCCTTTGCCCTTTATGGCCTTTGTTCGAACAGTGACCAGACTGTCGTAGCGCTTGTTGAGGGCCCTGGCGGCTATGTCGTCTTGGGAGAGAGATGGGTCTGTTGGGGTTGAGTTTGTGGAGGCCATTGACTCAAAAGAGTGGAAATTGGAGAGTGAGAGTGAGTGAGTGAGAGAGAGTGAAATGATGGGTTTTCAGTGAAAGAAGCAAGCGGGTGAAACTGAAGCAGTGTGGGGTTGGTGAGGTTGGCCTATCATGGTGGTGGGTTTGGGGCATTTAGCGGGAAAGTGAGGGCGAAGGTGAAATGGGTTTTGGGTTTGGATTGAAACAGAGTTCCATGGCGATCTTGGTGAGTGAAAAAATATGAGAGCTTGAAGTTTGAAATGGGTTCTGAAGGGTGTGATGCGAGGTTTGTGAAATTCTCTGCAACTCACCTGCACAACTGCTCAACTGCACGTTCAACACAGAACACACACAACAGAAATGAGGGAGTAACGGAGACATACATATAGTGCAGACTCTGCATACTCCAGAGAGAGAGAGAGAGAGAGAGGAATTTTATATCAACATAATCAAAATATGAGTTTTTTTCTATTTTAATTTCTTCTTTCCTTTTTTTCTTTTTTTTTTTTTTTTTTTTTTTTTTTTTTTTTTCCAATCCATCCCTCTTCTCTATGATCATTTTTGTTAAAGTCTGTCAAATGTCAACAGTGTTCAGTATTTTCACCTCTTACTTTTTTTTGCCTAATTTTTCACCTTCTATTCAACTTTCTCACATCTGTTAATCGGAGTGGTCTATTTTTAGGTCATCGTTTAAAGATTATCTTGATAAAAAATAAATCAAATTGAAAGTCGTTTAGTTATTTAAATGTTAATTACCACGTTATTAATCAAATGATTATGTAATTTGTAATTTGAATTTTTTTTTGCATGAATAATCCTTGAACGATCTCGAAACTAAAATGTTCTAATCATCGTACCTTCTATAATGGAGAGAAGAAAGTATAATGCTTAAGAGGAATGTAGTTATAGCATTCATCTTCTTGGTGTTTGACACACATGGAAAAAAACGTTTTTGCGGAATTACAAAAATTAGTATCACTGCAAATCTTTATCACATACATTTAATGCATTTTGATTTGTGTTTTTTTTAAAGTGAAATGGAGAATCTCTTGACTTTTTAATGTGATTCTTTTTTTTTAACTTCTAAAATATCGTTGTTAATTGAAACTAACAAGTTTAGTGGCACGACACTTATCTTCACATTTCTAATTCAACAATCTATCCTTTTCGACGACAAATATTATCCAATAAATATGAGATTGAAATGGTTCAAATAAAGTATTTATCCTTGGTGTTGAATCGTATTTCTCTTATATTCATCAGCATAAAACAAAATAATCAAACGCAAGTCCTACATAATTAGGATGTTGTTTGCCTAATTGTGTCACAAATACAAAGTAGTGTTTGTATTTTTTATTTTACATGTCAGATTGTAGATAAGTTTAAATTTCCCTCTCTTTTTTTTTCTACCTTCAAATAATAAATTTGTTGCTCTAAAAAGCACGATTTTTTAAGTATAATCAAACTAGGTAGTTTATGATTGCTCCAGTTCATTTTGAAGTATGAGTTCATTTCCATTTGTACGAAGATTCATGTACTAAATAGTATATATAGTATCTTTATAGACCAGATGCATAATATATATCTTGTATACAAATCGATAGGTGCAAATGCAGATTAGGTTAATTGACCAAGACAGTTTGCTCGTTTCCTTGCTCCGAGTTCGAATCTCCTTCCCGCAGTTTATAATAGTTTTGAATTTTTGTCAAATAGTACATAAATAAATTCGTTGTTTAATGTGTTTTTTTTCTTCATTTTGTCATATTTTTTGTCTTCTACCTTTCATAAAATGTCATACTATAATTTTTTTTATACAGTGGACTACACGTCGTACATGATTTCAATAAGCCCTTGTCTTTAAGGTAAGTTGAAAATCATATCGTATCAATAATAAACATAATCTCACAGTATTCTGTATGTTTATGTTTATATATCCACATTAACCATTTAAATAATGCGATTGAAATTTACCGCTCGATTAGCTAAAAGAATCATCAGCTTTTGCTTTTGTTTTAAACTCAAATACATTAAAAGTTAGATCTCCTATGAATCTTAAGACCATACAAATTAAAATAAACTCTATCGAGGGAAATGATTAAACCAAACACATGAGTTGTTATAACTGTGTCTTTTTTTTTATATGCCAACTAGTCTGCAACCATATTAGCCTCTCTGTAGATATGAGTAATAGTGATTGGGTTAAATTTGTATAAATACTTTAAAATCATCCTCAATTTTCACCTTCAACATCTTCAAACGATTGACCCATATCGAAACTTGTTTGATCATCATCTTTTGTTATGGTAATATATAACAAAATTATTAGTTATCCGAACTTATGAAATTTGTAAAACTAATATATAAGGATCGATGCCGGAACCAAAATCCTTGTGTTTTTATTTTTATTTTGTAATTAAGCTAGTTTAAATAGCATCAAAATCATACTCCAACCAAGTTAACTATTTGATGATCATGCTTAGGAGTTGGGTGGAGTGGTTACAAGTGTGACCCATAAGGTTTCGCTATTTTAGGTTTAATTTACATGTGATGTTTTCCAACAAAAGGAGAATGAATTGCAGAACAAGTAATTTATGTCCCAAAGATATTAAAAAAAGAAGAAGAGAAGTTCATGAAAAAAAAAAAGAGAGAGAAAAGATACAAGTATGACTGCAGATAGCAGGTATGTGGTGGATGTGTGGAAAAGTCAACAAAGTAGCCCTAATGGCATTTTCACCTAAAGCATATGGTGCTGTCCAACCTAAAGCTTTACACAATTTTAAGATCTAGGGTCTATTTCAAATTTCCAAAATAAAAAGGTTTTGGAAAATATCGAATTTGAAGCTTGGATTGGATCCATCATCCACCCATGGACCATTAAATCATTAAAAATATGAAATTTCCATTTTCAGCCACAGAATCTGAAACATTGAACCAAACCATATAAAAACCAAACAATCATCTCAATCCGGATAATTATTTTATGACTTTGGTCTGGCTTGGCTTGGGCTAGCAGGCTGCTTTTCTTTTCCGAGTGTTGTATTGCATTGCATTGCATGAATATTTTGGGCCAAAAAATAAATTGAAAAGATGCATATTATTATATCTATTGAGACGTATCATCCTTATAATAATTTTCCCACTGGCATTATTTTTGACTCATTATTTTGCACACGTGTTTCATATGTCATTAGTGGAACCCAACCGTATGGAATAATAATAAACTTTTTCATAGAATTTTAATAAGTGGAATACCTTTTACTCTACGTTATCGGCCTCGTTTATTTTCATTTTAACACAAAAAACTAAAGTGGATTATTATGTCTTCAAAATTCTGTTGGATCATTTGATAAACAATTGTTTTATTTATGGGCCACTTACAATAAAGTCCATGAATGGCTCAGAAGGAGCCCACTCAGAAAGCCTGCATATTTTCATCACTTTGGACGAACTGGCCCATTTTTCAACTCATTACACTGCTTCCTTTCAGGGGCCACTTGCAAAATTTTGCACCTCACGATTTTTATTTCATTTTTTGGGGTGTAAAAATCTCCCTAACCGACAACAAAAAGAAGCAAAAGACAAAAGTTTTTAGTATTTTGTTATTTGGGGGTCAAAATTAACAACTCTAAATAACTTCTCCAATCTATCTAATATTGATTTAGAAATCAGATTGGTTTTCAATGTTTCCAAAAATAATAATAATTCCCTTGCACCCGGGCTTTTAGTTTCGATTCCCTTCTCTTTCAATATCGCTTGACTTATCTAACCTGATCGGCGTCAGCGTTCAAATAAACATTTCGCGCGTCTAGTCTCCTTATGACACGTGTTTGAGTCAAAGGGGCATCAAACGGCCTGGGAAACATTAATAACGAGGCGCTACATGCGCTTACATAACACGGTTGCATATAATGGCCGTGTTACCGTGAGTGACCTAAACTCGAGGGGAGGATTAGGGTTTTAAGAGCCGAAGCGAGAACCCTTGTCCAGGGTTTTAGACAAAGTTCCGAACATCGCTGTGCTGTGTGAGCCAACCATACAGTAACAATGGGATTTTGGGGTCAGTCTTCTTTAATTTTGTTTCATTATTGAATTCTCATCATGTTTTTAATGTTAGCATGTTAATGTTCTATGAGTTTCTTAATATTTATTGAAATCGTAAGAAAATAAAATGGAAATTCTTCGATTTCTCAGAAACTGAAAATTTTGATAATATGGGTAACTCTAGTCCCTGTTTGGCTTGTGAGAAATCGTAGGCAAAAAATTGAAAGGTAGAATTTGGGGTTGGGATAGAATGGGGGATGCGTGATACTAAGTTCTACTTGCATAAACTCTGTTCCTTTAGCTATCGAATGCAGCATCACATATGTATAATTTTTGGGTTGAATTTGAACTATAGGAATTGAAGTAAAACCGGGCGAACCATATGGTTATCAATCCGATGAATTTAAAGGAAGGCTTCACATTACTCAGGTACTTTGATTTTTTATTTATTTTTAAATTGTAAATTTTCCAAACTTTTGGTTGTTGCGAGCACTCTAATAATTTTTGGAAATCATCGTGAATTGGGTGTGGTATAATGGTCAATTTGCTTGTTAACTCTGTGTTGATATATCAGGCGACTTTAGGCCTTGGTGAATCGAAGGAGAGGAGCATAGTTCAGTGCTCCATGGGATATAAGAGTCCCATCTTTTTGTGTTCCTTGTTACCAAATAAGAACGAATCATGTCCGTTGGATCTTGAATTCGAGGGTGTTGATGGTTTGATAGACTTCTCGGTGATTGGCAAGCGGAGTGTCCATCTCTCTGGTTACTTTGTGGATGATGACAGAGATGCCAGAGATGACTATGAATCGTATGTACTTACTTTTCTACTGATAAATTTTTCTATGTAGGGTTTTCCTCATTTTTAACGGTTATTTTATCTCTCTTACAACATTTTCAGGGATTCTTTTGGGGAGGATATTGCTGAAACTGAGTCGGAGTCATCAGAATACGACAGTGACGATGCTTATGATGATGGATTTATTGACGATGAAGATCTGGACATTTACCCGCCTTCACCTGTTCCCAATAGTGGAGGTACATTGGCCTATTGGATTCCATTTTCTATTTCACTAGCATAGGATTCTAAGGTTCATTTTCTCCTTTTGTTTTCCTCACAGCTACGTCTGTCAGTTGGAAGTGTAGGCTCTTTTAAATATGTTTTGAATGACTTGGCATAGCTTTTTTTTATGACTTTCACCACTGGTTTGCATATTGAATCTGATATGAGAAATCATAAAATAATAAAAAATTATTTGTCAAAAGTTTGATTATTCTCAATATGTTAAACTTAAGCTAGATCTTTCACTAGCATTTTTGTGTTTGATATTATTACCACACTATGTTATCCTTCAAAATCTGGTCTTTTTGTTTAAAAAGTAGTATTGCGCTGCTGGGATAGTGTGTATCTGTGCTTTATTCATGGTTGTCACTTATTCAGTGCACCAGACTGTTGGATCTGATGTCAGGTCAGTATGATGATGTAAGATAATGCTTGACTTGGGGTTTTATTTTGCTTAAATTTTAGTTGTAATTGAGGAGATAGAGGATGATGAGAAACCTACGAATGGAAACAGCCAGTCCAAACGACTACTAAAAAAGAATAAATCAAGTTGCTTGGAGGACAAAAACTTTCAACATCAAATTGTTTCCAAGAGAAATGCTGGCGTCCCTGTTCTGGAGAGTGAAGATGAAGATGGCTTTCCAATATCCACCAAGCAGAAAAGCAACTTCCATATTGAGAAGCCTGAAGCAGCAACAGAACAGGAAGAAAACAAAATATCTGAGAAAAGCAAGAAAAAGAAAGTGAAAGATGGTGATGATACTGCTGGGTTAAAAAGGAAAGTTGAAGATGTTGACCAAGATGGTCAGCCAGAAAGGTTGGTAATTCAATTTATCCATTTCACGTGTTAGATGTTTGTTGGGGGTAAGCATGGAAGTCGACAATTAACAATGATTCAAGAACTTTGTTTTTGTTTTCTTTTTCCTGAGGTGCTCACCAAATTCTCAGTTTTTTAAAAGTATTTCCTTAAATGATGTCAGGCGAAAGAAAAATAAGAAGAAGAAGAAGCTGAGAGAGCAAGCTAAAGAGGGAAATGCAGGTGAAGTCAATGCTTGCACTGACAATGAAAAGCAACCTGAGATCTACAAGAGCCAAGACATTAACCAGGCGTTGCCAGTTAAGAAGTGAGTTTTGCTACATCATCTTTTTTGGTTTCAAAGTTGCATTTATATTTTAATTTCATTGAGCCAGGAATTGAAATTACCCATCCCCTCTAATATATTGATTCTTTAGATTTGAATGTCAACTTGTTTAAGGAATGAGGCTTAGAACAATCAGACATTGGCTTTATGCTTCTTTTTCTATCCATAACTTGGGCTTTAATTAATTTTTATTTTTTCTTCTTTTTAATAATATCTTGTATGTCCACCTCACTATATCCTTTACTAAGAAGTCCAGTCAATTTCTACCAGAGAGATTGAATGCTTGGATAATACCCTTACTAATGGCTTAGACTTGCTATCCACTATTATTTCTCTTGTGCATGCGCACATTTGCTTTCTTGTTCCTACATTGATCAATAAGTATATTGCCTGTTTGCATGGACAGGAGCTCTGACATCAACATGGATTCTTTTCCTGGTGAAAATCACACAGAGGAGAAAAAGAAAAAGAAAAAGAAGAAGAAAACCCAGGAGAGTGGAACAAAAGTGGATCAAACTGTTGCTAACACGGAAGATCCAAATGAACCTACTTGGGAGAAAACCAATGGCAAGCCATCTAAAGTGAGAACCTTTGGAAATGGATTTGTTATCGAGGACCTATCTATGGGCCAACCAGATGGCAAAAGAGCTTCTCCAGGACAAAAGGTAAGTTTTAGCCCTTAGGCATGTTTACATGTACCTTTTAATGGATTTATGACACAAATATTTTATTGGTTTACAGGTCAGTGTTCGCTACATCGGCAAGCTAAAGAATGGAAAAATATTTGAGTCAAACGTGGGAGGACCACCCATCCAATTCCGTTTAGGTACCCTTAATTCCATTTGATAGATATAAAGAAAGAACTCGACTTCAGTATGTGTGTTACCTTATTGTCTTTTGGTTGTGCAGGTATAGGTCAAGTTATATCGGGCTGGGATGTTGGGGTTAATGGTAATTCTCTAAGATGTCAAAATCTTTACTTAAATCTGATTTTTGGTTTTAACTAAGCAGTTAATTGTTGCATCTTTTGATGCATATCTACCTCCTTCCAGGTATGCGTGTTGGGGACAAAAGAAGACTCACTATTCCACCAGAAATGGGGTATGTCATGATCATAATTTTGTCTGTTGAGCTTGTTGTCCACGTTTCCATTTCTGCCAAACTTATTTACATGTTTCTTTTTTATGCAGTTATGGACATAAACGTAATGGAAAAATACCACCAAACTCATGGCTTGTGTTTGATGTTGAGTTGGTTGCTGTTAATTGATTCAGCTGTGGAGATGTTTGTTCCCCTTCCAATTTTGAATATCTTGTTGTCCTGCTGGGAAAACCAGTCTTGAAAACTACAATATACTCTGTTTCTTCTGTCTTAGAGAGTTGCATCTCTCTAGGCCTCGGTTTCCAACTTAGCCGTTATAGCATATTTAAGTATTGTCGATTTTGGAATTGTTTATAAGAGCAGTTGATGCGGCTAAGAACATTTCATGATTTCCATGTTTATACTTTGCCCTTCTAGTTTTCTTCCATGGTTTTAATCATAAATTATTATTATTGGAAATGTTTTTAAAATATTTCTAAGGATGTCCAATTCAGCATTTTGACTTAAGCGGGCAAGGAAAGATTTCCAAATCAGAAGTATTTGCTGGCAAGTTTTTAATTTTTTTTTCTCCCTTCATATTTTGACTATAATAAAATTAATACGTCTTTGGTGACTATTCCTATTTTTATTTAAACGAAGGGGAGTCAATTCAATTGATACTGGCAAACTTCACTAGAATATGTTAGAAATATTTTACTTTTATTTTTTGGTCAATAGAAATATTTACAGTTGGACTTACAAAAATATTTATGGTAACAAAATTCCCTTTTGAACTTAAAACGAAAATTAAAAAGAAACTATAAGAAGGAATCAGAAGAAATAAATTATCCAATTATCTTTTTGTTGGCCCAATAAAAATTAAAAACAATGCTCTGCTTCAGTGCCATAAGAGATGCGCGAAAACGACTTTTGTATGGTCTTTTGGGATGAACGAGAGAGAGAGAGAGAGAGTTAAGAAAGAGGATTGGATTGGATTGGATCGGATTGGACTGGACTGATGCTTCGGAAGAAAATAATCAAAGTGTATTCTTTAACAACATTTCAAGATTTTGTCTTAACCCATAAAGACTCGAGCAATATAGAGAAGACTCAACATTGCATTGCATCACCAAGAAAGCTGAAATAGAAACAAACCTAGATTCACACATTCATTAATAGTTGCTGATTTCCTCACCAAGATCCTATAGTAACTAGCAGTAAGGACAACGGCTATTTAAAATTACATGCTTGGTTGGTAATACCAAAAACCAGAAAGGCTTATTTAACAAGTAGGGTTTTAAGACTCCAGCACTCCTATCAGTATGGTTCCACTGGTACTCTGAATTTCGATCCGGCATAGACTGCTGCAGATCCAAGCTCCTCTTCTATCCTAAGAAGCTGCAAAACACCCAACAAGAAAAGCAGAAAATAGTTAGAGAGAACTTAGAAGCAAGTTAACAAGAAGATGGGCGCACAAAGTTTTACCTGGTTGTATTTAGCAAGCCGCTCTGATCTGCAAGGAGCTCCAGTCTTAATTTGGCCCTGTTTGATCAAACAAGGATGCATAGGCCAAATCAGTTTAAGTAACAGCCTAGTCCAAAGCTTGGACGACAATATCCCAATACAATTCTAACACTAAATTATAAAGTACAAGGTTAGACTTATATAGCATCCAGGTAAGACCCTAGCACTTACCGTCGACAGCCCAACAGAAAGGTCAGCAATGAAAGTATCCTCAGTTTCACCACTGTAAAAGTAAACAGATAAACCAAATTAGCAAAATATTATGTGTACCAAGAGATAAATGAAAATAACGAAAAATGGGATACCTTCGGTGACTTGCCATGACACCCCAGCCAGCACGTTTTGACATCTTCACGGCTTCAATACTTTCAGTTACTGAACCAATTTGATTCACCTACACAAACAAAAAATAAAGAGATGAGTGTCATCACTGGTCAATAGTCATCCACAGAAATCCATAAACTATTAATAACCTGGACAAAAGACGAAAGTAGCAGCATTACCCACCTATAAATCATGAAAGATTGGATCCAAAATCAAGGAAAGAAAGGGGCCGAAATTACTACCTTCAAAAGAAGAGCATTGCAGGTCTTCTCCTTGATTGCTTTCTCCACTCGCTGCAGCAAGCACAATGAACAAAGAAATTTCAAGACCACCTTTTCTATGATTCATCACACATAATGTGATACATTTAGCAGTATAATAATAAAATCTACTTGCCTTTGGATTTGTGACAAGGAGATCATCGCCAACAATTTGCACTTGCTCACCAATTTCAGCAGTCATCTTTGCATAGTGTTCCCAATCATCCTGATCAAAGGGATCTTCAATCGACACAATTGGATATTCAGTAACAAATGACTTGTAAACATTCTTCAGACTGTCTCCTGATATTTTTTGTGATCCATCATTTTTCTGCAGCATAAAACTAAGTAGTTCAACCAGCTAACCCAACATAAGAGATAATAAATCCATATAATTAGTATATAGAAAAGATAATTATCCATGTGTAGCCAAATATGTTGTAATTTAGTTACCTCTTCCTTGAAATTCAAGTCATAAGTCTTATCCTTGTTATCATAGAATTCTGAAGCAGCAACATCCATCCCAATGACAACCTTTCCAGTATATCCAGCTTTAGCTATGGCTGTCTTCAGCAGCTCAAGACCCTCTTTGTTTTCCTGTAAAGGGAAACATCAAAAGAATGAATTATTCCACTGTCCAGCCAAAATTCAATAAGGAAAAAAACAATTGTCATTTTCTACATAAGCAGAAGTTAATCTGTTATACAAAGACATGTACTCTGGAAACGTAGTAAATTAAATTACCACCATTCAAAGAATTAAGCCAGTAAAGAACACAAAAACAAAAAGCCACTCTAAGTTGTCTTGTTTTGTTAATATTTTTACATACCTGAATATTAGGTGCAAAGCCGCCTTCATCCCCAACATTTGTGGCATCTTGTCCATACTTCTTCTTAATTACAGCCTGGAAGAATAACCAAGTGGAAACTTGATGAGGCCTGCAAAGGAGGTCATTCTATTATGCAAAAGCTGCAAAATAAAATAGTAATACCTTCAGGTGATGATATACTTCTACACCCATCTTCATGGCTTCCTTGAAAGAAGATGCTCCAACAGGGAGAATCATGAATTCCTGTCACAGAAGAAATAATAAGAATAAAAATTGCAAGGGGCACTAATTTCTCATAACATAAGAGAAAATACTAACAGATTATTCAAGAACAAAAAGAGAAACACGAAATCAACATTAACCTGCATTGCTAGTTTATTGCCTGCATGAGAACCTCCATTAATGACATTAAATGCAGGTACAGGTAGCACCAAGGTCTTGTTTCCAGCAAGATTGGCAATGTGCTGCAATGTAAAAAGAAAAAGCACTATTAAGAGTGAACCTGAGACATGCCTTCAACTAAATGAAATGGCAGGGTACTACTCTCCCTGGAAACAAACCTTGTAAAGAGGGATCTTGTTCACAATGGCACCCGCTTTGCAGACAGCAAGAGACACTGCCAGTATAGCATTTGCTCCAAGCTAAAATAATAAAAGTGAGAAGAAACCAGAATTAGCATGCAACAAATTGGACCGAAGTGTGGCAATAAGAGAGGAAGAAGAAGCAAGAAGAAAAAAACATTAATATACCTTCTGTTTGCACCAACCCCATTCGTTAACAGTTCCATCAAGCTGTTGTACCATATAATTGTCAATTTTGGTCTGCTCTGTTGGGTCCTGTGATGCACACAACAAGCAAGAAGAAAATTAATAACCAATTGCCTTTCATTGGAATAGGAATAGAATACAATCTAAAAATCTCTATGGTACCTTTCCAATCAAAGCAGGTCCAATGATCGAATTCACATTCTCCACAGCCTAAACACAAGATTAAATTGCAATGATCAACTTTGCTCCATTTAAACGAAAAACGAAATCAAAATGATATAGAGTAACATTATACAGACATCGCAGAGTCAAAATCTAATACTGAACAATAACCACATACTTTAAGGACACCTTTCCCAAGATAATCCGATCCACCATCTCTCAACTCCAGGGCTTCATAGATACCTTTTCAATCATATAATATAACAATAAAATATTAGCGAGAAAGAACTACAACTAGAACCATGATCATAGGCACTCAAAAAATTTCAAATTAAACCTACTTTACAGCATAAATAGAAAAATGTAAAGAAACGAACTGCAAACACCTCACTAATGAAGTGCGAAAACACAGACATAAAGGAATATATAAAGATATATAGTTCCTAAAACCTAACTCTCCAACATAACCAGCAAACTCAGGAACAATCAGAACATAAGACTAAAACAAATGAAGAGGAAGGGCAACACTCTATGGTTTTCACCTGTGGAAGCTCCACTTGGAACGGCTGCTCTTGCGTAGGTTCCATCGAAGAGTGTAACATCAACCTTAAATATACACACATTCAGTCATCATCAGTCTTACATTTGAATCCAAGGGAAAAAAGAAAAAGAAAAAAACATGTTTGGTTGCTCAGAAATCCAGCCTCTTACTAAAATTTATTTTTCTCTTTTTCTTTTCACATTCTTCCAATACAAACAAGAGACCAAACACAGACAAAAAACAAAAAAAAAAAAAAAAAAAAAAAAAAAAAAAAAAAGAGAGGAAAAAGAAGAAAAAAGAAAAAAGAAAACTTAAAATGAGATGGAAAATAAGCAAATCGGATGGCGGAGAATGAGAGAAACTCACTTCGACGGTGGGATTTCCACGGCTGTCAAAGATTTGCCGGGCTTTAACAAGCTTGATCGTCGTGGCCATTGTAACTTCAACTTCAACTGCAACTGCAACTGCAACTCTCTGTCTTTTTCACTCTTTGTATTTATCGAAGGCTTTCTAGAGAAAGTGATGAGATGTGGTGAATATAGAGGTGGGATCACGTGGGCGTGAAGTGCGGTCAATGAAATCGCTGCCGTTGATTGTTCAAAAAGTGCAAGCGATGTGGACGGTAGGTGATTTCTTTCTTGCGAATCACGGACTGCCTACTTAGTCTCTGTGGGCCCGGAGTGGCATATGAAAAGGAATATGCGGTTGCCCACTGCCCCTTGCCCAAGAAATTACACTCAATGTCATGATAAAAAAGAAGGGTAAATTTGGAATTTTAGGGTGGCTTTTTGTCAAAAGGTTTGTTTTGGGCGCACCCAGATTTCACAAACCGGGGCCAGTTAAATGGGTTTTCCAAATTTTGGTTCCTCAAAGTTCCACATTAATCATTCTAAATAATAATAAAAAATCCACATTAACACATGAATAACAGAGGTGACCGTAAATTGGACTGTAAAATCACTACATATATGGCTCTCATGCACCAATTTTTTGAGTTAGTGACAAAATGAAGTCATTATTCTTAAACTGCAATAGTTATTAAACTCCAACACTCCAATCGTGAGAATTAAAACTACATGGACTAAAATCGAACTTTGACCGCATTATAGACCAAAATCTTAATTTAATTTTAGTTTTTGGTTAAGTGGAAGCCCTAGGCCCAAACACGTTAAGAAGTTGAGGGCAAGGTACTAGCCCAAATGCTCAGTGTGGGTTAAGATACCACTAAGCTCTGTGTGTCTTAATTTTTTCAATGGTTAAGCCCACCTAGTTTTAGCCCAAAGCTAAGCCCCTATAAGCCGAAGGTCCTGAAAACGCTTCTTTGTGTAGTTCACAGCTCGACCTAAACCCTAAACCAAAGCAATTGGAAATAGGGTTTTATCAAGGGTTCAGAGGCCACAGCGGAAAGGTAAGCATTTTTCATGGCCAGTCTCCTAAGTTTCAATGTTGAAGCAAACTGATTTAAGCTCTATACAACCGTAGTCTTTTAATTTAGGCGTAAGATGTAATTCTTCGTTCTTCCTTTTTCCCTTTGCTGCTTGGCTGCCGAGAAAATTGATGTATAAGAGGATGGAAAGATATCGCATTTTCGTAATTTTTTTAAAATTTCTGAAATCCCAACTGTAGTTTTTTGTGTATGAATCTGTTCATAGGCTGTGGTGTGTTAATCTGATATTTCAACTTTGATTGATTTGAGCTGGAAATAAAAGAAATATATTGGAATTTGTAATGATTCTGTGTTTATTAAGATTAAGATATGTGATGTTGTTAGGTAGGTTATAAATTTTAGTCGTGCAGCATATATTTATTTCTATTTTGTTTCCTGAATGCATTAATCTGTTTTTGGTACAAATCTTTTCAAATGTATGAACTGATATGAAGTGATTTATCCTGTTCATTAGTCTAAACAACTTGCATCTTTTCCTAATAGATTTACTAAATGGGTGCATCCAATAAAGAGTCCAGACGGTTTAATGAGGATTCCATGGAAGAGGATGATTTGGAAGATGTGTCTGAGCCAGAATCCGAACCAGAATCAGAATCTGAAGATGAGGAAGATGTGAAATTGACTGAACCATCAAAGAAAGCCATATTCAACAGAGATGGTCTCCTTGATAAACTTGGAGATATTAGCTGGCCGGAGAATGCTGGATGGGTGCACAAACTTTCTGTTGATATTGATCAAGAGCAACAGGTGGACGTGAATGATGACCTAACTCGGGAGCTCGCATTTTATACCCAGGCTCTAGAGGGAACAAGAAAGGCATTCGAGAAGCTTCAGTCAATGGGGCTTCCTTTTCTCAGGCCTGAGGACTACTATGCGGAAATGGTGAAGACAGATTCCCACATGGAGAGAGTGAAAAGCCGGCTTTTGGTAGAGAAGAAGAAGATTGAGGAAGCCGATGAGAGAAGGAAAGCTAGAGAGGCCAAGAAATTATCTAAAGAGATTCAGGCTCAGAAGTTGAAAGAGAGAGCTAAGCAGAAGAAGGAGGACATAGAGTCTGTGAAGAAGTGGAGGAAGCAGAGGCAGCAGAGTGGGTTTGCTGGGGGTGACAAAGGCAGTGAGTTGGATTTGGCATTCGAAGATGGGAAACCATTTGAGAAGTCAAGTAATAAGAGGCCAGGTGTAGCTCCAGGAGATCGGTCGGGAGGGAAGGCAAGACAAGGTGTGAAGGTGGGAAAGAAACCGAAGAAGAGGGATATCAAGGATTCCAAGTTTGGATATGGAGGGAGGAAAGGTTCCAAGAAGCAAAATATGGCTGAAACCACCAATGATTTGAGAGGCTTCAATAAAGATTCTCTCTCAGGAAATAAGAAAAGGAAGAGGTGATACCATCTTAGGATTTTGTTTTTGTACTAGTCTTTATTTCTGGTTAGGGCTTGCCTGTTTAGCCTATTAATTTTTGCTGGTGACTTTAATACATGTGAACTTTTAAGTGTGTTAATCCTTGCACCAACACTACTGACCTTGAAAGTGGTGGTTGTGCTTCTTGGTGGATGATCATAGTTTGAAGTAATATTTTTATTCATGCAAAGTTTTAGTTGGTCCTGATGAAGCCAAACACTACAACCAATTTGTAGCTTTCTTCATATGAAAAATTATGATTTACAAACAAATATCTTATATATGTCTACATCCATTCTATTTCATGAACTGTAGCTTCCAACTACAAAGAATTTTGTGGTGTTCATATGCGTCTGGTTTCACCTTGCTTTTGATGAATAAATGTGCAATCAGATCCATTCAAATGCATTTCAATATCCATCTGCTTCGCCTATAAACTGTCCCGGAAAGCCGATAACATTACGTTTTTAAAGCTACACTTGTTAATCAGTTCTGTGCTATACCAATGCAAAGGCCCTTCAACATAGATGCCAGATTTATTTATTTTTTGATAAAAAAGCGATTTAATTTTATTAGATAGAAAAAGAGTATAAAGGATATCATTAGCAGGTCTTTGGTACCCATAACCAGCGCCATATATATATATATATATATATATATATATATATATTCCTGGTAACAAAGACATTGAAATTTTGATTGAAGACAGATTGGACTTTTCTTTGGTACAAAATAAAAAAGTCTGGGATTTGCTCAACACATAGTCAAAAATAAAATTTGTGGTCCTATGATGTCAACTTTTGATGCCAAGAAACGAAGAAAGTTCCATGTGAGGTTCTTGGCAGGTACGTTTGGACTTTTTTGATTAAACAAAAGAGAGAAGACCCATTAAACAGTGAGTCATTTGGGAAGTTTCATCTCAACTACAGTTGATTTATATCTCAATCATTAAACAAAATCATATAATTTATGTCATTTTCTATGTAGCTTTCACACCACACCACCTCACCATCTACTCGTTAACATGATCTCCTTCAAAAAGCTTCTCGCCTACACTTCTTTCAGTCCATTGTACCAGTAGTTATAAATAGCTTCTTCGCGTTCTTCTTCCAACACCCTACCCCTTCTCCTCCTTGCTTTTGTTCATCAAAATATATCCTATCCGGTCCAATCCAATCCAGTCTGCTCAACCATGTTGGCTTCTGCAGTGGACTTGCTCACTCAGGCTGCTTCCAATTCTCTGCTTGTTTTCTGCTTCTGCAATTTGATTATAGTCATGATCGTCATGGGGTCGAAACCGGGCTCTTACTTTGATCAAGAAAGTGAAATTCCAGTCTCAATGGTCACTAGCGGCTACAAGTACAACAGAAACAACTCAAATTGTAAACAAGTTGATGATGCTAAATGTAAGCAGGAGGAGGGTACTACGGTGAATCCATCAGATACTGTTTTCAGCCAAGTTTCATCAAATGCCGATAAAGAACTTGCCACTGCCAGTGATGAAAAGGACAGCATCATCAGCCATCACAATGACAGCAAGAAGTGCGACAATGATGATGAGCTGAGAAGAAGAGCGGAAGAGTTTATTGAAAAAATGAACAAAGGATGGAGGGCAGAGTTGTCGAGACCTTCACATTTAATCTAAAGGGCCTTGCATAATAAATTTGTATCAGCTTGGTTTTCGGTCATCATCAAGCTTAAAATTTTGTACATTAATTGTAACTCCGATGTGGTTTACTGAGGAAAATTTAATTTTAATAATTAGAAATAGAAATGTTCTTAGAATTGTCGGTCCCGGAAATGAAGCCTGCAACTGCAAATCTTCTGTGAAATTCTTGATCCTGTCCTGTATGTTTTGGAGGGTAATTTTGTTCAAACTTATAGATTAACAAAACGTAAGCAAAAGCCTCATATCATATGCCTTGATTCTGGTCTCACATGGATAAAGAGGGAAAGTGTTTGAAAAGTTACAAAAGGGCATGTTCATTTGGTAATGTAAGCTGCATTAACTTTTCTCATCTTCTTTTGTATTTTGGTCCATCGTTCAACTTTTTATCACTTTCCCTGCTTGAGAGAATAAATTTTTTTTTAAATATATATATATAAAATGGCTTTAATAATAAAGAATCTCATATCAGTTGCAGGAGACAGTGATTGGTTTTCAATTATAAGCTATGCCACCATTTTCAGGAAAGCATAAACTATGAATTTGGAGGGCCAGGTCAACGTTTTGCCTAACTTATACGTGTTGTGTTGGTCTGATGTCAATTTCGAAATAAGTTGGTGAGTCAAGATCTTTTAATATAAATAAACCCATTTTCAAATAATTTTCTCCAATTTAAGCTATACTAAGTCTCCTTCACATAATTACCTGACTAATAGTTTTCTAATATCTTGCAAGCAAACCAGTTTTAGTCAAATTTAATGAGATGATCAGGTGCATGTTCTGTTCTGTTTTGCAAAAGAAAAAAAGAGACAAGAAACAAAGTACCATGAAAACGGGCTTGGTTAGTGGGTGATGTTTTTGTGATGACGCAGACGGAAGGAGAGGCTGAGAAGGAACCATGTGAGATTCTTGTTTGGTACAATGGCCTTTTAATTAAAAAAATGAAAAAGAGGCCCCATCATCCCCATAATTTTAGTTGGGAAGAAGCTTTCCATTCCAATGCATGATAAATAAAAACTTTTTATTTTTATTTTTATGCCGTTTATCATTAGCTTTCACAATACAGAACATCTTCTTCTCCTTAAAGCTTCCCATCCACTCTTTCCTTCATCCATTCAAGCTTTCAAGCGGGCTAACCTCTTTTCTCTCTCTCTCTCTCTCTCTCACACACACACACACACATTTTGTTAACAAAGTTTACCCTTCCAATGTACACAACTATGCTTGATTCTACACTAGATTTAATCACTCAGGCTGCTTCCAACTCTCTATTCATCTTCTGTTTCTGCAACTTGATCATAGTCATTATCCTCGTGGGCTCGAAACCCATCTCCAACAACGATGAAAGAAGCACAATTAACCTCACAATGCCCACCAGCAAGCATGTGGATGATGAACAAGGCACGAGGGCTAAACAAGTGTGCAAGAGGAACAATGCCTTGATGGAAGTCAGTCAAGTGTCAAATGCCCAGACTGCAATATCTGATAACAGTAAAGTCAGCAGTGCCAATAGTGACAATGGTGAACCTGAGGGTGATGATGAGCTGAGGACAAGAGCAGAAGAATTTATAGAAAAGGTCAATAAAGCATGGAAAGCAGAATTACTAAGAAATTCACGTTAATTCTAGGCAGGCATGGTCTAAAGCCAGCAATTTTTTGTTGCAGTGATGAGGGTTTGCTGTAGCTATGTTGATAACATCTTTAAAAGGAATGTGCTTAAATTGCCTTCTATTATTCCTTTTAACTTTATGACCTTTTTTCTCTCTGTTTTTGGAGTTGTGGACTTAAATGTTCTGTCATATGGATATATGGATAAAGAGAATCCATTTGGGAGAATGAAAGATAGATCTGCAATTTTGTGAACTTTTTAAACACTCATAAGTTCATAACCAAGAGAGCATTAACTCAAATCCCGACTTTCAGATGCTAAGAAGTTTATGGGACAAATCACTAATCATGTTTCATACATCTAAAAATGCTACACCATAGAACACTAGAAATACATGAATACAACAGCCACACGATAAGCCCCGTGCTCGAGAGACTGACCTAAAACCTAATAAGAACGAGTACAATCCTGGGTTAAAACCAACATGAGGTACGTTAAGCCTAGTTTGTCCTTCACAAAAGAGCCAATGAGTTTGCATATTGGTGTCAGACAAGGTTGAGTGAGCCTAGATGTCACTGATTCTGGAGAAAATAATTAAGATACAACCATCACACAGGGAGCAAACGTGATCAATAAGAAACTTCACAGTTTGGTTGACCAGGGCCTTTAGATTCCTCTTCCGACAACGATTTACTCTCAGGAGCTGAGTTCTTAAAGTTGTTCATGGGGTTTACAGAAGTTGAATTGTTTCCATGGAAGGAAGGAGAATTCAGAATGGGCTTTACTCCCCCACAGACCTTCATTTCTTCACCAGACACGGCATTGACAACAATAGGGACAATTGACGATGATACAGGCTCGAGTCTCTGTTTCTTGGGCTTCTGTTCCTGCTGGTGACCTGGTAGAAAACTCCCCACCACAACCTGATGTAGTTAAAACAGTTCAAAGGAAAACATTAACTGCACAACTCTTGATATATACAGGTGGAACATGCAAAAAATAAGTATTCACTGTTATAAAGTAAGCTACAATACATTACAACAATTAATTTCTAATATAATAACAAAATATTGGATTATTTGATAAAGAAATAGTAAAATTAACATTTTAAACGTGTAAGAAATTAATCAATTATATAATGACTGACTATTAATCTTCTTTTACTTCATCTTTTGTTCTCTCTTCCTAGGAAATGATGTTACCTGCACAGGGCCAGCAGCTATCAACATACCAGCAAGCCCTCCCCCAACCACTCTACCATCTGGACCTGCCAAAGCGACACTCATGCCACCAGATCTGCTCTTTGTTCCTGCGTTCTCAATTGCAATATATGATCCAGACAAGGAAAGTATCTCAAAACGGCCCTGTAAAATTTAAAAGAAAAAAAACCACCGTCAAATTTTCTCCCGATCAACAACGTCAGGAAACTGGGTATGATAACAGTTTAACTACATCACGTCAGCCAAGTTACAAACTTGAAACTTTTTGGGTCAGCATAAAGATAAGAACTTATACAAGTCATATACTAAAACAGTTATAGAGTTGACCAATCTTCCACATTAATGTTGTCTTCTACAGGAACATATGGAGTCAATAATTGCTGTATTTTCTTTTGATTTAATGTGTTGTTCACTAGCTATAGTAGCAGAACAAATATTAAAAATACTGAAAGGTTATACTCTTAAACATAGAGCATTTAAAAATAAATAACATATGATATACACAACACCAAGTATGTAAATAGCTTGCAACTACGAAGTTACATTGTATGGTAATAACACACAATTTGAAAGGAGGACGAAAGGCCATACCTCATATGTTAAAGTACCCCCTGAAGAACTGGGCTGCCGAAGTGTAACATTTGAAATGGTACCATTTGCAGAAAGTATGCAAATAGCTCGAGACCCTTGTTGAGAGAATGACATGATCTTCATCGTAACATCCTACGACAACCAGAAGAAATATCAGAAATCAGGTCAAGAACAACATAGATCAAAGCACTAAGTCTTGGACATGCAAACTCATGCTTAACAAATCTTGAGATGAAAACTTCCATCATCGATTAGGAATGGTTGGCACGAGATTGCTGTAGTGGCGTGAAAATTTGTTTCACATAATTTTTGAATGCATACCTCGCCAGCATGGACAGTGAGGACATGAGGTGTAAAGTTTGCACCAACAGAGTATGCAATTTTCTCGCCTACAAAAGAATTAATAACCTTCAGCGAATCGAAAATAAAACAAACAAATAAATTCTCATCTAATGTATATAATACCCATAACCATGAAAATGACAATGCATGGAGATATTAGATGATTATTGATTAGAATAGATGGAAAAATGAACAAAGCCTGGAAATTGTTGCCTAGTTCACCACCAGAAAGAGGCAACCCTAGCTAATTTGATGAACTTGAGAAGGAAATAAATAAAAAGCGAATGAATAACTACTAATGATTTAAAATTTGTAGAAACGAACCCCATTAATTTTATAATAAAGGTCATAGTTTATGCCTTAGGGCCGCTCAAAAACCATTCCGTGACTAGACTGCCCATAATCCTCCGGAGACAGTAGCGCTTGAACCAAATATGAGGTTTCTTTCTACAGTGGTTAAGGTCAAAACTTGCCCAGAAAATATTAATTATAACCCGAACCGTATAAACCCAGTGTTTGTGTGCATAATTCTCGTGCCCAGATGGACTTTAAACTCTTGCAAGCCAACCCATAGCATTTTCTTCCACCACATTTTCTGCTTGTGCTGCCTTTATTTTTCTCTTTCTTCCTTATCTTGTGAAGCTTAGCCAGGTCTTTCCACAGAACCCCACCAGAGCCAGCAGGTTTTTAAGAGATAATCACGTAATTAGACAAAGTCCAATCCAGGCACGTCACCCCATTAGTGGACTCTACCTATTGAACAAGCTGGCACCTTCAATCATTCTCATCCTGTTTCCTCGTAAGCTTTAGCTATCTTCCCTCACAAAAAGGCAAAGGACTAGTATAATATAATTGTAGGCAGCCAGCAGAAAAACTCCACATCTTCACCACATATACCATTTGCTTCCAGATCTGACAGGGAATCTGATACAAAAAGGGTCCACTCCCACACCAAATCCAACAAACATTCCCTCAAAATCGTACTCTAAAAACGCAAATCCAATTTCAAAATTCAATCTTTTCACCGCCGGCACAAGCCTTAAACGATTTTGTACCAAAATTTACTCACATCAATAAACACAAGCCCTTCAAAGCTACCATAACAGATCATGATCATCCCAAATGTAACAGTAAAAACGGTAACCAACAATAACTGAAAGTCAAAATTTTCAAAGCTTATAAATTTTAAAAGGGTCTTAGATCCTAGAACACTACATATGAGAGTCGTTTTATTACCTGAGCTCTCAAAAACGTCATACTTGTGAGACTTCTTGACTGAGTCAACGGGCCGCCCTCTGCCCCTTTTCCAGGCCGAGAACTCTCCTGTGAGCGGAATCGAAGACGAAATCGGCATCGGCGACAATGCCGACGAGACGGTCTTGTCAGGTCCGTACTTCCTAGGCCTGCCCCTCTTCTTCTTCACTTCCGTACCGGTCAAGGCCAAGCTCATCGGCGAGGACGTTGGAGCTGCTGCCATTGCGGGACCCCCAGATGGGCTGGGGTTTTCATTTCTCGGGGCAATTCTGTAGGTATCTGGAGCTTCTTCACCGCTCACTGCTACCCCAGAAACCAAGTTGTCTTTCTCCTCCATATTTGTATGTAACTTTCAGACAACAAAACCCTAGTAAGCTTAAACCCTACAAACTCTTACAAATTTAGAACCTACCCATTAAAGCCCTCAACTTTAGGAAGCAAGAATACCTAGAAAATGTGATCTCTAAGGACAAAAAAAGTTGATTGAAATACAACACAAGAACCCAGAAGATTTTCTGTGAAACTGAGCCAGAAAAGTCTAACTTTTGAAGGAAAATTTGGAACTCTATAAACCAAAACTCGTCTTTAAATGCTGAAAGCTAGAGAACCCAGCGCTGCAACTCCTCCAGCTCTGAGGTTTGTCTCCACCATTGTAGAGAAAGCACAGAGCTTCAATGGCAAGAAACTGAATTTCAGTAAAAAAAAATTGTAAATAACTTCCCAGAATTACAAGGAACTAGAAGCACAAATTCTTCTTGTGATTTCAGAAATACTTCGAAGAAATGTAAATTTAGGGTTTTGCAGGAAAAGGAGGAGAAATAAATAAACTATTAAAATTGGAAAATTATAATTAAAAAATAAATTGTATATTTAAATATTAATGAATTTGATTAAAATTTAATATTCTAATTGCAAATTCAAAGTATAAATTTTAGTTAAGAAATTGGTTCGCGTCCGTCTCGGAAATTTAATAAAGGCGATTTAATAAATGGACAATGATACTGAATTTGAATATTTAAAAAAACAATCAAGTTTAGTTTGAGAAAAGAAAAGGGCTTTTCTATTTTATATTACCTTTTATTTATTTAAAGTTGTATAAAGAAATATATATCAAAGCTGTAAAGCTAACGTTAGAGCCATGCCAATTTTCCAACTACTGACAACTCCTTTGTCTTTTCAGAAAATTAAAGTTGACTAGAACATTTTAATTTGAACTAAACGCCCTTTTAGTTTCAGGTATCTACTGTTAATGCCACTGTAAAATAACGTGCCCTTCAAAAAATTAAATATGAAAAGGAAGGCTTATGAATTTGCTAGTGATAGATTACCAGAAAAATAATCCACCACTACAAGAAAGGAGATTGTTTACCCAGAAAAGGAAAAACAAAACAAACACGAAACTTGTGCTTGCTGCTTGTATTGTTTAGCATTTTATGATTGGAAAGAGATCACGCTTCTAGCCAGAGAAATCTGTCTGAAGAAAGCTAACGGATCCAATATTTGGTTGATATGTAAATAATGCAGATGATCTCAGAGAAAGCTCATGAAATCTAAAGAGCATAGGCAAAGCAACAAGTAAACCTTGTTCACAGCAAACCACATCATGCATCTTCAACCAATCAATCAATTTCCATAGATAATGGAACAAAGGAGCACAGAAAACTTAATGATGATCACATTGATTAATCAAGAGGGAACAGGTTCAGACACCTTAGTCCACGTTCACTGGTCGTAGACTATGTACACCAGATCGGGGAAGCCAATTACAATTGACTTAAAAATCAGAAAACCAAAACACAAAAGGAAAAAAGAAATGCTAAAACAACACTTAATTCAAGTTCACCAGAAATTAACTAATCTATCAAACTTGTATCATGGACTTGATATGTGCTTTTGGGAGCACAAAACCAGCTCTTCTTTCCTCAAAAGAGTATTCAATCTCTTCAGTGATTTCTTCGACTACATTGGCAGCAAAAGGAATTGGTGGATGAGCCGGGGTCATAGCTGTCTGCATTGGTACTGACACCGTTGATGGCGTCGTTGGCACAAAAATTGGCATCACCTTGGGAGTCTTATTCTCTTCATCTGCAAGATTGGTAGACTTCAAAGGAGTAGTCATTGCACCATTTTCAGTTGGAATAGAAATGGGTGAGAAGGGTTTCCGCATTGTGGGTGTCTCTACTTCAGAAGCATTTGTGGCACCAAAAGAGTGCTTTTTAACAGGAAGACCAGCAACATCCAAGCCTCTCCTGCCTGCATAAAAAGAGAAAAAGATAAAGATATATAATTTTATTGTTTAAAAAAGTTTTGTATTGTGTCTGGATGGCAATGTTCACTAGACAGCAACAGAGATGGTGTTCCAGTGTCATGCCTCATTTTTTGTTTAAAATGAAATCACTGTGTTTAAGTTTTGGGTACAGCAACAGATGCTTCTGGAACACCGACCAACGAAGAATAAAACAAACATGTTTCTAGGTACTACTAGCAGAGTCCTCCCCTGCAAGGAAATAGAGGGTGAATAACCTTCGAAACTACTAGAATACTATGTTCAATATTCTCATTTGTCAACCAAACACAAATGAGAACAATTGAAGTAAGAGATTTACCTGAGGACAAAGCTGAAAAGCCATCATCCAGATAATTACTTAATTGCTCATTCTGGTGGATTCGGTCAGCCTTCCTTGGGGTTGGACGTGAATGAGGAGTAGCTTTGATCGAGTGAAGTGGATCAGGTTTCGGAGCTTGCATAGAAAGTCTTCTATTGCTTGCACCTCCAGTTGACATTCTGGGAGCTTTCTTTACACTCTGAGGTTTGGAAGGACTTGGTTTTGACCCATAAAGTGCCTCTTGTTCAGCTATGAGCTGACCCTGAATTTTTTTCTGGTCCTGAAATGGAGATTTAATTGTTAAAAAGATTATCTTACTTGATCTTATTCAATAAGAAAGAACCACGATATGGATGCATGGTCAAATGAAGTCCATCAATGAGTAAAATGAAGATGTTCAAGTGAAACTACAGAACCATACCCGCTGCCTTCGGCGTTCTTGCTCCTTCTCCTCGCGTAAAATAGTATACTCTTCAAGCATGGAAAGAAGACGGATCTGAACAGAAGTAGATAACAAGAAAAATTGTGAATTTGCATATATGAAAACAAACAAAATAAACTTAAGCTGGATTACCTCCTAGAGAATTCAGAAATACAAGGAAAGTAACTTACACCATCGTATGTGAAATCAATGCCTCTCTCCTTCTCCCATGCTATGGTTTTTGAAGCCAATGCATCCACCATTGCTGTATAAACACATATGGGAAGCAAACCATAAGGAGGAGGGGGGGGATGAAGAAGAAGAACTTGTGAACAAAAACAGCAGAAAAAATAACTGAGACCAGCAGACATAAAAAAAAAAACTTCTACTACTGGAGAAACTCAAGCACTTAAAAAGGATCAGTTAAATTCCAACTAGCCAATCTAACTGAGACCAGCATGAATATAAATCAAAATTATATTCTTGAATTTTAAGGGGTTCTTAACAGTCAGCATTATTAACCAAGAGTGCCATTCTACAAAATGTGGTCTGTACCTGGAAGTTTATTAACCAGAGCACGTGCTTTCTCAGCACGTTTAAGAGTAAGATGAGCTCCTCTTCCAGCATTGTATCGGTTTTCGTCCTAAATGACCACAGAATAGGACAAGTAAGCAAAGGAATATGAATGTGATGGAATAATCAACATGTAAAATTATGGAAACAACTAACCCTGTTATACTCCTCGAGCCAGCACTCCTCATCACATGCAAACAACCATTTGTCAACTTTTTCAAGTATTTCTTTCCGGCTAAAAGCTTCCTCCTTAACCTTTGCAACCTGAAGCTCAATTTGATCAAGGACACAAGCAGGGTCCACATCTCCTGCAAACGTAAGAATGAGGCAGACATTCAAAGACAAATACGTAGGTACTTTCTGTTACACTGTGATATGCTATTAAGAATTTAAAATGCACCTGAATCTATAGCTTCAATGACGTAATCAATTGCGCTATCTGCTTCTAGGACCATATGTGTCTTTCTACAGATTTCCTCTAGCTCAGACCTCTTCTTAAGAACAAGCTCTTTCATTTTACTTGATTTCAACTCTTCCAACCGAGATACTTCTGCCTCAACCTGCACAATACATTTAGTCTACGTGAGTCCTTGAGAAACATGCTGATCCAAATTTTGAAAAATACAGAATTATTGTCAAAGACTCACGTAATTGATGAAGTCCACAGAGAGTGTATTCGGTTCAGTTATCTCATGTTCTGAAGCAGCAATATTACAGGTTATATTCTGAAACATCTGTTGCTCCTCAATTGGTGTATCCATCAAGTTCCATAGCTCTAACATGGTAGATGCAAGATCTTGAAGCTGTCAAAGATTAGAAGTTCACTAAGATCATTAAGTTAAATGCATAAAACTTTGACTAGAAACTAAAAATTGACTGACAACATTCTTTACCCTCTGCATTCTCTGTAGTTTAACCTCCCGTAATTTTTGTATTGCAGCAGCCAGCCGCTCAATTGTATCATTACTTATATTCTTGCATCCTTCTGAATCATCTAAACTGGGATGAACCTCACTACTTGACTGCTTGAAATCCATACCCAGAACTAAGCAAAGTGAGTTCAATGTACACAGGTGGTCCTGTATCTGCTTCAGCCGATCACTCTGCAAAAGAAGAAAGAACAGATAAATGAGGAAGGGCATCTAAGAATACAACATTAGATTATGATGACATGCAGACAGAGGAAAAAAAAAAACACTCAACCTTCTCAGTTTGGAGTGCATGCAGCTGTCTGTGCAATTCTTCAAGCCTTCTTAATGACAAATCAGTTTCATCAACAACCGTCTTAGAAGAACTATACTCTGTGCTCCCATTAATCTCACTTGAAATAATTTGTATCTCCTCTAGAACTTCCAGAAATTTATTTTTTCTGTCCAATTTTCTTTTCTTCATCTCCTCCAGCTGTGGAACTATTTTGCTGAGCTCTTCCTTCAAGCTTCCAGCATTTTGATCAGACTGGAATGACAAAGAAAATCGTAAATAATGCTGAGATTTGAATTAGATGTCTGCTAAACAATCACACGTTTTTTATTTAAACATTGAAATTGTGCATATATCTCAGTTCAATTTAGTGTAGCAACATTTAGTTATTCATCTTTTCAAAGATCACCATTCAGTTCAAAGTTTTAACATCAAATTCTAATTCCATTGCACATTGTTTATTGCCATTTGGAAAGAAATCGATGCCACAATGGCTCCTGACCTGTCTAATATGTACTGGTCGCTCCCCCATTGCAGAACAGATTGCTGCTAGTTCTGCTTCAGAATCAGCAATTGCTTGCCTTAGCTGTGCCCTACACCGATTTGCCTGATCTACCTTTCTTCTGTATACTTCTAGACACTCCTGCTCAAGCTCAAGCAACATCGTATCCCTGTCTTTGTCAGACTCCCCAACTTCGTTCCAAATTATCTACATTGTTAGAAACAAGAAAGAAAATGAGTTTAGTAATTTTGTGTACTTCAACTTATCATATACAGGAAGCTAGACAAATTTCCTTTTATACTCACAGATTCGTGAGATACCTGAAGTTCATATAAAAGTGATCCACATGTTGTTTCCATTTGCAGAAGCTGCTCACTTTGGAGATTAGACATATTGAAGAAGTTATACCTGCCACAAACAATTTCCACATTTAAACCCTAATTATATGCATTGCGTAAATCGACCATCAAATACTAAAAGTTATCTTCCTGTTCTGTGATTTATCAAATAAAAATACAAAATTTTATGTTCAAACATTGATACTCTCAGCTCTTTCTCATTCCCAATATGGTTTACCATCTAAGCCAATTAAATTCAACTCAAATACTCAGACATTTCAGGAAAATGAAATATGGAAAGCTCTAAATGGCAACTAAACCCTAGATTCCTCAAAGCCCAACCACAAATTTTAGAATTTCAGGTTTCTCACCAAAACTTTGGAGAAATTCCATATCCGGTCGGAATCACCCCAAAGTCTGACTTCGAAGGAAAATTATATTTTCAAAAAATATTTCCCATGCAATTTAGCTCAAAGAAATTGAATTGAAAACATCATTCAGATCACAAGCCGGAAATCAACTAGAAGCATTCCGTTAGGCAGTAAACTGATGAAAAAATTTCAACAATAAAATATTTTATCATTCAGAATATCGATACCCTCCCCAAGGAAAATGTTTTTTTTTTGTTGGTCCAAAAAGGAAACAGAAAATTCAAAAACTATAAACTTGGATGTTTCTGTTACTTCCGTGCTTCTTTCTTGAGAACCAGACGGGGGAATTGGGAAAAAAAAAGGGAAGAAAATAATGAAAATGGGACGAAGAAGATCCAGAGCAAACCTGAGAGAGCGAATTAACGAACGTTAATGATTTGCTGTACGGATTTTCTTGCTACAGCAGACGCTGGTGATTTTGAGATTTTCCTGAGAAAGAGAAAACGTGGGCTTCGCTTTTCTTTTCTTGGAAAGCTTAGGAAAAAAGTAGGAATTGGGGTTTGAATTTTGATGGAGAAATATGGATGGATCCTGGAGATGTATTGTGTAACTGAAATGTGAAATCTTTAGAGAGAGAGAGAAGTAGTAGCCGTTTGAAGGAAAAAAGAGGACCGTTGAAGAGGGAGAGCGCTTGTAAAGGATTTGTTTTTTAATGATCTCCAGGAAGCAGCAGGTACGCACCAACGGCATTTGAATTTCAAATCCTCACAAGATGAGTTGGATTTGCTGCAGTGGATTTATGGTTGCTCTCATCTATGCATCCAATAGTATTTCGCCATGTCAGGAGAAAAGTCAACTTCTGTGCCCACTTGTTTTCTAATTTGCAACGATTGCATGGAAATGAAATTTAATTTCTCACCAAAAAAGAAAAAGAAAAGTATAGTATTATTTGAGATCTAACAAGTTCTGAACTTCTGATATTTCCAAAATATTCTAAACTCTCCGTCTTATTACAAATTTGGAATTCTTTTTAATTGCGAAATTTTAATGTTTATTGAATCAATGGAATTGATCAATATGCCAATAAATGTATAATTAAATATTTGTATTACATATTTATTTTAATTCCTCCATGAAAAAAATATTATAGCTACATAATTAGCGCGCACAATTTTTTTTTCCCATGATGAAAACCATATTTTGACAAATGTGAGTTAAACTAGTTGGCCGGGATGGTGACCACGAAATTGTTGGTGGAGAAGACAGAGCATAAATCTACATGATTCAAAGCTTAAACGCATAAAGAAACACATATAGAGAGCTTATCAAAACCCTGCTCAGGTTGAGACTTAAAAGTTGCCAAAACCATCTTATGTTCCACACAACAGTTGTATTTTACAACACAAATAAGGAATTTCTAGAGTACATAACCATTTTGATAACTATACTAAAATTCTCTTAAAGTACATACTTAGCCGCTAATCCTCCCATTTGTTACAATAGATAACATCTACAAGCTATTTAAAAGAATAAAAAAAATGTTATATGTAAGCTTGGCCCCAATCCGGACATAAGATAAATATCACTGACCAGTTACCTTTCCACTTTGAGAACACAAGGCGCATTGTATATCTCATGTGGAAGAGTTGTTGCTGCCCTCATATTCTCTCCTTATGATTTCGAGCACAAATTCGTTCCATGTATCAACCGGACCTGGCATGCACCAGTGTAAGCAATCCTGCGGTGGAGGCCTTCCATCAGGGCTACGTTGTGTTTTCTTATTTGGGTCCGGGCTTCTGTAAGGGCCCGGATGCCCATCATGGCGGTACTCAAAAGGTTTAGTGATATCCATCAATTTCAACTTCGATTTGTTTGTCACTCCTTTCTCAATTGCGCGGTTAAAACCCATAATCTGTTTTTGGTGCATTATATTTGTGAAGCCATTTTCCACTACTTCACCAATTGCAAGAGGCCTTACCTTCCCCGTGCATGATCCGCCTGTATTCCAAGCCCCACCCTCATAATGGTCAGGTGAATAGGAACGAACAATGGCAATCCCTGTATAGTTTGGATGTGTTGCAACAGCCCTGAGAATTGTCTCAACGGATATTCCAAATGCATCAATATTGTTGATCTTCATAGGCCTGGATTTGTCTGGCCACCACAACTGCCCTCCCACAATCTCATTGTTTAAGACATAGACAGACTGCTTGGCAAACCAATGGCCAGAAGAGAAAATAATCACATCAAACTGTGGGATGAGATCCATGAAGCGGTCATCAGGGGCATCAAGGTGGAGCTTTGCCACACCCTCTGGAGCAAAATCAAATGCCTCAGATGTTTGCTTGACAAGCCACGAGGACCAAATCCGGACTACAAACGTAGATGTCGACTTGAAGAAAAATCGTTGCATTCTCTTGTTGCCCCGATTTTTTGGAACTTCTACCTGAAAGCACCACACCAAGATGTAAGAACCACCATTAAGTTACGTAGAGATATATAATACTAGCAGGGTTAGCAATCATGAGTTGTGAACAAGTCAGCCAAGTCAAGGTCAGGCATGGACTAAGCTACTAAATTAGGGACATGCAAATACAAACATGAAAACAGTCTTACTATAAGAGAAGTCGAGCTGAAAACCCTGTGTTTCAAAGCGCAAAGAAGAAGGGAAAAAAATTGAAAATTCCAGAATGAGAATGCATTAAAACAAGAATAATGAGAACGAATTAAAACAAGAATAATGAGAACAGACTGAAATATTGGATCAACAAAGGAGAAGGACAAAATGATCAAGGCCACAAAATCTTGACCCTAAAAGGAAAGGAGCAAAAATTTCCAACAACCACTTGTTGGCAAAACCAAAGAAATACCTTGTCAATTATACTGACAAGTACAAGCGTTCTACAAGATGTTCAATCCCTAATCAGGACGTGATTGGCCATAACATTTAATTTGAGTTTGTAGTTTAATGAGAAAAAGGTGTAGATAATTGCCTGCCAGAGAATGCACAACAATGATTCCATATGGTTTCGAGCAACTGAATCACCAATGAAAGCTATTGTCTTCCCCCTCATCAACTCTAGAAATTTCCTGGCATCAAAACGTGGCAGGTCACACTCAAGGGGCTTCCATCGCCAATTTTCATACTCCTTGTCAGGTCTCCCATTTCCCTGGCAATTTTGCATCTGTGTCAGGACAGGGCATGTATTGTTCGTGTACAATGGTCCTGATGAATCATAAATCCAACTTCCACTGTATAGATCACAGCCTACATAATACCAACAATGTAAGTCAAAATCTTAGAAAGAAGTACTGAGAACAAAAATTCCACTTGAAATGGAATATATTAACTCAAGCCATGGAATTTGGCATTCGTTTTATAAATACAGGATCTGGAACTAACTAGAGTACTGGGACTTAAAAAAAAATGTTCTTTGAGATATTTCAAGCCAAAGTTTATAAAAAAAAATTCTATCACAACTGCAAACGGCTAAAAGATTACAGGAACAAGTCAAATGTCAGCCAACATGAAAACATAATGAACGAACACGAAAGCTACCTGAATCAACCGAACCACCAGTTCTTGCATTGCTGGGCAGAGGAGAATAAGCTGGCATGCTTCCAGATTTGGAATTAGAAGGATCTGAAACAAAATCATTTGGCTCGATCTGTAAGAAGTTTGAGTTGTTGAAAAGAGCCACAGAAACAGGTTTTCCAGTTTCATCAATTTCTGTAACATTGGACGAACCAGAAACAACCTTGGCCCCATCTTCTTGCATTGAGCTATTAGACGGTCCAAGAGCAGGTTCTGCTATATCCTTTGTCTCCTTGGTTTCTGAAACTATTGACGGACCAACCGAACTTGAGGACAGCTGGGGATTGGACTCATATGACAAATTCTTATCAGTTATTTTCATATTGTCATCAATCGAAGAGCCTGTTGAACCGGCAGGCACTGATGGACCAGCTGATTCTAATGATGCAACATTTTCGATAACTGATGGACCAGATAAATTCGCCTGCAGAGCTGCTAGATCTTTGATATCTTTAGTTTCTGAAACAACCACTGAACCATCGGAACTCGTGGGAACTTGTGAATTGGAATCAGAGGGTAAATCCTTATCAACCAGTTTTGTATGTGCACCATCTGAACTCTCGGGAACTTCTATATTAGACTCAGATTTCACATTCTTATTGAAATTATCTACATTGTTAGGAAGGGGAGAATCGTAAGAAGTTTGACTGCCTATAGAGCTCGAATAATCCAATTTCTGCAAACTATCAACACCATAGAAATACCAGCTAACCGTGGAACCAATTGGGTAAGTCACTAAAACCCAGGAAGCAAAAAGTAGGAACAAAGCCAATCCCACCACCGAAACTACAATCCATGAAAGAGCTTTCGGATAGTGAGTCATTGAAATGGAAGCTTTGGGCGAAGCCCAAGTCATGGCTTTCCAAATCAAGTAAGTCGTGTGGAAAAAAACTACCTAAACTAGATTAGCTACCAAGGCAACCCAAAATCATGCGCAGAAATGGCTAAAGGAACTACCCAAGTTTGAATTTTCTTTCCAAATTAAGACAAAAGCCAATAACCGAAGCTTGTCATAGCGGTTATTGGTGATCGAGCTCAGCCTCCTCCAGCAACCCTGAAAAATATATAAAACAAGAATTCAAGATTTGACATGTAATTCAGGTACCATAATGGCAAAGATGGAACTTTATAATCTAAGTAATTTCCATTACTAAAAACGAACAAATAACAATGGAATTCTTGTTTCCAAAGGGGTTTGAAGATCTAAAGAATATACCTTGATCGACACTCGAGCAACCCAAGATCTAGGAGCACTGAAAAGCACCGAAACTGATTGATTTCCAAGAAGGAAACAACAAAATGAAACCTGAAGGACTTGTTTTTCAGGTGAAATGATATTCTGAAAGACGAATGCTTTTATGTACGGAACGTGGAAATGAAAGCAGTGCGTGAAGATCTGGGATCAGGGACTTGTAACTAAAGAATAATTATGAGAATATCAAAGAAAGAGGGATTAACATGGGAAATGTATCTTCTTTTATTTGAGTGATTTGCGGCAGATTAAGCGACTTTCCATTCTTCTTCTTCTTTTCTGGACTTGTTTATAGTTTGGAGAGAGAGTCATTAATGGAAGTCTGTAGTTACCACAATGCCCCTGGTTCGGCCATGAGGAATATTATGCCTTGAGGCCGACCTCATTGTTTTGGTGTGGCGTGGGTGTGGGTGGTTGAGGACGTGACAGCTTCACATAAGAAGTACGATCCTCAATTTTCTCATTGATTATGAAATGTTAAACAAAATGAGAAACGATGATACGTACTGGTTTTGAATAAACTCAATCAAATTCGACAATTAATTGGGAAATGCCAACTCTTTTTCATATTACAATTTGATGGAACGCCCCATTAAATGAGATCGTTATGGCCAAATATAGAACTTGAAGGCTTATTACTTGAACTTTTTTAAAGGAAAGGCTTTATTAGTTTATATCACTGTAACTATAAAGTCCCAAGATGGCAACATGATAATTTTTATTAGGTTAGGGCCAAATCAATGTTTTCCTCTTTCACAAAATAAATAAATAAATCTTTATTTGGGTACTACAACTGAATTTCTAGGATTTTTATTAAAATATTTAATACTAATTATTCACTAAAGAAATAATAATTAAAACGTAATTATTAATGAAAGTATTTAAATAAGGATAAGGTATTATTTACTTAATAAAAAACCAAATTTAAAAAAGGATATTTTAAGAGTATGGCTGTTCGGCTATACTTTTATAGCCGCGCGGCTGTACACTGTAAGTAGAATATTTGAGCAGCACAGCCGCCCGGCTATGCTCTATAAATAGTATTTTTTTAACGGTATAGCCTAGCGGCTATACTCTTCAAATAGAACGTTTGAAACGTCTAGCCGACCGGCTATACTCTATGAATAGAATATTTTAAACGTACAGCCTCGCGGCTATACCCTTTAAATAGCATTATCTTATTTTTCTTTTTTAAATACTTTATTTAGTAGTTATGTTTTAATTACTATTTACATAGTGAATAAGTAGTATAGCCGGACGGCTATACTCTTCAAATAGAATATTTTAAAAGTATGGCCTCCCGGCTATACGCCATGAATAGAATATTTTAACGGTACAGCCTCCCGGCTATACCCTTTTTTTTAACAAAAATTTAAATTTATTTTAGAATTAGAAAAAAGATAATGGATAGTTGTGTTTCATAAAAATATGATCCATTATCTGATTTTTCTTTTTATTGGTTTATTTTGTTTGGGTACTATACTAAATTTCTAGGATTTATTAAAATATTTAATACTAATTATTCACTAAAGAAATAATAATTAAAACATAATTACTAATGAAAGTATTTAAATAAGGATAAGATATTATTTATTTAATAAAAAAGGATATTTTAAGAGTACAGCCGCTCCGCTATGTTGTTCTGTTTAAAGAGTATAGCCGTACGGCTATACGCTATAAATAGATTATTTTAGCAGTATATCGGCCAGGCTATACGATATAAATAGTATTTTTAAAGTATTTTTAAAAATTGACTGCAATCCAAACTGGCCCTCTCTTCCCTCAAACGTACTTTATGGTCGTAAATCTTCATTTTTATTGGGATCCAACGTCCTCCCGCCAAACGCAGATTTATCCCAAAAAGTTTAAGCTCCCACTCTCAGAACACTCACTCCATGCCGCTCTAAAACCCTAAACCTCCCTCCAGAGCTCCTCAGAGTCTTTCTCCTCTCTCGCTCTAGAATTCAAAACCTTAGGGTTCTCACACACAGCCTTCTCCGAAAATGAGCTTCGCGGCATACAAGATGATGCACTGGCCGACGGGCATTGAGAACTGTGCATCAGGGTTCATCTCTCACTCACGCTCTGACTTCGTGCCTCGAATTCCTCCGATTCAGACGGAGGACCTCGAGTCTGAATGGCCCACCTCGCGCCGAGAAATCGGCCCCATTCCAGACCTCGTCGTCACCGCCGGGAATGTCCTTGAAGTGTACGTCGTCAGAGTTCAAGAGGAAGATGGCACCAGAGGCCCTAGGGCTTCAGGAGAACCCAAACGTGGTGGTCTCATGGACGGCGTCTCTGGGGCTTCGCTTGAGCTCGTTTGTCATTACAGGTCTGTTGCCCTAATTAAACCTCGCTTTACTGTTTCTTCCACTGTCTTGGCATTTTGCCTGGAACTTCTTAATTAGTTATTCGTAATACGTATTCAAATTAATTACACAATTCCATGTTTGTTTGCATGTAATTGCATTGCAGATTGCACGGTAATGTGGTAACAATGGCGGTATTATCTAGTGGAGGTGGAGATGGTTCCAGAAGAAGAGATTCTATTATTTTAACCTTTGAAGATGCAAAAATTTCAGTTCTAGAGTTTGATGATTCAATTCATGGACTTCGTACTAGGTGCGTTGTTATTTTTTGTTTACTGTTCTTGGTATCTTGGTCAATGTTATGTCAATTATGCCTTAATTTAATTCCAAATTGGAACACAACCGACTGTTTTGTGAAGTATTATAATTGTTGAATGTTTGTAAGTCGCGAATATTAAACCCTGAATACCTCTGAGATTTAAATGAGTTTTATGAACTTGCAAACTGGATACTTGATCTCATCTAGCAGGCTTCTGTGCGGCAACTGCTTTAACTTGAATTTGGTTGTGTAATTTAGTGATTGAAGGGCGTTAAAGTCCGTAATATGTAGTATGTACCATGATTCACCAGTTGTACCCATTATTACTTTAGTTGTATTGGAATTTGGGTTTGTATTTGGCTGAAAATGATTTTTGAATGTATGAAAACACTCATGGTCTATGAAAATACTTCTAATACTTGCAATTATAAGAACAATATATTTTTCATCGTTTGTTTAACTGTGTTGCAAGGTGATACTTATTCATTGATGTTGACCTTCTTTCAGCTCTATGCACTGTTTTGAGGGCCCAGAGTGGCTTCATTTGAGAAGAGGTAGAGAGTCATTTGCAAGAGGCCCATTGGTTAAGGTTGATCCTCAAGGAAGGTGTGGAAGCATTCTTGTTTATGGTCTGCAAATGATAATACTTAAAGCTTCTCAGGTCTCTTCTCCTCCTAAATTTTGTATTTTAGTCATTGTGGTACTGGAACTCTCATGGCATCTTGTGTTGAAATGATATAATACAAAAAGTTAATTTTGAATCCTACTATATGTACTATAGGATTTCAAGGGAAATATGGAAGCATTGTTGGCTTAGCAACAGTTTTAAGTATTGGCTTGTATGTCTCTATTAGGAGCATATTCAAGTTGGTCTGGGTCATTGTGTCAACAATGTATTGGCTCTCATAATCAACAAGGTATTGCTTGAAGTACTGTCTCTCGTGGCATCTTATGCCAAAAAATATAATACAAGAAGTTAATTTAGATTCATGCTTTATGAATTGTAGGATTTGGAGGTAAAAAAGGAAACCTTGTTGGCTTAGTAACAGGTCTAAGTATTGGTTTGTATGCAGTGTTAGCACATTCAAGTATTGGTCCTGGTCATTGCGCCTCAAGGTCCTAAAGTAGAGGTTTGCTTTAAAAAATGGGTCCTCCAATACAATTATACAATTTTAGATGACATCATGAACTGTCAAAAGCAAACACAATAGACTTTCTTTTACCAACATTTCAATTTTCCCTTTATGTTTTAATTTGAATTTTTTTGTTTCAGGGTGGCTCTGGTTTGGTTGGAGATGATGATAGTTTTGGTTCTGGAGGTGCAATTTCTGCTCGTATTGAGTCATCTTACATTGTTAATCTACGAGACATGGACATGAAGCATGTAAAGGATTTTACATTTTTACATGGTGAGTTTTAATGATTAGTGTAAATTACTTAACGAGACTTTAGAAATATTAAAGATTCTATGATAATTGTAATAGGCTGAATTTCAAATATGTAAGATAAATGCATTATTTTTTTTTCTTTCAAATATGTAAGATAAATGCATTATTTTAAATTTTCTCCATAATAGTATTAAACCTATTTTGTTTTGTATGACAAAATAGGTTCTTTCTAATAAATTTTGGTTTATACCTCTAAAGATTGGCACAATATATATTGTATAGGTTATATCGAGCCTGTGATGGTTATCCTTCATGAGCGGGAGCTTACCTGGGCTGGGCGTGTCTCATGGAAACACCACACTTGTATGATTTCTGCACTTAGTATCAGCACAACTTTGAAGCAGCATCCTCTCATATGGTCAGCTGTTGTAAGTTCTAGAACAAAATTGAAACTACCCACTGAAAAGTTCTGTGTTTTTCTCCAACTTTGTTATTTAGTATATGTAGTTTAGAATCATTGTGATCTAAGAAATTAATGTTTCAGCATTCAGCTGAATGTGAAAATATGAACAAATATTTTTTCAAGCTCTTGCATCCTTTTGCTATACTAGAGAATGCGTATACTCATACAATTCAGGTGACCCGAAAGATTAGCTCTCTTGCATTCACTGTATTTCTTCATGTATTCCTGCCAGAATCTCCCACATGATGCCTACAAGCTACTTGCTGTACCATCTCCAATTGGTGGTGTTCTTGTGATTAGTGCAAATTCTATTCATTACCATAGCCAGGTAATTTTATTTCTAGAGTCGAATTCTAATAGCTGGCTGAAGCAAAATTTTATGGGCTTTTCTTCCTACTTCATGCAGTCAGCCTCATGTGCATTGGCATTGAACAGTTACGCTGTTTCTGCTGATAACAGGTCCCAACTCTCTCTCTCTCTTTCTCTCTCTCACACACACACACTCCTCACACCCCTGTGCTCTCTCCCTCTCATTGCATTGGCTGCTTTCTCTTGTCCAAACTTTGTGTTTAAATGACTATTGACTTCAGCTGGCATATCATTTTGAGTTTGAGTGGGTGAGGCCCCATATTTTTCTTTCCATAACTTAATTTATTTTCTGTTTCATTCAGTCAAGAGATGCCAAGATCTAGTTTCACCGTGGAGCTTGATGCTGCCAATGCAACTTGGTTATTGAACGATGTAGCCTTGCTGTCTACAAAAACTGGAGAGCTACTATTGCTTACCCTTGTTTATGACGGACGGTCAGTAATTGCAATTCGATTTATTCTATGTTTTTACTTATTTTGATTTCCTTTGAGCCTAGGATGATTCTCGAGCATGTCAGTAATCCTACAAGAAGTTGGAA